CCAACAGAGTCTCGACCACCAATTCGGGGCTGACGATAGTGTATCCGGCAAAAACATTGGCGTGGTCGGTAATCTGTGCTAGGCGGCGGCGAGCAATAAGTTCTCGAACATTGGCAAACGTATTGGTGGATGGGAGGTGATGCTGCTGCTGAGCGTGCGACTTGACGACCGAAGGATAGGGGGCATGACGGGCAGACTGAGGTAGAGTTCGAAAGGCCGACGGCATCGCAGGAGCACCAGCAGCAGCACCGGCAACAGGGATAAAAGGAGGGGGAGGGGCGAGATGCTGCAAGGCAGAAGAGGGCGGTCGGGATTGTAGGTGAGGGGCGTTGACATTCGAAGAGTAAATATTTTGCTGGTTTTGGCTTTGGGTCAAGTTTCGCTGGTAAAGAGGGGCAGGGGCGGTGGCAGCATAATGAAAGTGGTGGGGTGAGATCTTCGATGCACGAGCGCTGACACCCACGCCAAGCGACTTGACGCTGTCCAGGAAATTGGCCCGAGGGTTGTGGATGGACACGCTAGGGTTGTGTGTATACTGTGCCCTACTTTCGGTGGACTGCATGCCCAAATAATACCACATCTGTTCACCCTGGAGGTTGACCGTACGGAGTGGGGCGAATTGGTTCCTAGTTCCATCCACCGTCTCAAATTCGGCCCACTGATAGGGAGATCGTGAATCCCCAAATGCACTGCCTGCCGCCGGTACCGCTGATTCTAACTCTTTGCGCTGTTCGGGTTTTCGCGCTAGGTGGGCTGGGAGGGGTTGAATCCCGAGTGCGAGGGGTGTGAAATTGCTCTTGCGAACAACAAGCATCCAGCGATAGGGCATTTCAATAACATCTCTGTAGATTTATTAGCGTGTGACAAGAGTGGAGACAGAAAAAAAAAAAAAAACAACTTACCCTCTTGGGAGTACCTTGAGCAAAAGACTCCGCTCCGAGGGACGATTCTCAAGAACAATGGCGCCATTAATCTCCTTGTCGGCTTGGAATTGGATCAAATTTCCTTGCACCAGACGACGGGCCGATTCGATTACCCGACGATCCACATCAGACGATTCGCCCAGAACTCCATTCGGCCGTTTCTGACGATGGAATTTGCATTTCAAATCCACACTCGGAATTGAGTATTGAGTACCATCATCAGCAATCACAGCAATCGCACCGTGCTCAACTTGAACACCCGCCAAAAGGGCACAGGTTGCATGATAAGCGCGCGTGCATTTGCCAAAGTTACACTGGAAGCAGGCACCGCGGACTTCGCGGCAAAAGAGACATTTAAGGCCTAGGCGAGCCTTGGGGATCTTGTCAATGTCACACACAACTTCCGTACCAGATGCGTCACGGAGAATTGTAGTCTCTTCAATGAATGCCGCACACCGTCTATGCGCATGCCCTTTACCATCTTCGGTCGGAAGAAGATCTTCATAGTCCAGATTGTTAGGGCATAGCAAACATGGCAGCTTCCGTGGTCCTTCGGGGTGAAGTTTGGGTCGTTTCGTGCTCGGTCCATCACTCGGATTCTTCCGCTTTCGGCCACGAGTAGATGTCTTCTCAGGCACACTACGTGGTGGTGTAAGAAGATCTGAAGCACCTTCGAATCCATCGAATTCGCTTTCAAATTCACCATAGTACTCAGGTGTGCTCTCGCCACGGAGCTTGCGCTCAATCTCGTCCACATCGATCCAGACACTGTCTGCTTCGCAGTTGCATTTCTTAGCGATACGAGCATAGTCTAACCATTGCTCGGTCGCGAAGTTGACTGACTCGGCGCAATTGTATCCGATGTTATATCCAGAGTGGTACCCGTAAGGGAATGTTATGACAAACTCCCCTTCGTAATGAACCAATCGATTGACGGTGATCCCATATTGCGATTTGAGAAGGCTAGGCGAGACGAGATAGGTTTTGTGGCGAAGGAATTGATCGCAGTTCTTTGCATCACTGGACCAGATGCTGCGCATGACTTGTTCAAAGCGAGGTGCATCTTCTTGGGAGATGCTGTACCACTGCTTGGGGGCACCGAAGTGGATGTAGTTGATGCTGTACAGATCAACATCCTCAAGATGCCAAGCAAAGGTAGCCTTCCACATGCCCATGTAGAGATAAGCAGTGTTGACTCCAGGAACTTTCTGTCCGAGCACATCGAGCAGATTGGGCAATTTAGCGACATTCCAGGTTTCGGTAGAATCCTCGAAGAGCGAACCGGGCATGTCAGCACCGTACATCGGGTTGTTAAACATGAGCGACTTCCAGTAATTAGTCTCAAGCTCCTCGCATCTTTCTGCGGTGTATTCTTCATGATCGTGGATGCGGTAATCAAATCCCGTGTATGCCTCCTCGTCAACTTGGTCCATAGCATCGCCGCGATTATTCTTTCGGCGTGAGGTCACGGACCTGGGCTGTCGTCCCTTTGGTTTTGTGGTAGGTAGGGATTCGCCTTCACTTAAATCCTCGGTCTTGGGCTGCACGGGGTTGGTCTCGGGTGATACAGGCGTCGGGGGACCCTCCAATCTGGACTTCTCGGCGTCATCGGCAGGGGGCTCCTCTTTGACCTTGACCTGATTTGCCCGCTTGGGGGGACGGCCAGGCCGGCGTTTCTGACCCTCCGGACGGGCAGATGGGGGTCGTGGTGTCGGGGCCGCACGGTTCACGCGTTCTTGGTTTCGGCGTCTCTCTCCTCGGCGAGCAGGGGGTTGGTGGCTGCTTTCTTCGCACAGACCCTTCCACTGAGGAAGGTTGTACGAGCGTTGGCGTTCGATGTTGGCTTGGGTGTATGTACCGTGGGATCCGTGGAACTCTTGCATGATGGGGTTCTTCACTCGAATTTTCTTGACTGCCTCGTCCAGCGGTGGAAGAGACTCGGACCTTCAAAAAGAACAACGTCATGAGCACAGCCATCCACACTTGCCGAAGTTTGACCGACTTACCATTCTTTCGGGGGAATAACTTTGACGATGCCTGCCTGCATTCCATACTTATTGATTTTGTTGATGAAGCTCTGGAAGTCTCGGAATTGGTCCATTGTCTTGAAACAATACCAGTCAGCCTGGCTCTCAAAGGTGTAGGCTTTACTGCCCAGTCTGACGCAACAGGCGAAATCTCCAACCAGTGTCATCGAGCAGCCGGGGTATCCGCGTTGTACTTACCGGCTTGAAAACAGGAACCTTGCCGCCGCCATAGTAATGATCGGGTTCGATTTCTTCAATTTCCTCGACCTTCTTCTCCACTTCCTCCTGCTTGATCTTGGTTGTATCGGGTGCCGGGGCAGATTGGTGGTCAAGCTCGAGATCAGATAACTCAGAGGGCACGCCTTCGGGCGCTTCCTTCTTGCCGTTGGCACTCTGCGGAGGAGTGATGGAAACGGATTCGACGATCTGCTCGCTTCCAAGCAAGTCGCGCTGCGACTGGTCGAGTGCTGTCGCCATCATCAAGGGCGACAGAGAAAAGTTGGCGAAACGGTTTAGCAGTGTAGTTGCCGTCGTCGAATAGTGCGACCGCTGATCGACGGCGAGAAGGGGTATTTCCCAGCGGTCGGGGAAATCGAGAACAAGAGCTGCGACCGAGCGAAAGGAAGTGCGATATTGTTGAGGTCAGATGGCACCAGTATTGGTGTGTGAGGGTCGTCGGTACACTTAAAGGAGTGTACAACAGAGGGTTTGAAACGATTGCGCGATAAGCTCCTCTCGGATGATTGTTTTTGCCTAGACTGAACAGAAAACGGAAATGTCTTAGTCAAGTCGCCAAGAAAAGCAACAATTTGCGAGGCAAGATATGACAGGGACAGGAAAATGTAGAAGTTGTAGTCAAGAGGAAACCCCTAGAGCAAAAGATCATTTCCATAAAACTGCAAAAGCAGCGGTAGGTTCTCTATGGAAGAGGCAGAGGAGTGCAGCAATATTAGAAATAGACCAATCATGCAGGTGCCGGTGACGTTTGAAGGTGGAGTGCACGATGGGCTGATACTGAAAGGAGAGGCAGGGGCAGGTGGGCACAGGGTGAGGAATGATGGGCTTGAAATTGGACAAATCAGAGCGCTAAGATGGGAAGGGTGGGAATCGTCCGATCAGAGAGCAAAGTGGACTTTCGGGCGACTTTGGCCTGGGCGCGTAGGAGCCGCGAAATGATTTGTACCGTATCCGGTCTCGGTCGGGTAAAAGGATTGCCAGGTCTTTATGGGGGGAGAGTACAAGTTGATCGCAAACAGATTCGAACTTACCAGATCACTGAAATCGCAGTCAATGCCTACGAATCCAAATGAAAAGAAGCAAAGGTGGTATCACGATGGTCAAGATAGAGCTTGGCCATAGCACCTTGAAGCTTTCAGAGCAAAGTCACATGACACATATGTAATTTAAGATTATGTGATCTTCATGCCATGTTGATTACCAGTTTCTTACCTGTTATTTTACCGTGATTTACTCGATTCGGCACTCTTCCACACAAAGATCGGTCTGGTATTGTCACTGGCCATACAATGCTCAGCCAATCTCGGATATCATCGGAGCCGAGTGGTTTCTCCCTTGATGAGATCAATGATCAATGATCAACAGTCAACTAACTGCATCTGTTTTCCAAGGTTTCAATTAAATCCAGGGTTTGTATCATTTGTGCAACACAATTACAGTATAAATTCAGTAAACGTATTATTGTATCTTTAAGTTCCAAATTATAAACCCTGAACTATATTCTCACTACCGTACTCGGTATATCTAGGTACCTTTGGTAGCACCCTCTTTATATTAGTCGAGCTAAACCCTAGTATCAACTTCATATGACAATGAGAGGGTAAATTTGCTTCACAAAAGAACTTCACAGATCAGATAAAGCAGTCAGGTTTGCAGTTATTTAATTTATTTACTTGTCATAACAGCCCTAGGGGCAATGGATCCTTCGCAATAGCTTCGTCTCTGTCATTGATTCGCCATTAATTGGCTATTTCATAAAATAAATATTAGGAGCGAAGAGGCTTTCTTCCATAGACGGCGACTCTGCTCACAGTTAGAACAAGTACTCAGGGCAAGGGAAGGGACGGGTGAGACTGTACGTTTGAACATAGGCATGCAACTTCTTATCCCGCAGCTCTCGCTTGACCACGGCATTGTGGATGGTGGCCACATCCGAACTCCAGCCCAGCACCTGTGTGTACAAGCGCAGTGAGTAGGAATCGATAGCTTGCTGTAATTGCACTGCCTGGTACTTCCCTAGGGCCTTCAAATGGGGATCGCGCGGCCAGGGTGAAAATGGTAGCGCGTAGATCGACAAGTTGACATCCTCGAATCCGGCTGCAATCATCCAGTCCTTAAGCTTATGGTAGATGTTCAGCTCCCGACCGCTCTTTTCGCCGGCGAAATTGACGGCCTGTTGCCATTCCATGAGCGCCGAATCTTCCTTAAGGGAGCCATCGTCGCTACGGGCCCATACAGCACTCTCGTGCGATTCAAAGTAGCCGCCCGGTTTGACGTGGTCGTAGATCTGGCGGATAAAACTGGGCCAGTCGGCCACGCATCTGCTCAGTGTGTTAGAGTGTCTCGTGAGATAGGGGGCCGGTTGCAGGGACATACCCAGCGAGGCATCGTGCGTGGATAAAGTCAAAGTGGTTTGGTTTATATTGCCATTCGGTTTCGAAATCTTCCACTATGAACTCGATATTTGGGGCCACCCAACTGGGCTGGATAGGGCTGATGTCAGTCCCAGTGACGTGGGCGCCAGGGAATTTCCTGTCATCCGACGTCAGTCTTGCTGGTATACAAAGATGGAACAGGATTTCACGTACTCGGCAATGTCCATAGCCCAAATTCCTGTTCCGGTTCCCAGGTCGAGAATGTTCTGTGGTGATGATTTGATAGGGGCATTGTGGAGCTCCCCTCCCAGTAGCATCAGCCATCTGCGCCGCTCTGGTTAGCCACACTCGTTTACTAGGAATGTGTTGGTTCACGGACATGTGGTGTGTCTTAAGGAGGAGTCAGCGTGTGGACATAGAAAGCCACTAGGGATAGTGCCTTACTAGATCCATTCGATCCTGCTCCTCCTCATCATTCGGCATCCTAACTTGGTCAGTCTTCCCAGCTAGGAGTTTCTAAAGGAAAGTGTGAAGGTACATATAAGCTCCCTGTGATAGGTCAGTCAGCCACTGAAGCTTAGTACCAAGAGCATGCGTTCGGCAAGGCTACTTACTGAGCGGGTACTGCAATACCGCCGACCATTTTCATACTCAAATTCGAGCACGCTCGACGACAGGGAGGTAAGATCAGACAGGTCATCGTCGAATTCACTATTGGTGTCCTACAAGAGGAGATTTAATTCCCGGGTCATACTGAGCCAGGGATTCCAGTCTACATACGTCGGTAAAATTGTCGATTGTAATTGGATCGGGCGCATTGATATTGACAGGGATCTCTGCGTTGACAGGGGTCCCGTTGGCTGGGGTAACAGATGGGGCAGGTTGGGATGGCACCGAGGTCGCTTCGTGGGGAGTGGAAACCATTGTGTGATGGAAAGAACAAAACAAGAGAATTTCTGGAGACACACGAATAAATAAATCAATTCCCCCTCTTAAACCTCGCTTGTTAATTAACTTCGACAGTGGAGGGGGTTTGGGTTTGTATCCAAACTGTCGGGTTTGAAGGAGATGCAATCGTGAAATTTTGTGATATCCAAAAAAATCAATGGAGAATCAACTCCACTTCACATGCTATTCTGAGTCTTCTGTGGGGGTCATATTATACAAATACTCATGGTCCGAAGACCAATTTGCCGGTCCTGCGACAATCGACGTCATGACACTTCAATGATGCCTTCACCGGATCAATGGGAGACTTGCCCTAGCCGCTGATGCTGACTAGAGGCATTCTCAACCTTGATCCAACAGGTTCTCATGCATCCGGGGAAGTAGTGCGTTATGGTTGAAAAAGTCTCGACCGCGCGAGACTGCCACCGTCAATACGCAGAGAGAGGTGGAGGTACCGGTCGCTTTAAAAGGCAAGCGCCTTTGATCGGTTGGTTTGGCCTGAATGGGTTTACTGTCAGAAATATTTCTGCATTGATTGAGCCATTTCTCACCGTATCCTCGAATACTTCATCACTCTCCCCGTGGTATCTTCTAACATCATCAAATGTCTCACGGTCTTCTCCCCTTCCATGCTCGTGTTATGTTTCCCCGGAAAAACCAAGGCCCGGATCCGATGATCCTCCGTTTGTTCAAATATCCGGTTGGGATATGCACATCCTACGTGTAGAAATGCGTACATTATCTCCTACAGCCAGGTGAGAAATAACGTATATTTGAGCGTCTACAATGATATACAACTTGGGCATAAATACTTCAATATCGTATGTACATGAAATTTGCAAAGAAAAATACGTAAGAGTGGACCATGTCGGTCTTTCTTTGGAAATTAAATTGCAGATCTGTGGATGTATGGGAAAGACCCGTTGTTTTGGATGTCCAAAATCTAATATTAGTTAGAACATTTGAGGTCATCAAAGCGCTTAGAGCACCCTCTGTATGATCACCGACTATCTATGTTGTAGGTCTCTTGAACTATTGCACCCATTCATCGAACAGCTTAGTGTCCAAATTAGTATATCCATCGACAACCTCCAGTCCCCGCAGGCGTTCCTGTTCAATGCGCTCCCAGGTCCACTCTTCGACATCCCACGACTCAGCATTCTCTTTCTGCTGCTTATCCAGAGTCTCCTGGCTAGGGATCTGGTCATCGTTCATCTTCAATACCTCCCGAACCAACGATCCATCCACGCCTTCCATGGCCGTGATACCTTCGCCGCTAGCAGGAGTGCCAACATCGGAAGCCTCAACTGAGGAATCGGTCTCCGCTAGTGCGGTCTTGGCTTCACTCTCCGGGGGTGGGGTTGGGAGGAATCCGCTAGCGCGCAGAAGCCGCTCCGGGCGAACAGTCAGTCGGCCTTTTTTGACCACGTACTTGCTGACGGCCACAGCAAGGACCACCTTTTCGCCGCCACTGCGGGGCGCAGGCCGCATGAAGCAGGTCAAGATGTACATCCACTTTGCATCCCAAGAGATCACCTTAGAGTGCATCTCATATAATTCAAATGGCTTAATTTCGCGCTTGAATGTGCAGTAAACAGATCCGAGCACAATCGAGACTGGCTTGCGCCTTGGAGCCGGCTTTCCCTCCTTCTTGCTCGCGGCTAGGAACTCCTGGTCTAGCTCCTTGCTCACATTGCCGACTCCAGGACTGTAAATTCGGGTCACGAGCGCTGTACGCGAAACGTCCAAATCCGAGAAGTAAGTGCTGTTTGATTTGTGCAGATTATAATCGGTCTCTAGCAACGGTGTACGGGATGTGACCATGCATGGCACGAACATGGGATGTGTTGGTTTCCCTCTGGAGTCCACAACAAGTCTCCCCTTGGGGAGAAGTGGCGCACTGGGTTTCAAACGCAGGTTGCCTACGAAGTGATATAGCACGCGGAACTGTTGGCTCAGTCAGTAGTGTAACATATCGCTCAGAGCAAGCCAATTCAGACAGCCGAACAAGGGGCCAAGGAACACTTACATGCCAGGTAAATGGGAGATTTTTCAAGTTTATCACTGCCAGAAGCAAGGCTAGGTTCTTCCATGATGCGAGCGACATTGCGCCTGCTAGTATCTCGCGTGTATTCTCCATGATAAAACACTCAGAAATTGAGATGTAGGAAAATTAAAGAGAAGAGTAGCTCCGATGGTTCCGTACAGGTACGCTGACAAGACTTGACTAAGATATACTCCAGTTCATCTATAGGTGTCTCGGGAGATAAGAGCGGTTGGGATAAAGCAGGCTTAGAATTGGCCAAACGCCTTTAAAGAGAGATGGGGGCGATCACAAGGAATGAAACGGCGGATCAAATCTCACCTGAATTGATGAGTCTCAAAGCCGAGCCTGCCGATCACAGATGACGACTATCGTGAATTCCCCTTTTGTTGGGAGCCGAGGCCAACACCTGGACACGTGATATTGTGATTACTCATGCTCTCATCCTGGGCGCCCGAGGCCCGTCAGGGCTGATCTATGGGTTTCAACGTTTGTCAAGGACCTATTCTGGTCTAAAAAAATTATTTGGCGATACGGAGTAAGTGGTGTTTCAATGGTTTTAGTGCATAAAACAGGGGCCCGAAGGCATCCTAGCTGCTTATTGGTCGAATGATTATGCATTCATCCAAATGAATATATCTTGGCGTTCGCCACACCACACTCATAGACCTGTGATTCGAGACTCGCGAGAAATTTGTTGAGATCGTTGAATCTCCAATCTTTTATACTTTCCGCTTGAAAAAAACCCTCAATCATGGGGAACACCTAGATTTAATTCTATTCCGCCTGACTAGTGGCAGTGGCTGGAATTTCTCGTACTCATTTGCTCAAGTGTTGAGAGCAACGTCATCTTCTAATGTAGCCTACAGAAGCGGAAAAAAGATAAAGTACTGATTGTTACCGCAGGATCTGTATAATCTGGGTCCATCAACACGAAAAGGACCAACAGCCCTGGAGCCACATAAGAATGACCAATGCCTGACAGCAAGCTGTGCAAAGCTAAATGTTTACCTACTCTCGACGAGAAAACGGGAGCTCGAAGATGGATTAGTACCTTTCATATACTAGTTGGCGCTCATTGTGATCCCATATCAAGAAGATGGTAAGGGACGAAACATCAAAAATGTCCAGAGGAAAGGAACTTCAAAGATATGAACGAAAACAAGATGACCATACAGATGAGCAGGAAGTATGTTGAAAACACAGAGTACATTCAACTTTGCTTTGTCTGATTGCCTAAAGGACATTTACCCTCCGATCAAGTCAAGATATAATATGATCGAGATGTTTGTTATAGTCACAACAGTGGTCTCTGCACCACATTATGTATTCTTCTTGATTATCTCACTTTCCAATTGCTTCCAAGGCAAACCCAGGCATCTATTATCGTCACTCCATTTCTCTGTTATTAATCGTTAGAGATTTCGACCAACACACCCTGTATCAGGGAGTATTATCTTGAACCTTCATTTCACGGTCCGGAAGAGCACCACTCCCTCGTTTACCGTCCTGTCTCCTGCTCGTCCCTGGCAACCCACACCTTTCAACCCAGAAGAACCTCGAGACTATTCATCATGTCTAACGTGTCCGCGGATATCACCCTCGCAGGTTATCTTTTTAAGCGCCTTCATCAAGTCGGCCTACACGCCGTGCATGGCGTCCCCGGGAACCACAACATCGCAATACTGAGAGAAGCTACTAATGCGGGGCTTGAATGGGTTGCACACCGTAGCGAATTTAGTGCTGGGATTGTGGCAGATGGATATGCACGAGTCAAGGGCATCGCCGCTCTGGTATCTTCATTCGAGAATATGTCGTCGTTAGTGTCGACCGCAATCGCTGCCTCGCACCAGGATCAACTCCCAGTTGTGCTTGTAATTGGAACACCTCAACGCAAGGCGCAAGCTCAGGCTTCCAAATTCCACCACTTATTCTTCGACGCACAGCCCGATCTACCTCGACAGCCTGATGATTTTCAAATACTTGCTGACTGCTTCAATAAGATTACCATCACCCAGGAGTTTCTTGTTGATCCTGGTGAGGCGACTGCTCAGATTGATACTGCCATTCGAGGATGTATCATGCAGTCTGCGCCTGTTTACATTGAATTACCGGAAGATTTGGTCAACAGTATGGTACCCACCAAGGGACTAATCCAGCGTTTGGACTTCAACACTCCGCCTCACGACATTGAGATGGAAAATACGGTAGTGGCCAGTATCATGAACAAGATCAAACACGCACAACGACCACTGATTATTGTGGACGCGGGTGCCCCATCTTGTGGTCTTGTTATGGAGGCAAACCAGTTGGTGAAAAAGACTAGATTTCCGACTGCTGCAACCCAGTTCAGCAGAGGTGTTGTAGATGAGACACTCAAAAACTTCCATGGGGATGTTTCGGACTTTGACATGTACGGTTCATATTTCCGATCTTCCGACCTGATTCTCCTTCTTGGGCCTCTGAATACCATTGAATGGACCGTTCCCGCTGTGTTTGAGGGGAAGATAGCACAAACAGTCACATTTAACAGGAATTATGTTGTCATTGGGGACCAAAGATACGAGCTCTTTTCTAGACCTGTGCTTCAGCAGATTTTGAACAGCATGGGTGAGAAGAAACTGCGTGACCTTGCGCCCTACCCAGATTTACCCAGTGTCCGCGACAGCATCGAAATGCTTCCAACCCAGAAAAGAACTGCACAACTTCAACATGACATTCATTCCACATTTTGGCGACAGATGTCTCTCTTCTTCCGTCCGGGTGATATTATCTTGACTGAAACCGAAACAGCCCGGGATGGAGCACGCTCTTTTGTTTTGCCACGGGACACAAGCCTGATTAATCCTGGCGCCAGAAAGTTACCCGAACACATGCTTGCCACGACCATGGGTGTTGCTCTAGCGCAACAGGGCCTCGCTAAAGCAAACTACCTTCTTTCAAATAGACGAACTATTCTCTTTGAAGGAGCCGAGGGGTTCAAAAAGGCCCAAAATGACTTCAGGGCCATTCTCGATATGAAGCTCAATCTCACAATCTTCGTGATTAACGAAGGAGCACCCATCGTTGAAAGTCTAATGCACGGGATGGAATACCATCAGCAGGATTCAGGTCACTGGCGATACTCAGAATCCGTTTCTTTCTTTGGAGCACCGAATGAGACATTTTACCCAGTCTTCACCACCATAGCCAGAACATGGGGCGATTTTGATACCATCATCCATGATAAGAGGATTCAATCCGGGACAGGACTGTGCGTTGTAGAGTTCATGATCAAACCCGAAGACCCAACCCAAAGCCCGTGTCTTCTCACTGAAATATATGGCCCGCCCCCGAGCCCTTTTTCTTTGAAGAAATATCACCTCAAGCAAGATTGATTGGCGCGAAAAAGGAGACCGGAAGGACCTTTGAATTCTCAAACTTGTAAGAATAGCCAAGTTACTTTGCAATACAACGTTCAATTATTACAAATGTGCCCACAAAGCGTAGAGAAGTCTGAACCAACTTGGAGAAAGATACACATAAAAATATACATAGAAGTAGATAATATCTTTCTAAATCTCCCTGCAATGATAACATCCAATCACTGTCTATGTTGACAACTCTCGCATCATCGCCCATATAGTAAACTCCTCCAACGAATCCCAGTGCCCCTTGGGACACCTCCGGCTACCAACAACAGTGAACCCCTGTTTCAGCCAGTAGGCACCGATATCTTCTTTAGTAGCCCGAATCATAATCCGTACCGGAGCCGATCCATCCTTTCCATCGACCCCATGCTGACGCAAAAGCTCTTGTTCACATGCCCTCGCAAGATGTCCAGCAATACCCTTGCCGCGGTACCGTGGATCTGGCAGGAGAGCAACAACAGCTAGCTCATAGTCTCCGGGACAGGCATGTTGGTGAAGTGTTTGATCAATACCTCCATTGATTGCGTCCCCCACCTCATTCAGGTTTACATCATGCCCGTCTTTGGTTGTAGGCGTCCAAAGGCCGTCGTCTTTCCATTTCTTCATACTTGCGGTTCCGATCACTTCGATCTTTTGATCTTTTCCATCTCCAACAAGCGCCACTGCGGTCAATCCGTCTACACCGAGCTCCTCAGAGAGCGTGGAGTCGGTGGATAGTCGGGTCTTGGTCGTGGCGAACTTTATTTTTGTGGTGACGCGGTAGCTGGCGTTCACCATGTGTGTGAGGCTTGAGATCCACGGTTGATTGGGAAGATCTGATGATGGATAGACCTTGATGTGAAATGCCATTTTGGGATCCATGTTTGGACCTGGAGTTGGGAATTCGAGGCACTCGGACAGTTTGGTAGAATGTAGGAGAAATTCAATAAAATATAAAAAAGGTATCGTGTTCATCTCAGACAATTTCCAATGTGGGGTTGAGCCCCGATACGGAGCTAGTGAGTCACCGTCTACGGAGTATCGGTGGACCATTCCCGAGTTATACCAAAATCATCCCGAGGTCTCTATTCTAGCCGACGTGACATTGCGATCTACAAGTCTCTTTGAGCTGGAAAATCCGAACCTAAGAATGACTTCTTAAACTATTTGATCTGTATGTAGGTAGCGCCACGGAATTCGCTGTCGCCCAAGGCAGACGAGGGGCATTGATGGACCAATAATGGCCCAACCACAATCATAGGGGCCCGTAGGTCAGAGGAACTTAAAGCACATACTGCCAGGAGTGAGTATATAAATTCAAAAAAGAGAAATTGCAGTAGAACTCACCGGAATGAAGAGGTATGGAACCTGCTTCTCGTACTCATCCCATGTCGTTCCATACTTGCTTTTACATTTGTTGATATCTCTCACGGCACGGTGACCAATCATGACGGCGAAGAAGATTGGGTAGAACCAGGGAAAAGGACTGTCGAACCCGGTGATCAGTGCCCACGACAAAGCGAAAAACATATCGCAGCTGTAATGGACTTTGCGAGCCAATCCATACCACCCATCAACGAAAATAACATCGCCCTTGTCTGTCTCAAGTGTCTTTGGGCTGTTAACGTGTCGCCAAGGGAGCTGGGGGAATGTTTTGCGGTTCGCCGTATCGCCACGCTCCATCATGCGGAAGGTATTCTTCTGGCTGTTTGCTGTGTCCCAGACCCAGTAGACGAAAAGGTATGACACAAACAATAGCGTCAATGCATTTTTGTTCCAAGCATATGTAGACGGGTGGCGACTATCCAGATACAGGACGCAGTGGCAGTAAGACATAGGGACACCAGCCATGTTCCAGAAGATCAACAAAAATCCTAGTTTCTCCTGGTACATGTCCCATGTTGTGGTGATGAGGTGTTCTGCCTTGGCGCAGGCGTTGGCGTAAAGGAAATGCGCCATGACAAGAAACAGCACCTCACCAGAAACGTATCCGTAGAGTTCATATTGGCGAGTGGCAGCCGCGCAGCTCAAACCCAAGAGCATGAACCATGGGATACGGACTTCGTAGAACATCTTAAAATCCAGGATTCCGAACATTCGTGGATTCAGCTCAGCTCCCATGAAGAAGTCATAGATCGGGTAGCCAGTTACGCGGTGCTGGGCACCGCGAGCAAATGCAGAGAAATAGGCGAAAAAGCTGGCGAGAAACCCGGAAAGAATTGCCACAGACATCAGAGGACCGAACTCATCCAGGATAGTGTAAATTGGGAACAGTCTTGTGTAGTGTAGAAAGACCATGACAACGATGGTGAAGTACAAACTACTGTAGGCTGAGCAATAGTACTCTAGCCGCTTGCCTTTCAAATGGAGCAGAGGCTTCCCATGGCATGTGTATCCGGGCATGAAGATGTAGCATGCTGCCTCGAAGATGTAGAAAGTCCAGTAGATGCGCCACGCTCTGAAGTGCGGGAAAGCACCGGTGTAAACAAGGTGACACAGATGCTTTCCAAAGACCGCCCAGGACTCTCCGTTTTGCGGCAGAGGTAGCTTCCCATCATAGTAGGTGGCGCCGATCCACATATACCACATCAGCAATGGGAAGCCAACCATAAGTGCCAAGTTTCCGAGTGAACCACCAAATTCGAACACCCCGGTATAGTCCAGTTTGATATCCATACCGGGTATCCAACCACCAGCGAGTTGCGCTTGCTTGAAGTCATCTTTGTTCAAGTTTGTTTCGTCGACAACCCGAGGGGTGTCATGCTGTCGTCGGGATTTGACTTGGTCCTCCATCTTGAGAACTTGAAATATGATATTAATTGAGCTGATAGGAAAATAAGGAACAGACACCAACAAAGTACACTCACAGTCAAAGAATGGTCAAGGCCGATACAGGAGGAAAGGGAAGAAGAGAAGGAAAGCAGAAGGATGAAAGAGAAATGAAAGAAGGAGAGGAAGAGAGAAGAGGATGAGAGAACAGGAAATAAATAGGAAAAAGCGAAGGAACCCCGGAGTACAACCTTTGAAAGGAGCCAGGTCGACGCAATGATACAGTTCCCATTTGGGGTTAGACCCCGCTGTATTTGTCCTAATTAGGTTTAGACCCCGCTACTAGCATTGTCTGAAAATATATGCACCTACCTAAGTACTGTCGTTGCATCTTCTCCTATTCATTTCATGTTTCGGTCAATTGGGCAACGGGTAATACTCTGTAATTAATCTGAGGGTATGAAATACAACTATCATTAGAGCTTATTGCATGTACTTTAGCTTGGTTGTTGAGTATCATAGAGTTGCTGCATGCTGATGCAGCAAAATTCCAAGTCTCCAACACATTGTCCGTTCTCAAAGTCCTCAGATTATATTCCTCTAACATGTCCATATAAGCCTAGTTTAATAGATTGACAGAACCACCAAGGGCAGATGACGGATAAATAATGTGACGTCAGGTGATCTTATCACGAAATCGCATTAATCAGCGATGCTTATCAACCCGGCAGTGCCCCGATGTTGGACTTCTCCCCACACATTTACCTCACTATGAATGATCGGTCGGTCCCATGAATTATCAGACCATCAGTATGGACGGCAATGCCTCCGAAGAGCGCCACCGCACTGGGGGAAGGCCAGGCTTGGACCAACGGCCTACAGATCCTATCGATGATCCCACACCAAACAACCAAGCTCCCGCCACCCCTCAGAGCTTCACCCCGCGCTCACTTCTCGTCGGTCTTATTATTGGTGCCCTCATCACCTTCTCAAATACCTACTTTGGCTTGCAGACAGGATGGATCAGCACAATGGCCATGCCCTCAGCCTTGATTGGCTTTTCGGTCTTCAAGGTTCTATCCAAGCACCTGTCTTTTCCCTTCACACCGGTAGAGAACGTCTTGATACAAACGGTTGCTGGCGCAGTGGGAACGATGCCACTTGGATGCGGATTTGTTGGCGTCATCCCTGCTCTGGAGTTTTTGTTGAAGCCTGGCGAAGATGGACCTGAAGGCGACGGCGGAGAAGGTGAAGGAGGTCCTTTGAAACTCGGCTTCTGGAAGTTGGTTATCTGGAGTCTGGGAGTCTGTCTCTTTGGTGTGGTATTTGCGGTCCCACTGCGAAAAGAGGTCATCGTTCGAGAGAAGCTGCGGTTTCCGAGTGGTACCGCCTCAGCGTTGATGCTCAAGGTCTTGCATGGCTCTGGAAGCAACGAAAAGGTTATAGCACCAGAGAGTTCCCGTGCTGGAATTCTGAGCACAGAGGCCGAAGCAGCTGGTCAATCGCAAGAAGACACAGGCCTCTTGAAGGATGGCGATGCTGAAGATCAAGCTTCCAAGGAGCAAGATTGGCGTTCGAAGATGCGCATCTTAGTTGGATCGTTTACAGTATCAGGTGTATATGTGAATATCCCCACATTGGACTCTGCAATATCTATGCTAACAGAATTAGACTCTTTTCTCCTACTTTGTCCCTCTAGTCCATGCCATCCCTCTGTTTGGCGCGGGCATGGCGAAGAACTGGCTGTGGACCCTTAATCCTTCGCCCGCATATATCGGCCAAGGTATAATTATGGGCCCATCAACGTGCATGCACATGCTTTTCGGGGCAGTCTTGGGGTGGGGCGTCCTATCACCGCTGGCTAAGACCCGCGGTTGGGCTCCCGGCCCGGTTAATAACTGGGACGATGGCAGCAAAGCATGGATTGTCTGGATATCGCTAGCTATCATGCTTGCCGATTCACTTGTTAGTCTTGGGTGGCTGGTGCTCAAGCCCATCGTGAAACACTCTCCAAGATGGATAGCTAGGCTCCGATCCACTCGCGCTGGTCAGTGGCTTACACTTCGACTGCAATCTTCTCAGCACTCATATATCAACTACTCCGCTTTGGAGTCAGAATCTCATCTTTTGCCTCATGACAACGATGACGCCCACCACGCACTAACATCTACAAGCGAAGAGGAAGAGGAAGAGGAAGATGCGCCGCCATCTCAACTCATCTCAACTCGCACTGTAGTGATTTTGCTTCCCCTAACTCTGCTCCTGAATGTCGTGTGCATGCACTTTGTCTTCGGTGAAATCATTTCCCCCTTTCTATCGACATTAGCGACTCTACTCGCAGTTCTCCTGTCCATTATGGGTGTCCGAGCTCTCGGCGAGACCGACCTCAACCCAGTTTCGGGTATCAGCAAGCTGACACAACTTCTCTTTTCACTGGCCACGCCAGCATCCCATTTCTCCAGACGCACCGCACTAGTGACCAACCTGCTCGCCGGTGCGGTCTCCGAGTCAGGAGCTCTGCAAGCCGGTGATATGATGCAGGATTTGAAGACCGGCCATCTACTCGGGGCAAGCCCCAAGGCCCAGTTTTATGGCCAGATAATCGGCAGTCTTGTGGGTGCAGTTCTCTCAACCGCCGTATACAAATTATACGTGAACGTCTATGAAGTCCCGGGCGAAATGTTCCAGACACCTACCGCATATGTCTGGATTTTCACTGCTCGCCTTGTGACTGGTCAAGGGCTGCCCAACATGGCTGGACAAGTCTCTCTCATTGCTGGTATCGTGTGGGCATTCCTTACCGCGCTAAGGATCGCAGCTGCATCCCCTGCCTTTGCACGCAATGGGAAACCCCCTGCTTGGAGAGCTTGGATCCCCGGCGGTATTGCTGTTGCCGTTGGCATATTTAACGAGCCGTCATTTACCCTGGCGAGAGCTATCGGTGGCATTATTGCATGGTGGTGGGCGCGCAAGCACTCCGAATCGAAGACAGATCAGCAAGTGGCCAATGGAAATGCCACTAGCATGGGATCTTCTATAGAGACTGAGCTGCAGGATGGGCAAAGGTCATCGGAAACAGCCGATCAGGCATCTGAAAAAGCAGATGCCGCCTCCTCGACTGTTGTTGTCCTTGCCTCCGGCCTCATTTTGGGTGAAGGTATCATGAGCATTGTGAACCTTCTTCTTGCAAGCGGACGTGTTCCACATCTCTGATTAGGAGGGGCATGAGAAATGCTCTGATTGCCAGTGTACATTCTGCATTTCCTGTGACTAAAAGAGCACATTGGATTTAGAGATCATGTTTTCACACGATCTTCATTAGATTTCAGGTCATTTTTCCGGAGCTTTTCATGATTTTCAATATATACCACTTTCTCAATATGACCGTGTTGTGTCATATTATTGCTGGCTTAAAATTGACCCCATGCATTCCACTTATCCAGGACTCCCTCAGAATTGTGCCCTACAGGTGTAGTTGATACAGGAAGGCCCGTGCTCACACAGGCCACGCCACTCCATAAACTTAACGAAACAGCAACCTTGGTACAAGCCCTGGAGGTGCTCAACATCCTTTACGCTTTATGCTTAAGTTGATCTAATCATTTCTCAATTCGTGATAACCCTGGAAATTAAAAGAGCCCTGCTAAGTCCCCCAGCGGAGAGCTTCCAACGCCCCCACACCCCAGGCCGGCACCGGCCGATACCCCAAGCCCAAAAAGCCGAGATAAGGCTTGAAAGCTTGATTTCCCCTGTTCCAATTCGGGATTACCAAGCCGAGTCCACTACCCCCGAGATGTTGGAGATCAATAAAATTTTTAAATGGAGCCCTTTCGCCATCGAGAATATTATAAATCATATTTTGAAGCGATCCGAGGCCTTCTCCGACATCGGCATCGGCATCAACGTCCATTTGCCGAGAAAACATCCTGCTACATATGAATCTTTGTCAATGAGAGTAGCAATCTGCACTCCAAGTTATTATTAGTCTCTGTCATGACACGCATATGGCCTAAGGGTAGTCTTATAAATTCACAAGCCGAGCCCGAGAAGGATCCTGCATCTCTTGATCCGGCATATCTCGTGAAATGGGATCAGGACGATGTATTGAATCCTCAAAATTGGACTCCCAGGTACAAATGGTGGGTGACATTCCAACTGGGCATGCTTGCTTTTGCAGGTAGTCTAGGTTCAAGCATCACCACGCCGGCCGATGACACCATCGCGAAGTATACTGGCGTCAGCAGTGAGGTTGCTGTGCTGGATGTATCTCTGTATATGTGAGTAAAACTTCAAGTAAAACACTAGAGGCAATGCTGATAGCAATACCAGCCTCGGCTTTGTCTTTGGGCCTATCATCTGGGCTCCTCTTTCAGAAATCTGGGGCCGAAGAGTTAGCATACTCCCCGCCGTCTTCTGTTTAGCACTATTCTCCATTGGCACTGGCGTAAGCACAAATGCAGCCTCGGTATTCGTCACGCGCTTCTTCGCAGGCTTCTTCGGCTCTGCACCGATTAGCAATGTCACTGCCGCACTAGGCGATATATGGAGTAAAGAGACGCGCGGGACTGCAATCAGCCTCTATGCAGTTGCAGTGAACGGCGGCCCGGCGCTAGGTCCAGTGATCGGCGCAGCGCTGTTGTTAAACCCTAATATGGGCTGGCGCTGGACGGCGTACATTCACGCAATCTGGGTCTTTGTCATTTTCACCTTGACCTTCTTCTGCTTGCCAGAGGTATACCCGTTGGTACTACTCAAGCGCAAAGCACAGATGCTTCGGAAGAAAACTAATGACTCGAGGTTTTATCATCCTCATGAACATTTGAAACTTGATGTCAAATCTGTTCTCACAAAGCAGCTCGCTCGCCCGTTGATAATGCTGTTCACTGAGCCGATTGTCACTTGTGTTGCCTTCTATGCTTCCTTTGTATACGGTGTCATGTACCTAACTCTTGAGGTATTTCCAATTGCATTTCAACAATCTCGAGGTTGGAACCACCTTGTTGGTTCTTTACCATTTCTGGGATTGTTGATTGGTGTTATATCGTCAGTGGGTCTCAATATCTGGAATCAACATCGCTATAACCGGATATCCAGCGAGGCAAATGGGAAAGCAGTGCCCGAAGCACGACTTCCGCCTATGGCATTTGGGGCAGTGTTCATTGTTATAGGGCTCTTCTGGTTTGCCTGGACAGCCGAACCACCTCATCACTGGATCCTGCCATGTCTGGCAGCTTTCTTTATAGGCATTGGATTCAACTGCATTTTTCAACAATCTTTAAATTTTTTGATTGATGTATATAGGATCTATGCTGCAAGCTCAACGGCGGCTATTACGTTTCTTCGAAGTTTGCTAGCTGCCGGGCTTCCTTTGGCGGCTAAACCGATGATCAGGGCTTTGGGGATTGGGCCTGCTGTTTCTATTGTTGGAGCTGTGGCTGCAGTTCTATTGCCAGTACCGTTCTTGTTCATGAAGTATGGCCCAAAGCTGCGAGAATTATCAAAGCTTGCGCCTGAAGATTCTTAGAATTGTTGATAATTGCTGTGTTCCTAAATTATACCTATCAATGACGTAGCTTCATCACCCATATGTATATTTTCATCCCTAAAGAGCTCTCGTGTGATGTAAATTGGGAATAAATTGTATTCTACTGTTATCTCTATAGCTAGTCACATCGGTCCGATCATAGATAGTCTTGTGGTCATTAACTACGAATTGACTTCTAGTCTTTGGTATTATCTTCAAGATCGCATCCAAAAATCAATGATTGCATACTCTCTCTTTCTATATAGTTTTTTTTCTAAAACAAAAAAGATAACCAAAAGATCCTCGAAGACGAGACTAGCACCTAAACAATCGTCGTAAGTAATTCAATCAACACTATGCAGCTTCTGCTTGTGCAGTTTCTGGTTCATCATCTGGATTAGCAGGGATGGGCTCAATCTCAAATCTTAGCTCTACTCTGAAATAAGAATTCCAAACGACCGCTCGAGAAATACGTCTCGTACCTCTGGGGAGAGATGATAGGAGAAGAATGGCAGCCGCTTTACCTAGCTTTGTGCCGAGGAGTTCCTCAAACTCACGAGTGCCACGTTCGACTTTGAGGCATGGCTCCTGTATCGCAGCCTCGAACTCGCGGTTAAATCTGGCATAGAGTATCCGCCTGACATATGGTCCTGTCTCCTCATTGATAACGCAGGTAAACATAATATGCCTCAATGTCTCAATAGGATGGTCATTCACATACAGAGCTCTGGCGATTATGTTCCACTGAAGGTTATCGTACCTAAAAATGGAATGACCGATAATCAGACCCGGTCCAATTAGGTGTGCATAACTATTATCCATTCTTCTAAATCCATGTTCTGCTAGGACTGCTGGGTCTGTGACTGGGTTCCTAAGCGATGTATAGCGATACTTGTTATCCTCAGTAGTGAGCCCCGTGGAGTCAGGGTCGCCTCCGTCCATATTGTCGCCAAGATTTCTATGATAACTGTCTCCGACTTGGAATCGATTTGGTGGCTGGGCGTGGATCATGTCATGCAGAGTTAGGGTTGCGGGGGCAACATAGCAGTTTGGTTCGTTTGGGTCTTCTAACCAAGCTGCTAATTGAGCTCCTTTCTCTCGGTATGTGTTGAGTGTGCTCTCCGAAGGCTTGGGATACAACCTCTCTTCCACGTCGATGTCTGAACTAGCAGAATCGGATCTTTCTGGGGGAGGAGTAGAGGGTTGGAGCCTCGGAGGAGATAGTTGTGGTCCCGCAGGTAGCTGTGCTTCAGTCTGCAAACTCGCCGCACTGGCACGCGCGCGCTTAGGAGGAGAACTAGCCAGAGATTCAGAAGCTGCGCTCCATTCCTGAGGCGAGTCGGCAATATTCTCGATGTGCGCCCGCTTCCTGCTTTCAGAAAAGGGCTGGCTCCTTTGTCCGCTTTGATGCTGAGGCTTGGGCGCGGGTTCGGGAGCGCGGGGTCGCGCAGAACCGAAGAACAAGTAATCACCGGATGAGGACTCACTTACAGGTGCATCTGATAAGAGCTCTATGGTAGGATTATTTCGTGGAATCGGGCTTGGGTTTCGACTGGGGGGAAATAACCCTTCGGCGGGATCGGCATCTGGCATTTCAACATCACTGGCATCGTTATCGTTAATATCGACATCACTCAGTTCAGGTGTGATACCGGTGTGAGAATCGTCTCTTGAAGGCGGAAGTGGGGGGTATTCCTCATCGCTACTGTTACCTTCCCTGTCACTGGTGGCCTCCTCTTGAGGCTTAGTCTCCTTCTTGGGCGAAGCTGGCTTTGGGGCTTGAGTTGGCTTTGCGGCTTCAGTTTGCTTTGCGGCGTCTTTAGGCGGCGGTGGGGCTTTGGGTACTAGGTGCTTTGGGTAAACTAGTTTAGGTAGAACTCCCTGTTCAGGTGCAGGTTCAGTTACGGGAAGTTCTAGGCCGTCGGAATCATCTTCATCGGAGAGACTGCCGCAACGGCAGTGTCGCAAGCATTTTTTGAGACCGCGGCAGAAACGCTTCATTGTTGTGGTTGAAGTAATGTATACGTCGAATAATTGGATTGATGGGAATGATTGAAATAAGGTATAAGGCCGATAGGATCTGTTGTATTGTGCTTGCTGAATGATGTTGTTGGAATATAGACCAAGAGACTGATACAAGCGAAGTTATATACCCTTGGCCACTGCCTTTATTTCTGCTTAACACTAGTATTACCCCTAGTGCTTGGAAGGATGAAACGTCACGAAAATAGACTTGCCCAAAATAAAACCAAGTAGAACAAAAGAAGTGAGGATGCGAACAATCGAGACAAGTGCATAGTGAAGAGTGTCAAAGGCAAGATAAAGAGACTCGAACTTGGAGGGACAATAAGGGTGCGATTAACTTGGAAAATCCAAGGATAGAACAAGGAATGTACAAAGAGAAGTCTAACAATGTTCGTCCAATTACACCTGCAAATCTGGAGTAAATAAAGATTGACCAAAGAAAGGGCTGAAACGCCTACCAAGTCCACACTAGTCCTTCAAAGCCGTAAGCAACAATAAACTCTGCTATTCTCGAATATCTGACCGACGAACATGGTACATTGTTGAAGGACAAGCAAAATCTAATATTAAGTTGCTCCTCAAAGGGCGAATGCCAAAGTAAACGCGCTAGAAATTAGGGTTATTGTCAAAGAGCACTCTATATGTAGATATTAAGATATTCATGGATACTCTTGTTTGCATATATCCTTGAAATCACTCAGGTGACTTCTCGCATGTGTTCGGACACAACCTTTCAATAACCAGACCCAGTGCTGCCTTTGAATTATTCTAGTGCCTAACTTTGATTGAATCCTCACCATCTCGAGACATGCCCAGGGCCAATGCTCGCATGCGTATTTCATCATATTCAACTGCACTGTTCCGGAGTTTTTCGATCAAATTTTTGATAGACTGCGTTTTGTCATCTAGGCTGATCTCCAACTTCCTATTCTACTCCTTTTGCCAGCCTGCGCACGGCTCGAACGAAGAATTGAATATTAGGCCCAAAACACTGTCTAATATCTGTTTTTTCTTTTTTCGTAATCCGCGCGATACAAAGTAACAGGGTGGAAACCTTAAGCACAATTTATAAAATGTTCCTCAAAATTGAAGCTGCACATTTTTGGCTCTTGGCAGTGGACATTGATTAGCTTGGTTCTGAATCATATAAAAGTCGGATGAATCCCAGCGATCATACTGGAAAGAGGCAAATCATTGACAAGAAAGGAAGATAGGTGGCTTGAACTCTCGAATAAAGTCGAGAGCCAAGTCAAAAATTATGGGAATAACTTCCTTGCGCTCAGCAGGATGGCGATCAAGCCTTTCATCAGTCAGTATAAGGAATTAATTCATGATGCTAACATCGTCGAGTCGAAGACCGATCTCGTCTTGAGGCATTTTACAGCCACCTTAGAGTTGGAGTTACTTCGACTATAACATCAAATGGAAGGTCGTCATTCTTTAGAGTTAAAAAGCAAGATACAGAGGAAATTGCGTGCCCCGCATAGCAGGCTTCGGGAATTTTCGAATGGTTCTGTCGGCCAGTGATGCTTTTGGCAGAGCTCTTTGGCCCTGTCGAAAAAGGAATGTGTTGGAACAATTGAGTCGAGGGTTTATTGAGCGTGAAGAGCAGGCTGAAGTTTACTTTCTATTAGCTTTTCCACTATAGATGGATTTATGACGGGGTCCTCGTCTACATGGCTTGAACCTCCGCTAAATCTTAGGCGAATGAGTTCGGCGCTGAGAAGCTCATCTGTGCACGTAGTCATTTTGATTATAGTTTCAGAGTTTGTCGCATAATATCACGTGGAAGAACGAAGCCGCTAATATATAGTCGGAACTGTGTTGGAAAAAGAGAAACAAGAGGTTTATAGTCGTGATCATAGTTAAACATATATGTCATGATAAAAAGAATATCATAGGGTAGATACCAAAAGACTCGGCGGTAGCAGATGTATGCAGGCAAGATATTGGCCCAAGGAACACCCAGTGTCATATAATGAAGGTCTGTTCAAGATGAGGAATAAACAAGCGTTATGGTGTTATGGGACATAAACAATCCAAGCTGAGTTCTGGCCGTCAAGGGTCAACATATACGAGGGTCAGGTCATAGATCAGAAGTTTAGCCCAGGTGGATAGTCGGATAGGTCAAATTTAAATAAATTTGGATCGAGTATCCCGGGACGTGATCTATCTAGGCAAGCCGCATGTGTACATAGTATGTCGGGTGCCGCTGACGTCGCCTAGTCGGTATCCGAGGGCTGAGATCCCCTGGGGTTCCTGAGGCTTGCAGAGTACCAAGACATTATTTGTTTATTTCCCTCAAGTATTCCCTCGGATTAGTCCGGGGTGTATATACAGGGTTTTATGTGCCGGAACATTTATTCTCATCTAATGAGCCACAACAGGTGAAGATTGCCTTTGCATCCATCGTACTTCCACTGTGACATTTTCCATTCATTCGGGTCCATGCGGCGTATTTGGCGTATTTGGCGCATTTGGCGCATGTCATAACAAAGACCGGGGTTCTCTCCTCTCATTGGTCTAGAGCATGTGCTTTGAGAATATCCCGTCTCATTTGCTGACGGGTGGTTGCATCGGTCTTGGCTGGCTTGGCCATGTCTTTCGCCATCCAACCGAATGCGTTTTCTACACTCCATAATATATCGGCAGTGGCAATGCCGATGGTTGCAATCTGTAGGTCGGATAAAAACGGAATGAAAAAGGGACCACCTAGGCAAATATACCAGATATGGCATGTCAGCACGTTCCTTTCGAGGCTTACGCTATGTCAAGCCATGATGCAAGCGATGACTCCCTATGCCACCGAGGTATTTATTTTCTTAAAACAAATCTAAACAAAGCGGTAAAATCCATCGAACTACTCCATGAATTTTAGTTAGCGTTGACTATTCTGACCAGTCACAATCCCTAAAAACCGCCCCCAAAACCTACCCCCATGTAACTTCCCATATCCCCGCGTCGCCCGACGCCTTCCCCGTATCTTGGCCAGCCCCAGACATTGGAGAAGACCCCAGTCTTCTCGGATTACCGCTTTTGTCAATCCGGGGGAATTGAAACTGGGCTATATAATCCGATCGGCATCTTCATCATGTCCCCCGTATTTTGTGATCCTTTCATGTTTAGACATCATGTTCGGCATTCCGAAGTTCTTTGGCTGGAGAGGCCGGTCTCTCAATCTGGCTATCAGTTCCCTTGGTAGTCTTGATTTCTTGTATGATAATATTCACTATTCACTGTTTTTTTTTCTTTTTGAAACTTACAACTAACTGCTATAAGACTTTTTGGTTATGATCAAGGTGTCACGGGTGGCCTGCTAGACCTGCCCTCCTTCATCAAATACTTCCCCGATATCAATCCCCTAGCACCAGAGATCGCCGGCGACGAGTTCAAGTCCATTCGATCGCAGCGCAGTTTGAACCAAGGCATTGCAGTCGCATCATATAATCTAGGATGTTTCTTCGGCGCCGTCCTGACTATCTTCATCGGTAATCCGCTTGGTCGACGAAGGACCATCTTCTGTGGCTGTATGATTATGGCTACTGGCGCCCTATTGCAATGCACCGCGTATTCCCTACCCCATTTTATTGTCGGCCGAATTGTCACCGGTGTAGGCAATGGCATGAACACAAGTACCGTACCGACATGGCAGTCCGAATCAGCAAAGGCACACGATCGTGGTAAGATGGTCATGATCGAGGGTATGCTCATCACCGGAGGTATTACTCTTAGCTATTGGATTAACTACGGTGAGTTTGAATCCAATTTTTGCGCTACGCTCAAGTTTCAATTACTGATATGATCCCGAATTAGGCATGTCATTTATCGGAGAAAAAGAGGTCGCCTGGCGATTCCCTCTAGCTTTCCAGATTATCTTCGCCATCATTATCTTCTGCTCTATTCTCAACCTACCCGAATCCCCAAGATGGCTTGTCATGCAAGGCCGCTCCGATGAGGCTTTGGAAATTCTCGAATGTCTAAATGAGAAATCTCGCGATGACCCCTACATCAAGAATGAGCTGATTGCCATCGAAGAAACCGTCAAGGAAATGAACAAGGGCACTTATAAAAGCCTGTTCAAGATGAGCGAGTATCGAGAATTCCATCGCGTGGCACTTGCCTACGTCAACCAGATGTTCCAGCAGATTTCAGGAATTAATCTTATCACCTACTATGTGAGATCTGTTTCCCACGCACTGACACGCTAGCCCTATACTAACCCATTCTACTAGGCTCCTTCACTATATGCCGAGATTGGTCTTGGAAATGGCAACCTACCAAAGTTGCTAGCTGCCTGCAACGGCACGGAGTATCTGATGGCTGCATTTATCCCAATTTTCATTATTGAGAAAGTTGGACGTCGTCCACTGATGTTGATAGGCGTATGTTCTCACTTCACATCCTGCATTGATACCTCATCAACTAACCAAGACTTATAAACTAGGCCGCCGGCATGTCAATTTCAATGGCCGTCCTAGCCGGTACCAACTACCGCTTAACTGTACTAAAAGATAGCCGCGCCGGTATTGGACAGGCCGTATTCCTTTTCGTATTCAACACTTTCTTCGCCATCGGCTGGCTCGGAATGACCTGGTTGTACCCAGCCGAAATCGTGCCCCTACGAATCCGTGCTCCAACCAACGCTCTCGCCACCAGCGCTAACTGGATCTTCAACTTTATGGTCGTCATGATCACACCTGTTGCATTCGAGAACATCGGATACAAGACCTATGTCATCTTCGCTGTTATGTAAGATCTCTAGCCCGCACTAACCCATAAATTGAACTGACAACGCATAGAAACGCATTCATGTTCCCATGTGTATACTTCTTCTTCCCTGAGACCCGCTACCGTTCTCTGGAAGAAATGGACGCAATTTTCAAGAAATCTACCAACGTCTTCGATGTCGTTACTATCTCTGTCAAAGAACCTTACCGCTACGATAAGCACGGCGAGCTCAAACCTGAGTATCTTGAGGAGGCTATGCGCCATGCTAGTGCTGATGTACACATCGCCGGCGCGAAGTTTGATAGCGATGAGAGTGGTATTGAGGTTAAGGCTTGAGTGGTTGGAAGATGAGGTTGGTTGTGTGATGGATTTTTTATACCCGAGGTGCTAGTGTGATTTGATTCTAGTATCTTTTTCACTGAGACTTCTTTTTATATGTATGGCTTTTAGATGTAAAGGGAGGTTAATGACATGCTTTCTGCGTCGAATGTTAATTTAATAGTCACATGTGCTGAGATATATTTAAGTCGTTGTAGATGAATGTTCCTTTTCATGATCTGTTTTCGGTCCTCACTCCTATTGAGGATAGTGTGCGCTAGCAATATATTGATACAAGGACCTTCATAAATGGAATGGTTAAATTCATGAGTAAATTGGAGATTCTACATAGCTATGAATGTAAACTATCTGTGTTTGAACAAGTTGAAGGATCCGGGTATTCCAGCTCATCTCAGCGTGACAGGCATATTTGTTCGAGATCGATGTGAATCGAAGAACTCGAGGAAGATGCTCGCAACTTCGAATTGAAGAGAAAAAAGAAGAAAAAAAAATGTTGTTTCACAACCCAAATAAGAATGAGGCAAAAGAAAAAGAATGGTAGGTATAAAGACAGCCAGCCTTTTGTTAACATTACAAGGATGGCAGTGGAAATACAATCAAGACGGCATCCAAGACACTGGCGGAAGATTCAGAAGAAGAAAACGAAAAGACGGATAAAATGATTCAGATGCGGAATATGCATCCAGCACAAAGCATAGATTCAAGGGGAGTTCGTTCGTCACGGACGCGGGCTGTGGGTGGATATCAAGATCGAGGCGAACAATGTGGTCATATTAGGCAAGCTCATTTCCGTCCAGCGGGGGCACTGAGACATCAGTGGAAATGCCTAGGTTCTGCATAAGACGGCGGCTCTGTGTAGAGGCGAGGGTCATTCAGATTAAGCGTTCTGGGTAGGGACGGGCTTTCGCGAGATCGAGCCGGACGGAGAAGTCATCGGGGAAGTCGGAAGGGCTGGAAGGTCGCTGGTGGGAGCAGGAGTAGGAGCAGCTAAGGGACTTGGCATTGGCAGTGTGGCGGGAGCAGGCACATCAGCAGCTGGGGGGCTTGAAACCTGCGGCGGAGCGGGGGCAGGAGCAGGGATAGGGGCGGCGGCAGGCGCGGCGGCAGGAGCGGCTAGTGGACTCGAAACTTGTGGCGCAGCGGGAGCGGGAGCAAGAGCGGCCAATGGACTTGAAACTACAGGCGCAGCGGGCGCTGCCATGGGCGGGGCGACGTTGCTGGCACTATTGCTGCGTTGACGTTGATTGACAGGCATCACAGGCCGCTGCATTCCGGGAGGTCCGTATGGACCAGGGCTCATCGAGCGTGGGCCGGGCATTCCGCGGGGCCCAGGAGACATTGAGCGTGGGACAGGGCGTCCTCCTGGCCCGGGGGACATAGAGCGAGGACCGGGCATTCCGCGGGGCCCAGGAGACATCGAGCGAGGCCCTGGCATACCTGCGGGTCCGGGGGACATCGAACGAGGGCCAGACATTCCCCCAGGACCGGGCGACATAGAGCGGGGAACTGGCGGGAATTGGACAGCAGATCCGGGGCCAGGGTAAGGGCGAGAAGGCGGTGGTCCAGACACGCCAGAACTACCGGGGGATCTCGGGCGGGCATCTTGCGGGTAGAATCTTGGACCAGGCGGGCCGCCCATCATTGGGCGACCGTCAGGGCCCATGATGGGTGGGCCGCGAGAGCCGGGAGCGCCGGGGGGTGGGCGGGCGCGAGGCATCACAGGGCGAGCCGAGAGGCAAGAGCGTGGGGCAACTCCTTGCTGGGGGTTGTTAAGGCGCATACAGAGAGCCCATCCATCGTCGTACTCATGAACCAAGCGCACAAGCGCTCCTGCGCGAAGGCCAAGCTCATCTTCCATAGAGGGGTTGAAATCCAGTTGCACACGGTAAACATTGTTAGGGGGTGCCGGGCCGGCAGCCATGGCGCCTGCTGCGCCAGCGGCACCGGCGCCGACAGCAACAGCTGTGGCAGCGGTAGCATCAGCAGGGACTGTCGCGGATTGGGTTGAGCCGCTTGGGGAATGGCCGCGTGATTCGGCGGAATGGTATCTCTCGGAATCATTGGACGCTCGAGATGAAGGAGCAGCACCTGCTGCAACACCGACGGCTGCGGCACCGACCGCGGCAGCTGCGACGGTTGATCCAGATGGCGCAGTGGTCGATCCAAACGGTTCAGTGGCTGATCCGGCAACCGAAGGCGCGGTCTGGGTAACAGGGGTGGTGGGTGATGCAACAACCGAAGGCGCAGTCTGGGTGACAGGGCTGGTGGTTGGGTTGAAGGGGTTGACGGGGTCCTTGAACGGGTTAGAGTCACTCCCAGCAGACTTTGGCGGAGTGGGAGGCGGGGATTCGCCAGTGAGATTACGAGAGGCGACGGCGGCCGATCCAGCTGCAGCACCTGCAACAGCAACAGTGGCTGGGCTCAAACCTCCGGAGGCACCAGCATTGGCCGGGTTCAAGGCACCACTGCCGCTGAGATCAGGCGCGAATTGAGTGACGGGGCGAACATTAAGCTGCGGGGGTGTCGAAGGTGTCTGCGGCTTGGAAGGAGGTGGAGGTGGGAATGAAGCAGCGATACCCTCTGGCAGGCCTTCGCCACCATAGGTCTTCTCATTCTCCTGCTGATATCCATCCTGGCTTCTCTTCTTCTTGCGCATGAAGAAGAAAATTAGGCCAGCAATCACACCAACACCGAAGATGACACCAATGGCCACACCAGCCTTCGCGCCACCAGTCATACCCTCAGAAGTAGTAGTTCCAAGCACAGTAGACGAGGCCGATGCGGCAGAGTTACTGGCCGATCCGGTGGAGGTTGCCGCGAGGAGATCGTTGACACTCTGGGAAGATTCCGAGGTAGATGATGCCGAAGTCACAAAGGAAGTTGCCGTGATCGGAGCCTCCGACTCGCTGGTAGTGGTTGTTTTCTTGTCTGTCGTTTCAGCCTTGGTAGTCTCGGTAGTCTCGGTAGTCTCCGCTTTAGTTTCATGAGTCGTGTGGGCTACAGTCTCTTTGGTAGTGGTCGATTCCTCCTTAGCCTTAGTTGTGGTCGCCTCATCTGTGGCTTTGGTCTCGGTTGTTTGTTCTTTGGTCCTTGTGGACGCGCTGACAGGAGCACCAACACCGGCGTGCGCTGCCGTGGTAGTGGTTTGTTGGACGCCGGTTACATATCCTCCCACTTCCCCTTCAAAGTCCGGAGCTATGGTCTTGTACACAATCACAACATCGCCTCGCTCCTCGATATTTCCTCGCTCCTCTAGTTCCTCTGCATTTCGCGCATGGTTGTGGTGCGCATGCCCGTGCATGTTGTTGACTCCAGTATCCTAGGATATCGTGAAGTAATGAAGGTTAGGGATGGAGATTCAGAGCGGGTAGGGTTCCTAAAGAGAGGGATAAGTCCAGATTCCAACGCGAGTGATTTCCGAGAATCCGCGTCTCTGGGTCGATTCCAGCTGCGTGGAATGTGGATAGAAAGAATGGATGACTGAGATCGAGCACCGCCGATCGTCAAGTCGAGAATAAAAGAAAGGACGTCGACTTCCAGGTCGTACAAATTGAAAGAAAGGATGAAAAAAGGATAAAAGAAGCAAACAGCAAAGTAAAGAGAAAAGCCTCAATACGAAGGGAGCGAGTACCACGAGGAGCCGAAATGAGATCTTGGGACCCTGTGTGTATACAATAACATGCTAACCCAAATAGGGAGCGATGATCTCTCTTTTACTCGATCTGATTGGCTATCACATGGTACCTGGCCCGAAGGAGTTACCAGACCCATGGCCGAGAACCCTTGCAGACCCACTTTCCTTTAACTGGTCCCGGGGTTTGGATGGACTTTCTAAGGTTTATGGTCTTTGATGGTCTTGGTGAACTGCAGATGTACTTTTCCTACTCTACTCCGTAAGTATGTACATATGTATGGAGTACTATTACATATAAGTATGTATGTATAGTGTACCTAGGTATGACCGGCTTAAATTATCCTTGAGAGATAACCTAATTTTACGAACGCTTGGCAAAATACACGGGAAGTCAACAAATTTCATCACTCGGCACATTCGCTAAAGTGTCGCCCTGCACGCGGACCCCGGGGGCACAGACTTACTCCATGGTTGTTTCACCCTAGCACAACAGCCACATTTAATTGATCGCTCACTGAACTCGTAATTTCCGGTGGTGCCGGAAATTCAATTTTAATCAAATTCATTTTAATGGATAATCATGCACCCTTGGACGCGAGTGGTGCTTCTCATGCAGGTCCCTCAGGGGCTACGCTGCACCTCGGAAACACATTCGTATTAATATTTTATTACCTGTACGATTATTAAAATGTTGTAGGCTGTACGGAGTACGGAGTAGATCACTATCTATATTCGGTACTCCATATGGAGCATAAATTTAAATTACTCAAGTATGCATCTGTATCCGTTGCTATTAATAATTCAGTCGCAGGTTCCACGCTTGTGATTCACCGATCCACTCGTGCGGTATAACCCGAGGGGGCGCAAGGAAGTGTGGCGTAACTCCATCCATGCACACATGTCATACCATTGCTTCAAGTCCGAGCAAAATATGGATGGGCAAGGGCCTAAGGCTATCGTCAGAGGTTATTGTAAGACATCAGATCAGGTCACATACCTCTGTTACCGATAGTCTTTCGCTGCTCTCGTAGCACAATAGGTGGCTGACTAAATCACGGCCATTCGAGGATGCACCCGGGAGGATGTCCTCCCAGCTCTGTGTGGGGAACGAGTGGAATTCAACTTTCCCCCAATCTGGCAAGACCTTGACTTGCTGTTCAATGGTTATTAATGAAGTTTCCAGTTGTCACAGGTGTGGTGCTTACCGGCCAGCGCTGTTCATCCGGAGTGCCCAGTAGTTTAAAGATGGAGAAAATCAGTGACAGATCGCTGCCCACGGGCCCGGAATCGAAGAGCTGTTGGTGGCCGACAGCAATGGCTTCTGCCATTACACAGCCGGCAGCCCACATGTCGAGGGATGTTCCATACTCTTTGAACCCAAAGAGAATCTCTGGGGGTCGATAGCAGGTTGTGCCCACATCCGTGATCTTCTGCGTGGGTGGCTCAGATCCCGCATCGCCTTCTTTCCATGAAACGCCAAAGTCTGCCAAGTAGGCTGGTCCGTTAGGGGAATCCATTAAAATATTAGAAGGTTTAATGTCCCGATGAATTATACCCATGCTGTGAAGATGGGCAAGGGCACTGAAAAGGTCTCGCAGAATCGATCGTGTTTGAGCAGCAGTTACCATGTCTCGCCGGAGTAACTGCTCAAAGTCATATCGCACGAATGGAAAGACCAGGACGAACCTGCCACCATCAAGATTGAACGTCTCAATCAATGGAATTATATGCGGGTGAGAAGCTTCGCGCAACAACCGTGCTTCACGGTGAGCATCATGGGGGGCTGTCATCATATGGGGAATTGTCACTTTCACTGCCCGAACCGTCCCATCTTCCAACTTTGATTTGTGGATAGAAGAGTGGATACCAGCATAGTGATGGAAGCAAGACCGATATTGACCAATCACTTCCCCAGTTGAAGTCTCTGGTTCTTCATACTCATCTTCGACATGCTGTGGGCTGCTAGTGACTAGCTTTTTGGACCCTGCTAATTCAGCTTTATCAATTGCCTTTTGGCAGATGGAATCATAGTCATCCTGGATAGAACAGGTTCAGTCGGATTGGTTTTTTAATATCAATTTTTGGAAGGCGCACAACGCACTTTTGAGGTCGCCTTGTCATATGCCTCGGTTTCAAGCTGCTTCGCTTGGGCCATAGCTTCTGCAAATGCGGAGGCAGGCGATGAAGAAGCTTGTTGGTAAGCCGTTGTGCTACATGCAAATCAATCCAGTGCCCATGTCGACATATACGGAAAGTTGCTTACAGAGACTGTATGGCTCGCAGCCGGTCTGTGAAACCGAAATTGTCCTTCCAAGACATGGTTGACGAGAGGCACTGCTAGCAGAGGTATTATGACTTCGACCTAATACCACCTTGCAGTTACTATACCAAGTTATAGCCAATATTCAAAGTAAAGTAAAACATAGGGGGAGATCTATTCTATCATGGAGAGTTGCTATCAGGTTCCAACCTGAGGCACCAAGGCGCCAACATCAATCGCGTGGATGATGTCATGTGACCAATCAAGGAGTGGTTACAATTACGTGACGTAAATAACAGCATTAAAGCAATATGATTGATTTAATACCGCCAAGTACTGTATTGACATAACACCCTCCGTCATTCCATCCCCATTGCCGTCCTCGGCCAACATCGAATGACACGCTACTAACTGACACTGGCATTCGATCCCGATCCCGCATTCATTTCCCTTACTTGATTGGGCTGTTCTTGCCGCGAGCACCGCAGGAATTTCTTGGTTTTCTTTTTCATGTTATGCGCTTCGTGCGCTACCTTGCTCAATACCTCAATACCCCGGAATCTGAATCATGGATCTCTCACGGCAAGAGTACCCAACCCTGCTGGTAAGATTGAGCAACGCGAGCTCTGTTGTTTGCTAGCAAAGCATCTAGATACTGATCATTGGTGGTATTTCTCTTATTTAGGCCACCCTGCATCCAGGCCAAGCTACGACCGTCCTGAGCGATCGCATTCGAGTCATTAACAAGATCAATGCGGATATCGCGGATTACCTACAGGTATGACAATCTGTGACCCGATCAGATCAGATTGCTGGAAGGAAATCTGCAACGGAGAGCGGTGTTGACAAATTGGCGATAGGAACGACGCCGCGTTGAAGAAGCATATGCCCAAGGGTTACGGAAGCTAGCGCATCGGCCGCAGTTGGACAATGGAGCTGCTCTTGGGTAATTGACCCTTCCCTGGAAGATTGCATTTCTTCTGCGCCCGAAGATGATTCTGACCTGTGAAACTAGCATTTTCCAAATCCCCTGGCAACGCATCATCAGTGCCACCGAAACGCTCGCCGTGTCGCACGAGACCCTTGCGAGCAAAATCGAGGAGGATGTCGAACGACCTCTGAGGGAATTCAGCAACAAAAATCCAGAGATGAAGTCGATGCCCGGTATCCAGACTAGTTTGGCGGGGTTGGCGAAGAATGTGGAGACTGCGCAGAAAAAGGTGGACAAGGCCAGGGCGAAGGGTGTCAAAGGTGCAGACAAACTTGCTAGCGAGATCGCGAATGCCGAGGAAATGCATCAGCAATGGGATTCGCGGGCTCCCTTTGTTTACGAGCAACTCCAGGCCGCCGATGAGACCCGGCTCAACCACCTTCGGGATGTGCTAACACAATTGGAGACCCACGAGCTGGATCAAGTGGAGCGTGGTCGCCAGGCCGCTGAAAGTTGCTTGAACATTCTTCTCAATGTGGAAACCGCAGATGAGATCAAGACCTTTGCTGCTAGATCGGCGGGTCCACGGGTCCCTGTTACGCAGGCAATCGCCAGAAGTCAGACTGAACGGGCAGAGACACCTTCCGCGATTGAACCACTATCTGAGCGGACACAGACTGCGCCAGTTGAACATCATTTCTCCACACCATCGACAGAAGCACCGCTTCCGCCTCCTCCTCGCATCCAGGACGATGCGGCAAGTCAACTGTCAGACACATCCGAGAGACATGCCGTCCCTCAGACACAACCAGGTGAGTTTTGCAATAAGGTTACGATTTCACACCAGATGTGACATTTAAGTTCTCACACTTTCTCTAGTACCGGAAGCACAGCCACGGCATACTCCCTTGGGGGGACTGAGACGTCTAGGCACTGTCATGAATAGGAGAAAGAGCATTGCCATGCCCTCCACTGGAACTTTTGACCGAAAGGCGGAGAAGAAACGTAGCCCCTTTGCTGCATTCAAGCGAGCCGACTCCTCTCGCGATTTGCAAATACCCGAATCTCCCCCCTTGACCGCCACTGACCGTCCGGGGACATCCTTTACCGATCAATCATCCTTACGGAATCCTAGTGTGTCGCAAGATCACACCGGGTTAGATACTGCTGCAACTGAGCCTGAAGTACACCCCGAGAGCCCCAGAAATGGAGCCGCCCCAGAAGGATTCACCAATAACCATGTCAATCAGGTAAATTACCAACCAGGGATAGAAAATTCCGAAATGCAACAACCACTGACTAGTCTATTGTTTAGCCACACGTTGATTCAGAAGGGTTTACCCAGCGCCCTGCAACAATTGACGAGATCACGCGTGCCCAGAATGAAGCAGCGGGGTAGGTAACCTTGAGTCAATTGTGATGAATGAATGCTGACAAGTATCACTACAGGCTAGATGAGTCTGGTTTGAATTTGACGATTCGAGACCAACCCATTTTCGAGGATGAGAGCCAAGCGAAGCGGGCCATGGATGATATGGCAAATACCCTCCGAATGGTTAGTGACAGACCTCACCACTACTGATGCATTGTGTATGATACTTACTTTGTTATACAGCGGGCTCCACAGACAGGAATGAGACGCAATGCAGGTACTATTCGCGGACGCCGTGATGTTCGCAATACAATGTTTATTGCTTCTCCTGGAAATGAGCTTCCGCCATCTTCGGCAGGGTCGGAGTCCCAGCCACCAACCTCGCCAATCAGGAATATGACATCCCCCAGCATTGCCCCCAGCACTGCTACTGATGATCACACTATATCAGATACAACGTCTGTTCGCTCCGGACACGCTATGCATGGTCCAGGAGCTTCAGTCCATCCTGATTTATACGAATCTGGCCTGAATGCTTCAGTTATTGAGACCATCAATGCATGGTTCTCAGAGGGTAATGTCACCAAGTCGTTCGTTGTTGGTGAGCTTGCTCTAGCAAACAACCCTACACCTGGTACTACGGTAGACCATACGCGCATCCAACTCGATAATTTCCAGGTGCTGGAAAAGGTAGCGGCCAATCCCCACTTTGTGCAGGAGGTTTCCAAAGACGCTGGCGATGACAAGAGAGGCGAATACGATATCCAGTTGGGCAGCATCTCTCGTCCCATGCCGACAGTCGCCTTCAAGTATCAACTGCATATCGATCCAGCCAACCCCTCCGCCTACTGCCCCGTCATATTCAAGCCAGTCTGGAACCTAGAGGAATCACAGGGTAGCGCCATCATCTACTATACGCTCAACCCATCCTTCATTGCCCACTCAGCGGAGTCAATTATCCTGAAAAACCTGGTCTTGACTATCAACTTGGACACCGCCACCGAGGACCCAATTACCAAGCAGCCGCGCGAGTCAGTGGCCCACGCCATCAGCGCCGCCATGTACCCTAATACCGGCGCCACCTTCCGTCGCAAAACCTCCACTGTCACATGGAGAATACCGGAGCTGGAAGTCAAGGCCCCCACCACCCCAAGCGCAGACAGCAAGTTCCTTGTCCGCTTCGTGACGTCCACCCCTGGGCCTCGTAGGGGTACAGTCGAAGCAAAGTTTGAGCTCCGCGGCGCCGAATCCGCTTCTCAGCTGGGTATCAGCCGTGCTGCCTCAGCCGCGGAGCAGAAGGAAGCCGACCCCTTCGCCGACGAGGGTCGTGAGTCCCCGCTGTCTGCGACTTCATGGCTGGGCGTTCCGACTACACGCAAGCTGATCGGTGGAAAGTATGTCTCTTCCTAGATATGTCTTGAGCAAGGCAGGATGGAGCTACCCGCACCTGGTCATATATATTCCCCCCTTTTGTGCAATCGTTCTTCTGTTATATGTCCACTGTTTGGATTACGTGTTAGGATAGGCATCCCTACAGATAGGGCCCCAAGCCGGAGCATCACAATCTTAACATGACGCCATTACCTCTTCTTTTTCCCTTTGTTTTCTTTCTGCCTTCCCCCCCCCCGGTCTCTTGTGTTCAGAGTATTCTCTTTTGCAAATAGCGACTTTGTTATTTATGAACTTGGTCTGTTATTTTTTTGTTTGGGATGTTGTTCTGTGTAGTTAGGTATTTGCTTCGCGTACATATTTAGCTATATGTACTTGATCTCCTCTCCCGGGTGAGGCTTTCCTATCTTAGCTGCTGCCGCTTTTATGAGGGCGCTTAGAGTCAAGCTCACTCAGTAGATTTTAGCCCGGGCTCAGACTCACTTAGTCTGCAGGACGGCTAGGTAGGAATTCAAGATCTAACGTATTCCACGAATGACTAGACCACAATTGTGATGAGATTGTGGTATATAGATTTTTGACTGAACATCCTGATTTTCATTACCACGATAATATAGCCGTGAGATTTTTTTAATATGAGCATATAGTTCAAAAGCCTTATCCATCTGTCAAATCAAACAACAACATGGTTAAATATGAGGTTGGAAAATATCACATTTGCAATGTGTTTTGGCTATAAAGGGATGAAAGCCTTACTGCCTAAAGGAGCTTTCCTAAAAGGGAAAGCCGTGCCACTTGGCATGTCGTCTTGGTTCCTTGAATGCTCTGCTCGTAACCAGCCTCTCAAATACTCACCCTTCTCCCAGAGGGTTATAAAACCCAAACACTCATGATCCAGCAGGCTTGTGAAATAGGCTTTGGTGTGTGACATTTCTTGAGAAGCTCAAAGAGTCAAAGAACTCTGTGGTTTTCAAGGTTCTTGTTCGTGAGACAATCTGCACAACCAAGGTGGTAAGTGCAGCTGTGTTTATTAAAATATATTCCCTAACCACTTCTAGTTCTATGATAGAGGTCCCTCTGAAAACGATCTCTCCTACAGAGAAGTTAACCTGTTTGCCTGTGAATCCACCGCATAAGAGTCTAGATGACTTGATTGACGATGTTCAAACAGCAAAAGGTGATTTTGAAGATGTGGACACCGAGATACGAAATGCGGTGGAAAGAGGAATATAGAAGATGAACAAATTTGCAAGGAAGATGGACACCAATGTTCTATACTACGTGGCCTCTGTCCTGAGCCCGCGGATCAAATCGTCTTTGATTGGAACGCAGATGAACGCGCCAGATGTGGGAATGATCATCTCTCAAGTGCGGGAGTTCTTGAAAAAGGAGTATCCGTACGAGCCGTCCATGTGTAGTAGACCGCCCGCTGGGTATTTCCGAGACTATGTGGAGGACTCTTCGAAAAGTATAGCCGTTACAGCGGACGCTTCTTTCAGACATTGATAGATATCTAGATACGCTGCCAGTGAGTTGGTCCCACCATATGATTGACGATGCAGACGAGGAATGGGTTCTCAAGTGTGGCGAATGTATTTAGTTTGCCACTCATGGCAGAGACAGCTCAGGATTACTTGTCAATATTCTCAGCGGTAGGGATTGAACGCGATTCAGCATTGCCAGATGTTTATTGGGGCTCAGGAGACACTGTCTAAATGCAGAGACTATGCGATGACTTTATATCATGACGCGATGGATCAGTGGCGCGTCTTTCGCTGGTTGAGAGCCTCGGCTGATATTTGCCTTCAACTTCACTGATTGCGCCCAGCGATACTTGAAAATATAGCTCCTATCATTAACTGCATATAAAAGGGCATTCCTCGGCTGTAGGAGTATCTCTGTCCCTAGCCAAAAAAGGCGATTTCACTACCCAATTAGGCAAACTATACGAGCCTCTACGTCAGCGGCGCCGGGCGCTGTTGGGCTTTACTCCCTATTCTCATTGATGATTGAGTTCTGTGATATGACATTAACTCGGTCTCTTAAATGCTATTTGACAAGCGAATCAAGATGTAGACCGTCGGGGTTAGCCTACTGGTGATCGACACTAGACTACCCCAGAAGAAGTCGTATTTCACGAATGGCAGCCACCTTTGCAGTTACTTTAGCCTCTATGGGTAGTGGTTTCGTACCTGAGCGAATGGAAACGCAGTATCGAATGGCACTGCCCTAAAAGTGCTTGGGTTCAGGTACCACAGCCCCATTAAGCTTCCTATACCTAGGTACCCGTGGATACAACCCAGAACTATAAAACCCTTATGCAGGACTGAATCCACTGCTTGATGCACCAAATCTATCCAAACAATATAACCGCTAGCATGGGTACAAAGGACAAGACTCCCTCCCTCTCGCTCCTCCAAGCAGCCTCAAGTTCCAATCTCGAGGCTGTCAAAGCCCAACTTGACAGTGGCGCAAGCCTAGAAGTCCTAGATTCAATAGGCGCCTCACCCTTTCACTTAGCAGCCGGAAAAGGCCACTAGTCAATAACCCGCCTACTACTCGAAAAAGGAATGTCACCTCGGACACGCGACGGTGATGAGAACATACCTCTCCACTCAGCGGTAAAAGGCGGCCATATCGAAGTCGCTAAACTACTTCTCGAGTGCGACAGCACCGCATCAAGAGCCTGGAACAAAAGGGGCGAGAAGGCACTGCATCTCTGTTCAGAGAGCGGCAATGAAGCCATGGTTCAGCTTCTCCTGGACTCGAATCCCATGACCACCGCATCGGGATGTGGTGAAACGGCTCTCCACAGAGCAGCCCAAAATAGCCATGCCAAGGTGTGTGAGATTTTGATGAGATATGATGATAGCCATAAGCTAGGCTGGCAACTCTGTATGATTGGAATCAAAGCCCAGATCGCACAAAAGGACCTTTGTCAGCACACTCCGTTTGTATATGCCGTCAAGGGAGGCTATGCCGATATTGTTGGGTTATTTTTACGTGGAAAATGGGTTTCTTCAGAAGCGAAGGATGGGTTTAAAGATATTCTGTTTCATGAGGCTGTTAGGGCGGGGCAATGTGATATTGTGCAGGTGTTTTTGGATTATGGGGCTCCGATCGACCTGAAAGGTCGAGACGGTAAAAGGGCGTTGCATTTGGCTGCTGATAGTAGGAATTTGGAGATGGCGAGACTGTTGCTTGGAAATGGAGCTTCGCCGAAGATCAAAGACTCTATTGGAAATACCCCCAGGCAAAGGAGTTGGGATTCGCAGGTAACGATGCTCATTCGTGAGTATGAAGATCGGGCTGCCAGTGCTGGTGGGAAAATAAAGAAGGTGGCACCTGTGAAGGCTGCCGTGGCTGCTCCTCCTGAATATGTGGCATGATACATAGTAGTTGTGTTTCATTGGGTTCTTGTCTCTGCTGCGTCTGGCATTATTGTTCTTCATTGTGTATAATCCACTATACCCTGTATTCAACATTTCGCACAAACTTGTGTTGAACCTTAACTTGAACACCTATAGATGATCTTCTAATAGGTATCTGAGTTCCCTGTGAAAATATTGAGCAATCTTAGTGCGCCTGCGAGGCTGATATATCGTGCTAGTATTGTATTACCATAAATAAACGTGAAGGCGGTCTACTACTTGGTATCTTTTTATTTTGATGGCTGCCAGGAAGCGGCCAACGCCTGGACGGCTCAGGCTGGTACTGTCCCTATATTTCCCGAAATAAACACAACTAATACTGCAGCATAGGCGGCCGCAGCACCATATATTTCCACTCTCCTAGCATTGGTCAAGAGTGCAATACTGAGAGCAAAGGTGAACGTATACGCGACCACTAAACCCAACTTTGTAGTCTGATCATTGGCAATGTAAAGGCTGATAATGGCAACAATCAACAGGATTGCAGCAACTAGGATACTAATTGCGGCAACTATCTGCGTGACATAATGTCCCTTGTATACTGTCGTGCGATCAAGTGGGTCGGTGGTTTTGCGGCTCTGAAAGGCCCAGTGATCTTGAAGAAGTTTTGAGAGAATATCTTCGTCGGCGGGCCTTCGTAAGGCGACTAGATCGTCTGCTTCTTTCAACATATCCTTAGCTCTTCCGCTTATAATCGGGACTGATTGTAAATAAGGGCCTTTCCAGGCGTTTCCCTCCAAATAGTCGCGATAAGTGGAAAGAACACGAGCGCTAGGTCCGCTTAATTCAGCGATTCGAGATTGTCGCAGCAGTGCCTCTTCTAAGTTGGATTATTAGCTCAAAAGTTATTATCCAGCATGAAATACTCACCGTACTCTTTCATCGTAGCCGATAGCTCAGCCACCTTCTCTAGACGTTTCATCTCTGGCCTTGTCGGATCAGCAGCAAGCTGCGTGAGTGTTTCCCATCGTCGCGATGCCTGACGAGCGTCGAGGTTGGGACTCCTCCGCGCTTCGTCATCAAGTTCATCTATCTCTTGTTCTAGCTGGATAAGCTGACTCTGCAAGTGGAGAAGGTTGCGAGCGCTGAGTTTCCTGAACCTGCGGAAGACCAAGGTTTCGCCATCGGGGTCTCGTCCTATCCAGCCAGCGAGTGCGGGGTAACCATCGCGGACAATTCCAAGCTCTGCGCTGTCCGGATGTAGAGCTTCCGCCATAACATTGCTCAGTCGACGATAATATCCAGTGGATATCCGCAAGGAAAATATCTGCTGTCCGGAGCCCTTGCCAGTGTGGCCGTCAGCCCTGGGAGATGCCCCGCGGGAAGCCAGCGACCACATGTGATTTTCTTCCCTGTCAGCATGCCTAACGTGGCTGTGCTAGGCTGCCTAGTCAGTTACCCAGCCTTCAGTAGGTTCAGCTCACGTATTTTTGACATCTTCTTCATAGCCCTCCTGTTTCAGAGGCTCAAATAGCATATTCAACACTGCGCGTCCAAATCCCAGGGGGACTTGACCAGCATGGAGGCCAACGAGCATAATCCTTTACGGTTTGTTATTCTGATCAGGCAAGTCTGATCTTGTTCATACTCTGATATCCCATAGGAGACCTTTTGTAGAATCGCTTATTGCTGAAACAGAGTCGGAACCATCCACAGTCTATTCAAACGCGCAGTCAGCATATTCAGCACTTTCAGAAAAGACGACCGCTTTGATAAGGGGAAGATGGAAGCAGATTCCCGAATTATCTATACAAATAGGAACGAAGGATGTCATTAAAGAGCGATTGACATATGAAGTTCGACGAATGCATGCCGAGGAAAGGATGAGGCAGAAGAGGCAACTTGCGGCCCTCAGGCAAGAGCTCTACGAGCGACATGGGCAAGATCATCTATACCGCAAGCCCTTATCTGAGCCTGGGTTCTCCTTCGATTTGCCAATTTCGTCAAAATCCCCGAGATCCGAATATCAGAACGAGGAAACGCATTATGAGGAAAGGATGAGGCAGAAGAGGAAACTTGCGGCCCTCAGGCAAGAGCTCTACGAGCGACGGGAGCAATACCGCAAGTCCTTATCTGAGCCTGGGTTCTCCTCCGATTTGCCAATTTCGTCAAAACCCCCGAGATCCGAATATCAGAACAAGGAAACGCATTACGAACAAGAATTGGCATCAAAAAGTGCTCTTTCTAACAATCACGAGGTGCGCATCTTCGAAATACCGTGTCAACTTGCAAACCATTCCACCAACGCGCTTGGGGATTATGGGGCAAGGAAAAACTTCATGAGAGAAGAGTATGCCCTTCGCTTGGGACTGCCGATAAGCCGGAAGTCCGCCCGCAAGGTCACCATCGGTAGTGGGAAAGAGGTGACAACGGTGGGAACTGCAACTGTGCCATTCCGGTTCACCGGCGAAAATGAGGGCCACAAGCTTGAATTCCAGCTTCTTCCCAACTGCATCCACAATGTGATCATTGGGAAAGCATTTCTGAAACTCACGGAGACATTCTCAAATATCGCCAATTTCTGTCGTCGTGTGAAAGAAAGAGTTGCCAAAGGTATCTCGCAGTTCCATCTCCTATATCTTGGGGCGTTTACTCCAATGTTTGAGGGGTCCATCAATGGCCAGGTACAGACTGCTCTCGCTGATTCCGGCTCAAAGGTGTTGCTCATGGATGAGGCTTATGCGCGAAGTATTGGGTTGCACATTCAGACTGGACACGAGCATCAAACGAGACTGAAATTTGCTGATAATTCCGTCACGGACACGGTCGGCATGGTCTATAATGTCAAGTGGCGCTTTGGCCACGATGGTGAATTTACCTCACCTTACCCTCTTAACTTCCATATTCTGGAGAATGCACCTGCGAATGTCGTGTTAAGTGATACCTTCCTCTTTGACACCAGAGCTTTCTCAGAATATCATCGTTACTTAATAGACGATGATGATGACTGTGAAGATGAAGACCCGCTGATTCATTTGCTTGCGATCGATATTGATAAGCGAAAGAAGCGAACTGAAGGTACGATATGTACTACACCGAGATGACAGCTTTTCTCTCTGACTATTTTTTCCTCAGTGAATATAGCCTCCTTCTCTCTGGCCGATTTACGGCACCTCGAACTTGTTCGCCGCGGTGAAGAGGCAGACCATATCTCTACACTCTCAAAAGCCAATGGAACGGCCGCGCAAATTATTGAGAATGAGCGATGTGCCGAATGGGACCGGACATTCACAGCTGTGCATACAAAAGATCGACCGCAGAGCCTACAACTGCTTTCTGTGGCCGCTGTCTCGCAGATCCAATCGACTACGTCTTCACATTCAAGCACATCCGGCCTTAAAGGGTCTAGATCGAATCAAACACATAAGAGGGGATTTCTGAAGTTCTCGACTTGGCTGAAGCGTGGAATATTGAGTACGAGCTAACATGCAAGCGTCCACGTTAAGCAGAAAATAGTTTTGGGCGGGTACCTATTGTATTGGGGGACATAGTCCACCAATCCTTTCTTTTTTTGCAAGTTTTGTTTTGTAAGCATTGATGTACAGAGGTTACAAGTAGCAGCTAGTCACAGATTGAATATATTTACACACTCCTACACCTCTCTGAAATCCCTTCTTGGACGGACGTCCTGATTCCCTTCTGTATGCCGCGGTTGGTATAATGCTGAATTGCGAGTGCTGAGTCGACCCGTATGTCCCCGTTCTTTGTTCTTGTCCATATATGTATTAGTGCACCCCCTAGTCGCGACTGTCTCGACAGGATCGACTTCATAAGCAATAGCAAGTTTTGCTTGTGATGTGTGGAGCTCTATGGCTATTTTCTCTATTCTCTACCGTATATTTCCCCCGTTTCCCACATTCTCGGGGGTAGTGTTGTGAGTGGTATGGTTGAGTGCTTAGGACACTACCTAAGAAGTGGAAAGGTCTTTACACCCACCCCGGTAGACTTGATTCATGGTATGACTAGTCTCAGTATGCTGATCCGGAAAATGACTTTGCTACGAATATTGCATATTTCCGTCCCGATGCTGATCTGATCGAGCGTCAACATGTCTATTTCATCATATCGGAAGTATCCGTCTACCACCTAGAAAAACGACCGACCGCTATGGAAATTTTGCGAGATCTTTCATTCAGGGCTATCATGGATCGGTGCGGTTGTTGAGACTCGAGATCAAGTGACAAACGAGATGAATAGACTATCAATTCCATTCGCAAAACTCAAAGTAAAATCCAATATTAGTCTACGTAGCTGTTGTGTTGTGCCCTCTAGAAGAAAACTCAATGGAACTTCTTCTGAAGCACTTAAAGCTGCGGGAGAACTTGCCTCTCCCAGTCACAGAGTGCAAAGAATGGCCTGTAGAAAACGGTCTACTTAGGGCGTTCTACTAGCGCAAAGTTTGGAGAACCAGCTAGCTGAGTATATCACGGATAGTAAGTCATGCCTAAAACGGACAATCGTTTGGGGAGAGTGGAGTTATTATATAGACAATCCAATTCATAGTAACATGCGCGGTGTGGTATAACTAACGACCCGCGCCTCTATTATTTCATATTCTCATATATTATGGCTTCCCAGTTCCCCCTGTCTTTCCTCTTGTTATTCCCTCTGGAAATCCCCATCAACATCGCCAATTGGCCCATAATGCGCGATCCACAAGGTCTGCACGTATTCTCCCTTGTAACTAAGCGCTACTGCTCCCCTGCTAGCCCCCGTAAGATGATATCACTAGCCATCCGATTGACATAGACTTCAGCGGTATTCCGCAAGCAATTAGTGGAAATGGTGGTACAACGAGTCGATAGTTGCAGTTATGGCCAAGCGTGGTACGACTTAACAGTACAGGCATCAAGGCGCGGTAGACAATAGCCGATATTATACAAACGCTCGTAATCAACTACGTTGCTGTTTTTTCGTTGCACTCGACAATTGCAGTTGCCAGGTCTCATACTAGAAGAACATTCCCGAAGGCATTGCCGGAACCATTGAGGTTTGCCTTGTTTACAACCCTTGGCTTCGCGACAGTAGAAAGTAGCCGCCCCACCCTTGCAATCGATCTCGGATGTGCATGGTATACCCTGAGGACTCCGGATACCTGTCACGGCTCCGAGAATGTCGTTGAACGGGTCGTCGATATCGACCGAGGAGTCGGATGCAGCATGATTACCATCTACCGTCCCGTCGGATGGACTAAGGGCCTGCTTGGATGGTGGTGGGGGAGGAGCGGGACGCGGGAATTTAGAAGTGGAATTCAGAACGCAAAGTGCGGGATTCTGCCATGTGGCCTCCGCGGCGTAGTTCCACAGGTTGGTGAAGTTATACCAGGTTTGTGGCGTGTAGAAAATACGACAGTCGGCTGGCTGGTAGAGGAACTGGAGGGGCGTTCGTTCCGTGTCATCCTGACGCACCTGATCACGGAGATTGACGCTCGCGTAGGAGATGTAGTAATCGAGTGTTCGGTCGGGCAGTCGGCTTCCTAGAGAGGGGTCCTGCTCTTTTGCCAATGCTATGTCGTTGTCCAGTTGATCATTTGAATATCCCGAGGCGCCACGAGTGCCCGCTGGTGATTGCATGGGCCCGTGGCTGGGTCGACCTCCTGCTACTACCGTGCGTACGCCGGCGTCATGGTGCATCATTTCCATGAAGAGGGCACATGCTGATGAGCAGAGACCGTCGCTGAGCTAGGGATTGTGTTAGCCATGGACCATCCCCCCTGGAACCATCCATCGCGTAGCCACTCACGATAATGATGTCTTCGGCCGCGAAGGCTGCCTGCGGCGTTTGCCAGCCGTCTACCACCGTACCGAGTGCCTCCAAGTCGAAGGTATCGCTGGTCAGGTTGAACTGCTCCTATATTTTTCCTCCAACACATCAGTCACGATTCCAGAGTGCGGTGAGAAGAGAAGGAAGGAATAATCTTACGACCTTGGTGAAGTTATCACTATGGTAGGTACTGGCTGGTCCAAAATACTCCTGCCATGAGGTGAAGTTGTCGCCAGATTCAGCGTCGATGCGATCCGTGACAACCCATTCGTCCGTAGATAACCAGGTATAGTTGTCACTGACTAGGTCGAGATTATTCCAGTAGTCTGTGATGGTAGACCCCAGGGCGTCGGCCATGGGATGCGCGCGCCGGCGGCTTCCTGCGAACGGTTCATCGACAGGGAAGAACTTGAGTGTTACAGCACCCGATTAGAATCTATCTTGAACCAAAATTGGACAGGATCATCTCACCAGTTTGAATGTTTCGATCGCTAGGAGGGTTTCCCCGCCAGCATTCTGCTGCACGTCGATGACGACTTTTCTTAGTCCTGCCCTGCGACTGCGCTGTATGAATGCTTTCACTGCATTGCTGAATGACTCAGCGCTCTCTCCATAGTATGTAAAAGAGGGAATAACCAAGACTGCTAAAGAGGATTGATTGAGGAAATATCCGCGCAAGGACATTCCATCAAATTCCGAGCTAGGCTCCATTGCGATATCGACCAGGGGAGGGTAGGGCGCGGTGTCTTCAGGAGACGGCACATCCGAGGGGCCTGGTGTTGAGATAGGCAAAGAAACAATGCTGCTTGATGGGGTTCCAGTTGCCGTCGTGTCGTCTGTGGTGTTGTACGGGTCGTAGGAATCCGGGTACCAGCCTAGCACAAAGAAATTGTAAAAGTCGCCGCCCGTTTCGAGGGGTCCCGTATCGAGTTGGGTGTAATAAAGGGATATCCATGGGAGAGGGGGAGTCACGGTTTGATTTTCAAATGTTATGGCCATCGTATCGCCAGGGTAGACACTGGCCGCGGCGAACACTTCTAGATATCCTTGATTGTCCAATGCAGCACTTCTCATCAGCATATTCCAGTCTGAATGGGGCTCCAGATTGCCAAAGGAGTTGGTAATGGCGAATTCGGTCAGATAGTCAACAACATCTTGGCCATTGATACTGACAATGGGTGATGGTTCCCAGCAACTAGGAGGTTCGTTCTCGTTAGGGCCCGTACAAAGATTCGGATAGCTTTGGTTAAGGAGCAAATCATCTGTAGGAAAGTCAGTGCTTGGTCCTTATTTCCAATAATATTCATCCCTCCCGACGATCATACGTGCGACATAAACCTTTGGTAATTCTAATCCATCCAACGATACCGATACGATATCGACCGGCGCTGCGAATATAAAGTTCTCTAGCACACCGCCATTCAAATTCAGATGGCCGTCGTGTGCTGAAGACACCAGCCCATTGAGAGCGACCTCGAACTCGTATTCGTTTGCAAAGAGGCCTTGGTCAACCCGACGCTGGAGTTCTGTCAAGCCGGCTAATAGGTCGACCGCCGGCTGCTGGTAGGTCGGGGGTGGATGTGCAAGATAAGCGAGGGTACTCTAAAATTGGATGGTATCGTTTATGTACTTGATCAGTCGACTACCAACAGCCGGGTTGAAAGGAACGCTGATCAGGCAGTCATAGACTTTTGTCGCGTTGAATAGCAGGCGGCTTTGATGAAGAGAATCTTCACTGTTGTTAACGCAGGCACCAAGTAAATAATTAAAAGAAAGAGCGCGTACTTCGACCCTGAACAATGTCTCCACACACCGTTGGATTGGGTGTAAACGTGCTGGTGGTAGTACTGGGAGGCACCCCCAACACCCCCGGCACTGTCCACGAAAGCAGAGGGAAAATAGCAGCAACGAACCGCATGGTAAAGACTTGACTAGCTACCTTACTGCTTTGCCCTTGGAAGTTAGCTGGTGAAAGATGGGTACAGCAACTTTCTTCTTATCTTCTTTGTTTTATGTGTTATATTTTGTATTTTATAGTTTATCTTTTATGCGGGGAGCTGCAAGCTAGCGCACTAACGGCAAGATATTCGGGGCTGAATTGTCTCTTGCTAAAATGGCGTGATCTGCATATTGATTATTTTGCCTACGAAAGATATCAATTGGTCAGTATAAACACATATCATCCCTTAATTGCAAGTCGGGGTATGCGGAGTACGTGTGTATGGCCTCGGGTAGGGCTCCAGAGCGGACATGACAGTTGGATTTGACTTGTCGGATAAGTACCCGGGGGCGGGTCAGGACCACCTTCCCTAACACTTTAATACACACTACATACGGATGTATGTATGTATCACACTGTCACATGGCCATCCCGGGGGCCAAAGCACTACTATTGATAGACGACAAACTTAACTTCTGCTACTCCTCCATTTCAAATCAAAATTTCGGGAAGGATCGACGCAAAGCAGCCCATTAATCTTCGCATTTATCATTTAAATCATCAAATTCCCGGCCTCCTACTGGTGGCCGGTCACCATCGAGGCTGAATCCACATTCCGCACTGCGCCCGGGCGACAAGGCTGTGAGGCTGAGTGCCAGTCCCTGCATGGTGCATGGTGGGAGCGAGTCATTAGTGCTGATGTGAGCTGAGCTGCTCCCACATGGCGTATGCAGCGGAACTTCCACGGCCTTGTCGGAAGATAAGGAATGAGGCTCTTCAGGAAAGGGGAGAAGTTCTCATAATTATGCAAGCAGATATGCGTCTTCAGTACCGATCCATCCCAATGCCCTCCAGATAGATTTGATACCCAGACAAAATGGCCTCTACAACACGACTGAAGCTCAAGCGTGAGGATTACACGGTGGCATGGGTTTGCATCTTACACATTGAGCTCGTGGCAGCCATGGCTATGCTGGATGACTCCCATCAACCCCTCCCTACTCCCAAGGACCAAAACTCATACAATCTCGGTCGCGTGGGGGAGCATAACGTTGTTATCGTGAAGGCAACCGCCCCAGGGAAGGCTGAGGCTGCAACTGTGGCCACTAACCTCGTCCGGTCCTTCCCAGAGGTCCGCTTTTCACTCGTCGTGGGCATCGGCGGGGGTACGAGAGATGCACCCAACCCGTACGGGGGAACAGATGATATAAGGCTGGGTGATGTGGTCGTCAGTGAGCCTAAAGGGAATTATGGTATGTAAGACATGCAAGCACCACGCATCGATTCCCATGCTACCTTGCTGTAAATCTAATGGGATGTGAATACCGTTTCTAGGGGGGGTCTTTCAGTACAACCTGAGCCGCGAACACGATGGGGGTTACTATATGGGACCGCATCTGAACAGGCCTCCGCCGGTCTTGGTTTCCGCGACGGGGAACCTCAGAGGCAATCACGCACTGGGACAAGGGAGTATGCAAACGTTCATCGATGAGGGTATAGCTAAGCTCCAAGGGGTCGGGAACTCCCATTTCCGCTTTCCCGGCCGAGAGCACGACCTTTTATTTCGTTCGGACTACAAACATCCAAAGGGGCCGACCTGTGACGAATGTGATCCTGGCCTGACAGTGACTCGAAGCGACCGCGAGCTCCTCTCGGTTCATTACGGTCTTGTTGCCTCTGCCGATGTGGTGATGAAATCAGCCCATGTGCGAGACCGGATGCGTCAGGACCAGAATGTGATTTGCTTCCAAATGGAGGCTGCCGGGCTCATGAACAATTCTCCGTGTATTACCATCCGCGGCATCTCGGACTATGCCGACAGTCATAAGAATGATCGGTGGCAGCCCTACGCTGCGATCACGGCAGCGGGATATGCGAAGGATCTCCTGAGGATCATCCAGCCAGAGGAAGTGGTTGGGACAGAGTTGGCAGCTATATTTGTTGATCGTATGTAAATTACCCACCTACCTCCCAAGAGAAAATACATTCCGATCATCCTGAAACTGACTGTATCCCCCTTCGGTCACTTCAGTAAAGCAAGATATCACACAGATCAAGGCCGCGAATGAGACTACCTATCGGAACAAGATTTTAGACTGGATTACCCCCATTCATTTCCACAAACGGCAGGTGGATCTGTGGCAGGACTGTGTCCCAACCGGAAAATGGCTGCTCGACTCGGAGCAGTTCAAATATTGGGTTGATGGGGCTCGCCAGCGACTTCGCTGCTATGGACTGACCGGCACCGGCAAGGTAAGTAATAACCCTAAAAACCTGTAAAAGGTGTGTATCGACGCCCGTCTGACATCGTGGACAAGACCCATCTCTGTGCTATTATAGTGGACCATTTGCAAAAAATGTTTCCGTTGCGTCCTGTCCTTTACATATATCTAGACGACAATCGACAAGCCGAACAAACTCCTGAAAAGTTAATGGGCAGCCTTCTTAGGCAGCTAATTCAGTTTGACACATCGTGCGAGATCCCCCAGTTAATCCAGGATCATTACGGCCGCTATGGTATAGAACAGTCGCCGAGTACCATGATCCAGCGTGAGGCTTTTGAAACCCTGCTCGAAAGATACAAGCGAACATACCTTATCGTTGACGGCATGGGAGACTGTGGTAAGGCTGTGCGTGAGGTTGTCCGAAATTACCCCATGGACCTCGTGGAGAGAGGTCAAAAGATAAGTCTCCTTACCACATCCCTAGGCTACACCGAAAGGGAAAATATGATAGAGTGCAACCTCTGCAAATCGCGGAACCCTGCCATATACTTCAGCTGTGGCTGCGATAACGACGGATTTGATGTGTGCTGGGGTTGTCGACAAAAAGGATTGAGATGCCCCAAAAGCCATGAGGGGGTAGTGCAATACGACGACGACGTCGAAGTCCGAGCTCAACCTGAAGAGCTCAAGGAGTATTGTCGTCACCGGCTGCAGTCGGAAATCTCGGTCCCCGAAGCATTGAAGGAGCTAACGGACAAACGAATGAATCCGGCTCCGGCCTTCATCGCGTCCAGCAATGCCCGGTACATAAGTAACAAGCCCGACCTGCTGGACACTATTGCCAGGCAGATTGCACAAAATGCATCGGGGAACTTCCTGGTGGCCAGGTGCTGTATGGAAGATTTCCTGGCAACCAACATCGCGGTGGCGACGGATCAGGACCTGCTTGACCAGATACAAGTCATTCCCCACGACTCTTTAGTGCAGCATGTTAAACGGAAACTGGAAAGAGTCGAGTACCACCAGTCGACGGGTCGTACAAAGCGACTAGGCCCGGAAACGCTGCGCTTTGTCTATTCAGCACGCCGCTGCCTGACCCTGAAGATGCTCACGCATGCACTGGCCTTGCAAAGTAACACGGGTCAGATCAGGCCATCTAACCTGGACAAGAGAGTGCCTATATTGGAGGCATGCAAAGGACTTATCTCGATCGATAGAGCTGAAGAGGAAGAGTCATGGGTTTCGTTTTTCCACATTTCCATATCGAAAGTTCTGGCCAGGCTGGATCATGAGATGTTGAACGACGCGCATACTGTAATGGCCCGCAGTTGCCTAAAATACCTTAAGCACCCAGATGCTTTGGACCATTGTGAAAAGACCAAAGATTACCCATTTTTGCCCTATGCCTTGGAGTATTGGGGGGACCACGTCAGGATGGCCTATCCAAAGATCGATCATCCTGTTCAACGTGACGCATTCCAGTTTGTGCACAACACCCACTACATCAAGGCATGGGCTAGAATGGTGAAGAGGACAGGTTACACCATCTTGGTCCTCTGGATTCACGAGGATGCTCATGGCCTCCACATATGTGCTTGGTTTGGATTATCAGGGTTTATCAAGAGGCTGATCCATGAGGGCGATGATGTCAACATTCGTGATCGACGATATAGTAGGACCCCCTTGCGATACGCTTGCGTTCAGGGCCAGTTCGACGTGGTGCGCCAACTGCTAGATTTAGGGGCAGAACCCGAGGATGCCACACTCGTGGATGCTATGCTTGGTTCATCCGATGCAGATCACCCGCTCCCCGACAAAGAAGAAGATAATCGCTTTGAAATTGTACGGATGCTCTTGCAGAGGGAAAGAATAAATATAAACGCCAGGGTCGGAGGGCATGGCAAAACGGCTCTCATCCGCGCAGCAAAACGCCCCTATCTTTTAGGCGTCAAAGCACTATTGAGAGACAAATCAATAGATGTCGATGTACAGGACGCGAACGGGCGTACGGCCATTATGCAGGCCATACGTGCTTCTTCACTACAAAACACAATGACCTGCGACTCGCAAGACAGCTGCCATGAGATTGTAACATTACTTCTTGAGCGCAACGCCAACCCTAACATCATGGATAATGCCGGACAAAGCGCTTTAACGTTGGCAGTGAGGAACGGAATGGCGAACACTGTCGAAGCCCTGTTGCGATGCAGCCGGATAGAGTTGAATTTTCCCAACAAGCTTCTTCGCCTTGCGAGCGCAGAGACACACCCAAAGGTGATTTCCCTGTTACATGACAAACTATCAAAGAATCCCCGGTACAGTCTCAACTCACTGGATGAAGCTGGATGCACGCCCCTCCATCATGCATGCCAATCAGCCAGTTCCCTTGCTCGTGACACTATCGAGGCATTACTGGAGCGAGGTGCAGATCCAAATATTGCCAATAAGCAACGTCATACAGCTTCCATGCTGTTGTTTGCCCTTCAGGACAAAAATGTTGCAAACTCCCTAGCTAATCGATACCCCGGGCTAAACAAATTTGCCCCCTCGGTTGCAGCCGAGATTATCAAAGACTTGCCCGCCTTGGTTCTCGCAAAACATCAGCGCTGGGATCTAATCCAGGATGCTATCACCAGCAAGCGAGCAACCCTCAAAGTACGCGACCTGGTTGACGGGCGTTCCATCTTGCATGAGGTCGTATTGGAAAATAAAACCAAGCTGGTGGACATGATATTGTCTGCCAGAGTCCTCGACCCAAACTGTCTCGATCTCTACGGGCGGACACCACTGCACCTATCGAACAGCAGCGATACTGCCAAGGTACTAGTCCACCATGGCTGTGATATCCGCCGCGTGGACCTCTCTGGAGATACTGCGCTAGCCAGTGCTCTCCGAAGAAGTGTCTCTGACGTTGCAGATTACCTTGTCGATGCCGGTGCAACTGCAACAAACAATCACCATGAAATCCAACATCTCCTAGCCATGGCCGCAAAGATTGGAGCTTCTAAAGCATTTGAGGCTCTGCTCAACCCTCAATCGGGTGTTCCAGATCAGCAAGGGTCGCTGGCACTCCGCAGGGGGTTTCATGACTGGTTCTGGATCAGATCCACTCATTTCAAGCACATCCGCTCGCCGCTCTTCGTGTGGTTTATTTTGGCTGCGTGTCTAATTACTGTGACGACTGGTCTGCTGTAATTGATTTCCATTCTAAAATTTATCTCTACATATCAATTCATACTGTTTACCTTCCCAGACAGCAACGTCTACATCACCCAAAGAAGAGCTCGAGGTTTTGTATATGGTACATTCACCATCTAGGGGTTTAGGGAGCAGGAAATAATAAACTGCTTTTGTTCCAGTAAACCTCTATATTGCCATGCTCGGTTATTACTCCATGATCAAAAAGCAGAAAGGGAGAGGTTTTGAGTGCCAAACATCACCCCATACATGTAAGATAATTTCAGGATTTGAAGGTTTTTCTAGGGATGTGAGAGATGGGAGGATAGAGTACCATGGTGGATTGTCTGCAAGGCCCTCATTGATACAAGGAAAGAGTGGGTAAGATATAGGTATGCAGTGTTGATTTAATTACTGCATAAACAAACAGCGGGTCATCACTGACAAGAACACACAACATAGCACAAATCAACATGTGCCGGGGAATCACAAAAATACAGATATGGAAAAGTTAAGAAAAAGCCTTGACGAATATGATACTGATCCGACATATCACATCCTAGCAGCGCGGGTGGTCTTATCATAGAAGTCCAAGGTCATGGCTGCCAGGAAACATGGAATATCCTTTCTTTCTTCGACCCAGAATTTGATGAGAGGTTTAAGCTCCATGGCAAACAGACTGTTCGGTCCACCCGATATCTTCATGGTGCCGTTCTCGCCATCGAAGACGATGGAGTTTTCTTCACCGTTGCCCATGCTGCCGGGACCAGAGTCAGAAGGTGCATCGCAGTCACCGTGCCGGTATGCAGAGGAGAGGTGGAACATAGAAGTTACACGCACTCTGCCATTTGGTAAGAAATCAAGCTTGAAGCCGAGGAGAGAGGCTACGGCTTCCCGGAACTCAGAGGACTTCGCTGTCCAGATCTCCTTCAGTCGGCGCATACGCTTCTCTTTATCGGCGACGGTGCGCTCCATGTCTTGCATTTCGAGCTTGATGCTCTCTAGGGTGCTAACCGGGACAACTTTGACATCGGTATGGCCCCCGCGTAGCTGCGACATGAGGTCTTTGTTCGCAGACTGGAGAGTTGCAAGAGTAGTCATCTTAATTTGTTCGGTTTGAGCTGTTGGATTATCGCGCAGTTCAAGAACGCGTGTTCGTGACTTGGCCTTCAAAGACTTAATCTGCGACTTGGCCGCATCCAGTTCCCGGCGAGCGAGAGTCGTGGCCTGGTCTGATTTGGTGAGATGTTCCTGGAGCTTGCGGTTCTTGCGGCTGAGCACAGCGATACGCTCGCTTTCGGCTTCGCTATTGGTTGGAGACAGAGGTCGCTTGACGCCTCTTGTTTCTTCTTCTTTCGGTGCTTCCTGCTTAGAAAGCTCTTCGTGCACTTTGTGGAGCTCACTGCGGTATTCATCGACGAGTTGTTGCAGTTGGGTTATTTGCTCTGATTTTTGTCCATCAAACTGTGACTGATCTTCGTTCATTGTGGCCTCTTCCGCATCAAATGTCTTGAGTTGGGCCCGCAAGTATTCAACTTCCTTCACTGCAAGCGCACGCTGGCGCTCCAGTCGAGCTCGAAGCCGGCCCTCCGCGACACCCGGTCCTCCGGCAGAAGCGGCACTCGCAACGCGGAGTTTCTCCAACTCCTGTTGCAGAGTATTTTTATCACTTTCGAGGCTTTTGATAGCCTCATCCTTCTCAAGAAGTTGAGCATCAACAGTTCCCAGACGATCAAGGAGCGTAGCAACCTCAATTCGTCCTTGAACGACCGCCCTCACGATGGCATCTGGGGAGTCAAACTCTGCAGGCTGGTCATTTTCCTGCAACAGACTAACCCAAGATTGTCGTTCATCCTCCAAGATCTGCTTCTGGATTTGAACTGTATTGAGTTCGGCTTCAAAGCCCTTCATCAGCTGGAGCTGGTTCTCCACTGATCTTTTTTGTTCTTCAACGACTTCAACGTTCTTTGAGATTTTTCGAAGGTGACGCAGCTCCGTTGTTTGATCACGGGTTGCCGACTCCAATTCCCGAATATGGTTGACCTGCTCGGAAAGTTCTCTTTTTAAGACATTCAACGCTTCGGCATCGTTTCCCTCGGCCTTCAATCGAATATTCTCCGCTTCGAGCTCGGCGACCTCAGCTTCACGCTGGGACAATTTCTCTTGCGTTGATTCCTGCGATGTCCTGGCATTTTGAATATCGGTCTGGAATTCTTCGATCGTCTTTTGTAGGGAAGCGCGGACGGTCTCTAACTCATTGATCTGGTATTTAAATTGTCGTTCCTGGTCAGAAAGTCGGGCTTGAGTGTCGTCAAACTCTTCTTGCAAGTTCTGGTTCTCGTCTTGGAGCCCTCTAATCTTGCGCTCAAACGCAAGTTTGTCATTCAAAGTCTGGTCTTGGATCTGTTTCAATTCTTTCGCGAGTTCCTCGCTCTTGTGGGTGGCCCGGTTGCTCGAAGATTCGGCAGTCTGCAGCAAAAATTGTCAGGTTGAGCTCGTGTAAACGAGAATTTTGCAGCGACTCACCTGGGCCTTCCGGAAATCTGAATCCGCTTTCAGTTGCAAGTCGCGGGTTTCTTTTTCATGGCGAAGAGCCTCCAACTCGCGTTCCTGCTTGATATTCTCGAGCTCGTATTTGAGGGTACTCAATTGCACACGCAGTTCGTCTTTCTCTGTGTCTAAACAAACCAGTCAGTTTTCCGTCAAAGGCCTCTCGAGTTACTCTGAGCGCGGTATCATCTTACCATGAATGGGTTGATGGGACTGGGCTTGGGATTGTGTAAAACGGCCAGATTGTCGCAAAGCAGTCGATCGGCGCATGGTACTCCGTGCACTGGAGGGTGTCGAGGGTGAGCCGAATCCAGCAATAAGCTGGGAAGCCGGTCGGCTATTCTGGCTATTGTCCATCTATTAGGAGCCAGGAGAGGTTAGTTGTTGCATTGAAAAATAATTTGGAGATACATCAAATCTCACGGTGAGTATAGGCTATTGTAAGCCCCACAGAAAAGCCTGTCTAATGAGGCATGAGGCAAGAAACACTGCGCAACTTGTCCTAGAGCTGTATCAAAGGGAAGATGGTTAAAGGCGGGCCGCCTTGTTTAGGATTATGTCAGCAGTGAACTGTACCCGAAAAGGGGTTAGCGCCGTTTTAAAAATTATTTCGATTTTGGCATCGAATTCTCAGTTCACCACCCTCACCCGTGACTCGTCTCCTTCCACCTCGGTCTCTCGTTCGATTTTACTCAATTTCTTCCGCTTAATACCCCACAATCGTCACCATGGGCAAGGACAAGGTCGAGAAGAAGGACCGCGCTGAGAAGAAGGAGAAGCGTGCGGAGAAGGACGGTGTGCACAAGGTCAAGAAGGAGAAGAAAGAGAAGAAGGATAAGACTGCTCTTGTCGATGCAGTAGAGAAGGAGATTGACTCTGAGGCCATGGAGGGTCTCGAGCAGACCGGTGCTGTTGCTGTCAAGGGCGAGGGTGAGGTTGACGCCGCTGTCGACCGCCCCGTCGGCGCCCTCGTGCCGTTCGCCAACCCATTGGTTGAGGACAAGCAGGCCAAGAAGGTCCTGAAGAGCGTCAAGAAGGGTACGTTCATTGTCTTTTTGAAATTTTACTTCACTATTCCACTATCAGTGCGCATGGTCGATTTTCATCGGATCTTCGGATCACCCATGTCTACTGATCGCATGGTTGCGCAACTTTTTTTTCTTATCTCCAGAACATCCATGCTGACATTCCCTCTTCTAGCTGCCGTCAACAAGTCTCTCAAGCGTGGTGTCAAGGAGGTCGTTAAGGCTCTCCGCAAGTCTCCCATCCCCGCCGCCAACGCTGCCATTGGTGTCCCCAGCGGTGTTGTCGTTCTCGCTGCCGATATCTCCCCCATGGACGTTATCTCCCACATTCCCGTCCTGTGCGAGGACCACGGCATTCCCTACGTCTTCGTCACCTCCCGCGCTGAGCTCGGTGCTTCCGCTGCCACTAAGCGCCCTACCAGTGTGGTCATGGTTACCCCCAAGGCTGCCAAGGGCAAGAAGGAGGATGATGAGGAGTTCACCAAGGTGTTCGAGGAGCTTGCTGGCTTGACCCAGAAGGAGCTCAAGAAGCTGACAGTCTAAAAATGTTCTCGACTTGTCTCTTTTACCTTTTGTTATTTGCTCTTCCCACGCTGTTCACTGCGAGTGGGTTCTCTGGTTGTACAGGTTTCTGATACCGTCTGTTCGGATGGTGCATGTCTTATGGGGTCCGGCCTATGGGTATCTTTCTATATTTGCTCTTTTGTTCCAACTCGGCGTTATTTCAATGGTGTACGAAAAAGGCAAGAATTCCAATGAGATATCACCAACCTCATAGACTGTCGGTTCTGAGTAAGGTCTCGGTTAATTCTAATGGACATCCCATGCAAATCTAAGTCATCGCACTGCCCCACAGGCAGTGTGACACTTGCATACATAGACCACGTTATGTCTGATTGATGTATAAGTTGATATTCTCGACAAGTCTGACGGTATAATTAGTTCCCTTGTCCGAGAGAACAACGGGTCCTCGAGCCCCTCTAATATTCGATAGTACCCTCGGTCCAAGGAAGTCAACCTTAAATGCTCTCAAATGTAATCAGTCACGACGTAGCGAAATCAAGAATTGTAGATAGTAGGTGGGGTCAACACGATGGATTTATTACACATAGTGTGAAGAGCCAACCCCTGGGCAATTAGCCTTGCATCGTAAGATAAACTATTCCCATGGCGTTCTGAGTTCACGCCGATCAATATGATCAATCCCCACCTCCCTTGACTTTGATGCCAAACAAGGGATGAAGTGCATACCCCAAGCTCAGCAGATATCAATCTAAATCAATCACCATGCATAGCGCCCTAGATAAATCCCATCCTAAGCCCACAGATATTTTAGCGCTAGCCTAGATCCAGCAACAGATTTAGTAATAGCCACCGAATCTGGGAATGGGGGGGTTCCACTGTCCTACCCAGCTTATTCCTTGTGTCAAGGCACGGCGGCGGCCCTTGCGGTTGATCTCCTGTCCCTGAAAAATGATATAAGGAACTGCATGTCCTCGTTCTGCATCGGGCAATTCATTCTTTCTGCATAAACTGGCCTATCATTTAGCCAATTAACTCTTTATATACCTGACAATGCACATCACTCGGTCTTCCATTTTCACACTAGCCCTCATTTTGGGCGTTACTCAATCAACTACATCCCATCCAATCCGAATCAGCAAATGGGTCAAGACAGAACAATACCCAGATCCAGATGCTGGTGGAATATGGAAAGTCTTTGAGAAAGAAGGATATGATCTATTACCAGACCCACCACACGTCAAATACAACGGGGTTAGTGCCAACCTACTATGTATATTGTCGACTCGATGACTTACCTATATCCACTACAGAACACAGCATGGCCAACCAACCAAAACGACAATCCAACAGAGCAAGACACACCAAATGACCACTATACAACAGGAACCTCCGAGTTGGGGAAACCAACGGTCTCAATTCTGATCCCAGCATCCCCAGAAATACCCGAGCAAATACACACGCCCTACATCCAACAAACAGAACAGAAGCAGGAACACCACTCCTCAGAAGACAAGAAGAGCTCAATCAATGCTACTCAGAGGCAAGGCCAGTACAACGAGATTCTCCAATACCTACGCACAAAGAACGCCCTAAACAATGAACACAAACACACCACGCCTGCATCTTTCTCCCACTCCTCATTGGGACATTCACCCTCTTTCTTTGCATCCCGCTTCTCCTTCACGACTTTAAAATCAAAAGCCATGGCGTTCCCACATTATGACCCTCCAGGGGTCTTTACCACGGTTATTATTCTCCTAATGGTGGTTTGGATTGCTATTCTCACCATCGGCTTGCTTGAACTGGGAAATTACCTTTGGAGACGGAGGGAAGGGGCGTTAGCTAGAGAGGGTGCTCAGGATGGGGATGTGGGCTTGGATGAAACATTGAAGGTGCCATTGAGAATAGTCATTGCTCCTCTAGAAAGCACCCAGCCACGCGCCGTGGGAGAACATGGCTATGAGTTCCTAGAATCTGTTTCTAGTGACTTTGAGTCCGATTCGGGCTCGGAATCCGATGAGGATGATTATCGCATCTTTTGATGTCGATTTATATTCTGATTTGTACATTCGTTGACCGATTAATAATTAATTTCTTCTGTGATCCATTGACAATGGTGTCAGATGTTTATTCTTGACTCCTACCTGGATACTAGGCTAGGAAAGGTTATAATGCCACCCCTACGGCAGATTTGAGAGTCCATCACGCCAACCCCCACATAATTTAGCCACGCCATTTTTGCCTTGTTGCTCTTATTTAGTTTGTATTATTAGAATATGGCGAAAAGAGGGCTTAAAAGTGTGCTTGAAAGAGGGAGGTTTACTAGTGTACGGCGTAAATTAGGTCCGATATTCGAATATAACATATATCTTTGTTGTTACTTATTATTTTACTTCTTCTAGATGTGACCTTGCTGAAGTTGCAGCTTAAAGTCGTATTATCTAGCACTTATATGCCGGTAAGGACCAGGTTGGCGCGATGGACTCCAAAACCTGCCGTCAACGTCGAAGAAAGTGAACCTAGCTAGAGATTGATACGGAATAAAAAGGTCAAAAGAATATAACGATCATGTTATCAGATGCTATTGTACATAAGCGTACGCAATCGTAAATCATAGCCCTTGCCCAGGCCGGGCCCAACCAAAGCACGCTCACTCTCGCAATAAAAGGATGAGACACATTGGGCCAAATTCCAGACTTAAGCGCGCTGGTCACTCTCCAAGTGCTCATATACAGTATGAGTATCCATACCCTTCTGATGGGTACGGGCAGACTCATTGGCAGAGTGGGCATTGCTGTGCTGGAACTGGCTGATAGCGTCACGGCCAGGATCCTGGCTGGAGCCGATCTCCGACTTGAAGCTAACATTCTTAGCATCGTCGGAGGGGAGCCCACCCCCTTTGATTTCAGTCACGTCGTTGAACTGACTATCACCACCACTACCGCTGGCGGCAGAGTATTCGCCAGCCTTGATGCCCATCTCTTTCTTGGCCGCAGTTGAGCCACCGGCGTACCCAGAGTTGTCCATATGTGTGCCAGGGAAGTTGCCCTGGCCAACCACGCATTCGGGGTACTTCTGTTCCCCATGGCGGTCCTGGCGCTGAGCGCCGAATGGGGTGGAGGGAAGCTTGATGGAGGCGGAGGTGTTGGTGTTGGTTATCGTAGACTGATTTCCTGACATGCCCATTTCCTCAGCGCCACGGTTGCCAGAGAAGCCGCCACCTTGGCGGATAGACTCGGCGGCAAGTGAGTCATTGGTGATAGGGCCAGACGGCTCTTCGATACGCTGTTGTGTACGAGGATCGGTGGTGACCTTAGTACCACGGTTGCCGGAATTGATAGGGGTGCCTTGAATATCCATGATGATGTATGTGATGGAAACGCCGAAAGAGGTATATGTATTAAGGTAACTGAACAGATTTTTCGTAGAAGATAGATGGGGGATAATTGAGTGATGTATACCAGATGGCTGTGATGGCAGATCTATATAAGAAAGCAGTGAGTACCGTATGTTGAAAGTATGTGGTGCTCTCATGGAAACCGGTCGTATAGCAAAGAGCATTGATGTCATACATACGTTGACCAAGAATATTTACAAGTTATATTCAAGCTCAATCTTGTTGGCCAGTCACAGCCGCGTAGACTAGTTACGCTTGAGACACTCTGTTTGGTGGTTGGAGAAACCGATAGAATGGAGGGTGTGGAGCATAGGCTCCTGTCTGATGTATTCATGCTTCTAGAAAGCATCAAAAGGGGAATCCAGTGCGCCACATGCTTATCCAAGACTTCTCTGAATTCTATCTCCAAACCAAAAGTTGGCGTTGTTACAAGGAGGAGGCAATTGACGTCAGGTCTAGACCCCTGATGTGCAAACAGTGCAAAATACCTGTAACCCCTATGCGACATCCAGGGACTGTGTATGACCCTACATACATGTGTAGTTATCTCAAGTCTAGCATTTAATATCTTGTTTAAAGTGGGCTTGGAGACAAACTTATAATGAAGATGGCATATTTGTTCGTCATGATAGCGAAACTACTTCTGTATTCTTGTTGTCATATATATAGTTCTGACTTGGAACACATCGAGATTTTACTGATCCCAATAAAATCATAGCTACTCCTGAATCTGCACTATTCGATGGCTCTCAATGAAGCAAACGAGAAAGTGTTTAGTTTTTACGATTACAGGTTGAGATAATACAAATATAAACCAGCAAGAAATTTTGGAATCCATTTAGTCGCTCGTAATGACTTTGATAAAAATGACTAGCGTACTTATAATTGATCCTCATGACTATTACTCAGTTAACGAGTCGTAACATTAGAGCAAAGGCGATTTAGTCCCTCGCCACCCTAGAGTCCAAGTTCACTAGCACTATGGCCGACAGGTGCGCTCCCACGTAGGCCACTGTTATCAGGAGGGAACTCTAAACGCCCAGAGCCAATGCTAGTAATACGCTGGTCAAGGGAGTTCCAGTCACTGGCAACTGGAGGTTGAGCAGGCAGAGGCAGGTTGGCCTTGACCTTATCAATTTGTGCGGCCTTGTTGGTATTTTGATCGATGATAGACTAGAGAGAACATGTTGGATTATCTGTTTTCTGCTTAGGTATTGCATTGCAGGTAGCTTACCTTCATTCTAGAGACATTTGAGTTCGCTGGGGGGTTGCCACCATGCAATTGGGAAAGCTTGGACTCGGCCCTGCGAAGGTCCTGGATGGTGGTGTGGAAGGTAGCGTCAGTCATTTTGCGTCTTGTTGTGAATGCGGTGAAGTGTCAGAAGTGGCAGAGTATGTTTTTAAATCTGCAACATATGATCTCAAGCAAGGCAACCGAGGGTTTATATATCTACCATCTTCTTTGTCAATGGCAAGATGCTGTGACGTTTGCTGAAATGACGACATGGCATCCAGGGCCATGGATGTTCTTCCCACCAAACCCAGCTGGGGACTATTTCATCTTGGGAATTTGGCCTCCATTGAAAATTCCGGACTGTTTGGTCAACAGGAGAACACATAGCTGGATAGAACTCGGGGATTGGCGTCATAGCTGATGGACCACCTGAGGTGGCAAGCCTGTTTGTTCACTTGCTTCTATAACGTGTTATGCATGTCATCTATTTACCACTCGACGTCTGTTAAAGAGTTAATTGGTATCTTGAAGCTGAACAGCCGAGATAGCATAGACCGATTGGAGATACAATGCCCCCACTCCATCGATTTGTTCATGCACCTCTTAGTTGTTCCACCTCTTAGTTGTTCGGTCGGTTTCGACTACGATTGAGAACGTTCTGTGAAGCAATCCTGGAGGGTGCCTTCCTAAGCTTAATCCAAGCCTAGTGCATCACCCATATCATGTGATAGCATGGCAGGAGCCCATCCCAATGAAGTTTTGCAAGGGCCTGGGATTCAAGTACCGGTATCGCACCGGGGAGGTGGATATACAACGCTTGGCCATAGAATTTCGTGGTGAGTCAACGGACTAAACCTCCATTTTAGATCCTCAATTCATCATAGAATGTTCTCCAGGAGCGACAATAGACATATTGGATATTAATTAAAAGCTTCGAGGAGTTCAACAGTAGTCGGCGTCCTAAAGCGGCATAAAAGCGTGGGCCCATTGACAACACCGCCTTCCTTTTTGACAGGGCAGAAAATGTTTCTTATCGAAAGACAGTCAACTCCGAGGCCTGTGGAGACTTGGTGAATCTGGTCATTGTGTTATTCTGAGGATATTTTGCTGTTCGACACATCTATCCTGCAATATGCCTCGAGATCCGCTGATTGGACTGGTGGGCAAGGTATGTTGTTCCGCTCTATTGTTCCATCACCCCACTAACCGGAGATGCGAGGGGCATACAGCCGTCTAGTGGAAAATCTACGACATTGAACAGTCTGACTGATGCGACTTCGAAAGTCGGTAAGTGAACCCAAATTCAGTTATAATCGATTCGCAATCCTAATCAATTATGCTCTAAACAGGAAATTTCCCGTATGTGCGCCCCGATTGTTCTACACGAGCATCTCCACCTTATCGCAGTTCGTCGCGCAGGCCGTGTTGACACCCGACAGCTTCACAACCATTGACCCCCAGAGAGCCATCGGATACCTTCAAATTGACTGCCCATGTCAGCGACACAATGTTTCAGATCGGTGCCAGCCCAATTACGGAGGCTGCCACGAAGGCCGACGTTCCGTGCCGATTGAGTTGCTAGATGTCGCAGGTCTTGTGCCAGGTGCGCATCAGGGTCGCGGACTAGGTAACAAGTTCTTGGACGATTTGCGTCACGCCGATGCTCTTATTCATGTCGTGGATGTGAGCGGGACCACGGATGCTGAAGGTTAGTTGGGTGTTGCTGGGTTGAACACAACAAATCGGGTGTTGATGAATATCTATAGGAAAGGCTACTCGAGGATATGATCCATCAGTGGACATTGAGTGGTTGCGGTCAGAGATCGTGCGATGGGTGTTAGGAAACCTGATGGAGAGGTGGTACGTTTGCAAGCGCCAACAACTAAACAAGGGAGAAGTGCTGATCTATCCTTAGGGGTTCTATCAAGAGGCGACACCAGGCATTGAGTCAGTGAACTATCGCAACGCTATTTAAAATGGCACAAAACTGACTCTTAGCACAGAGGCAAACCCCATCGACACATTGCAGAAGCAGTTTGCCGGATATGGAAGTACCCATGCCACTGTTGCGCGATTTATGGATAAACTTGCCTTAAAAGAGCCATTGGAAGATTGGTCAAATGAGACGGTAGAGCTTGTTGTTAACGCTTTCATCGACGAGAAATTCCCCACGGTGTTCGCATTGAACAAGATCGACCACCCAGATGCAGACAAGGTGCGAGTGATCTGGCTCGTGACCCACATATTATGCTGACAGAAATTGCAGAACATCAGCAAGATTGCGAAAATGCAAGATCCCCAAAGCATTGTGCTTTGCTCCGCTATATCTGAAGTTTTCCTCCGAAAGCTAGCAAAGCAAGAGTATATTAAGTACGTCGAGGGCAGTGAGTTTGTCGATACTCGAGAAGATTTGATCGAGATGGGCGATCCAGATGGAGGAGGCCTCAAAGAGATGGACGAAAAATTGAAAACGTATGTTCAGTTCTCATAGGAGGGTCATAACCTTGCTAACGACTTCGCTTCAGTCGGGTTGAGAACATGAAAGACATGGTGCTGTATCGATTTGGATCTACCGGAGTCGTCCAATGTCTTTCCCGAGCGGCAGAGCTTCTAGGCCTCGTACCAGTGTTCCCGGTCCGGAACGTGGCGACATTCAACTCTGGCACTGGAACTGCCGTATTCCGCGATTGTGTTTTGGTCAATAAGTGAGTACTTCCTATTCCGAGGCTGACATACCTTGTCTAACATTCCACAGAAACAGCACTGTCGGTGATGTTGCCCGGAAGGTGATGGGTGATGTACCTATCAACTATGTCGAAGGAGTGGGTGGAACCCGAGTCTCCGAGGATGACATTGTGGGAGTTGGGAAAAACGATGTGAGTGCGCCCCGCTAAACTACAGAATACGGTCGATTGACTGATTACCATTGCAGATCCTATCGTTTAAGGTTGGTCGGTAGACCAGTCCGTTTATGTACAGTCTCTCCCATAATATGGCATTAGTAATGGAAATGTCTTATGACCTTGTTCTCTACTCCGATTCACTATTATTGCAAAAATTTTACGGCACCGACATTGGAATGTCGAGCTCGAAGAACGAAATAGAATACCGCAAGAAAATTCAACTCTGCTTCTACAAGATTGGGACGCAGTCAGCAGTATGAACTCCCGATCATGCATATAAACTGACCTTTGACCGCTCATCATTCATGCCAATGACCGGCTCTGGCGCTTTGGGGTGTTCCTCTTTAGCCTTCTTGCTATACTTGGTCCCGCCCCTCTCCGTCATTCCCTGTGACTTGGTGTCGTCTGCAAGACCCTGGTTTGTTTCCCTTTCCTTCAACCCGGAGGCTGCTTCCTTTGAATGTATATCCTCCGTATCGCCTCTTTTAGACCGCTTGCGTGTATGATCCTCCGCTGAACTCCCTTTCCAATCCTCGAAGATGGAGTAATCGCGGAATCCAAGTTGTGCACAGGGAACTGGCGGGTGAATAACGGATTGTAACGGTAGGATGACCCGCCAACGTTGTCGTGAAACAGACATTCTGCGCAGCTTTGGCGTAGCAGAAAAATTATAGTGATTGCGTATAGCGAATTGCGAGTAATTGTTAAAAATTGAACAGCTTGAGTGTTGGATTTTGGGTACTCGGTGCTATGACGTTCCCATGCTGCAATGCGATTTTGTCCAAAAAGGGTAAGGGCCGGTTCGACTGGGCTTATCGATAAGACAACGATCGTCATCGGCGCGACATTTTAAATGGACAACACCAACCTCCAACTCAATTCAAAATGAAACGCGAATACATCCCGATAGAATCCCTGCCAGCTTGGCAGCGGCTCAATGGGATCGTCTTCCAAGGTATTGCAGTCCATAAGATTGGATCTGATCAACATGGTGCAGACAAAGGCAGCGCCCTCATCGCGACAGAAGCCCAGACGAGCAGCGAGAACGATGCGAAACCTAAGATCCTCCTACGAATTCCCCCAGAATTAATTTTATCCCTGGAGACCGTCCATAATCATGCCAAAACAGACAGATATTTGCGCGATGTATTGGAGGCAATCGGCGACTTTGGGAGGGTATGGCTGCTCCTTCCCCCACATCTATCTATGTTACAATGGAAGAACCAACTAAGGTACACAGACAGCTAGAGGAGCAATCCTCATATTCCTGCTCATTCAACTATCCCATAGCAGCCCCGATATACAATCAGCACACGAGACCATCGGTATCTCCAACCCCTGGACCGAATACGTGAAGTTCCTGCCTCCATCGTTCCCTCTGCCTACCTTCTACACGGCCGAGGAACGAGAGCTCCTTCGGGGCACGTCGCTTGCAGAAGCCCTGGATGCGAAAGTTGCATCCCTTGAGCGGGAATTTGAGCAGCTCCGCCAGGCTACGGAGGGTATTGCGTGGTGCCAGCGAAGCTGGTGGGATGAGAAGACTGGTGCGTTGACAATTGTCGACTGGAAATATGTTGACGCTGCTTATCGGTCGCGCATGCTGGATCTACCCGGCAGGGGCCTGGCGATGGTACCTTGCATTGATATGGCTAATCATGTATCTGGTGATGGGGTCAAGGCGCTATACGATGAAGACTCGGAGGATAACGCCGTTCTTCAGTTACGATGGGGCAAGACTATCCAGCCTGGAGAAGAAGTGACCATTACGTGAGAACCATCCCTAGTGAGCATTGTTGTTGAGGAAGGACTTGACTGATACATGGCATGCCAGGTACGGAGATGAAAAGCCCGCGTCTGAGATGATATTTTCCTACGGATTCCTAGAAAGCGGCACAACGGAAGCACGGGAAATATTCCTCAATCTGGAGATTCCAGAGGATGACCCTCTCGGCCTCGCAAAGAAGATGTTCTGCCAGAACAGTTCGGGGATTCGAATTTCGGCCGTTGAGGGCTCCGATGAAGTAACATGGGAGAGTGGACTTGCGTGGATAGCATGCGTGAATGAAGAAGACGGGCTTCACTTTGGGATCGCACAGACAATTGACGGCGGCCGGGAGTTGGAAACGACCTGGAAAGGTGAAAAGATCCAATCAACCAGTCATCTACGCGACCTTCTCGCTATTGATCCCTTATGGGATATTTTCCAGCTGCGCGCTGCGGTGTTGCTTCTCGAACGGCTCGAGACTCAACTCGCTCTTCTCCAGGAGACTGAAGAGATTATCTCGAATATGCAAGAGGATAAAGCAGCTTTGGATTCCATGTTCCGACCTGGGATCTTCACCTCGATTGCCCACTTCCGGGTCTTGGAAGGGGAGCTGCTGGAGAGAGCCATCGAGGATTTGATAAAACAGGTAAGTGATCTGATGTGTCGAATGTCTCGAAGGGCCATCTCCTTTTTAAACCCCCACAACTGACCATGACCTGCAGCGAACAGAGTTACTGGCTTCTAGAACAGTGGCCGAGTATTTCAATGCACAGACAGGGGAGCCGGACGAACCCGAAGACTTTTCATGATGCAAAAATAGGGGCCCAAATATTGTTGATGGGTCTGATCAAGACCAGACTACAGACTAGAGAGCACAATAATCTCCACAGACACGTTGAAGCATCCGGAGCCTTCCTAAATATCCACCTAATGCCCAATTTCCTTGTTTGCCTAACAGGCTGCAGCAAGCCCAGTCCCCGCCAGATCATCTCAAAAAAGAAAGTTGCGAGCCCCACACCCCCGTAGTGCATCGAACTATTTCATGTGTAGGCGCTACTAGCGTTTAATCGTGACGAAAAGACAGGGAAATCACAGGTATGACGTTTATAGTCGAAAATCAAGGAGTCGTAAAAGGGGTTGATGAATATCGTGATCTACATGGTACGGAGTACAGGGTCTAGAGTTAACATGCGGGGAAGCCAGCTACAGGAACGCCATATCCACCGGGCTGGCCATAGACGCAGTGTATGGCTTCTCGTAAACGAGCTTCCCCGAGCTCACCGGTGACGTTAATGGGAGAGAGCATACCCAAGGTTTGTCTTTAGAAATGACCAATATTGAGGGATGCCTATATACATTTTAGTGGAGCGCAGGAACACCGTAGATCACGAATCCAACAGGCCGGAGCCTAGTGGGGCTATTAGCTCATAGCCATGGTTCGCTGATCTCTCGGCCAAAACTCGCTGAGCGGAATAAAACGGGATTTCCTGGACAATACCATAAATACGAGATGTTGTATTAATTCGATATTAAAAATTGAAACTATGTCCCGCGTCTTTGGTTGGGCTTTAATGAGAACTGCTAATCAATTCAGTTGATAGGTTCCAGGTGGAGCTAGTAATATAACTTACATGAATCCTTTGAAACTCTACGGAGTAGCGTTTGATGTTTCCCCGCAGCTGATCCTCCGTGAACGGTTCGCCACTAGTATAATGATGTGTATGTTGTATATTACTTCACTATGGAATTAAACCTTACGATCCTGGGGTTTTCTCGGGTTTCGTGATTAGAGTTGGTATTTGGATTTGATGTTGGTCAAGATGACTTCAGTGATGTCCCGAGTGGCCAAGGACCAAGGTGGTATTTCGTGTACAAAGTACATATGCACTAACCGGGGTGATCATTATTGCAAGGATCGCGGAGTGCTTTCGATTTTTTTAATGGAAAGTGAGACATATGCGGGCGTTATGTAACATGGGTAGCAGCCAATCATCAGAGTAGAATTTAATAGGAGGTCTCCTAGGGCAATTTGTGAAGGTAGACACGCCGCTGCACGCGCCGCTGCAGAACCGGCGCCGAGGGAGAAAGTCGGAGGCGGTTTAGAATGTCCAGTTACCGCAACCGGTTTGGATCCGAGTCCTGCACTCTAACATGTAAGAGGGAAAGTCTAGCTCAGTACTCAATACGGAGTACATGTATTCTGAAAGGGGCGTTACTTTTCCATTGAAGCCAACCCACATTCCCATCTTACTTTGTAGACACTTCCACATCAGCCAAAGGGTTGTGGAATGCGGAGTGCGGGGACCGGGAAGATCGGAGCCAACCGCCAAACAGAAGATATGTTGACTGCAGGAAGAATCCGGGGCGAGTTTACGCGGTTTACGGGGTATCGCCTCTCAAAATAGTCAAAATAACGGGCCCAATAACGAATCAAGGGTATAATAATCGGAGCAGGTACGCAATCGATACCAATTACCACCGATACAACGACGAGTTTATTGGCGCTAGAGGAAGGTCAGCAGTCTCCACTTTCAACTGACTCAGCATTGGCGTGACCCCATCTTCCCGAGGTCGCCCCCCCCATGTTTTTAGCCTTCTTTCTGCATACAACATACTTGTCTTATTCACGGTGATTCTTCGGTTGCATTGTCTCGATATCAAGATTTCTAAACGGAGTGTTGTGCTTACACTTCTGGCGCCTTTCAAATACAACCAACTCAACCCCGGCGGCCCGTGTGCCCCTTCTGCACAACATGCCTGGTATATTGCCTATGAAAGTGATCAAGGTCGGTGGAACTGGCACAACGAGCCGTATTGCCCAAGCCTGTGACCGATGCCGAAGTAAGAAAATCCGCTGCGACGGTGTTCGACCTTGCTGCTCGCAATGCGCCAACGTGGGCTTCGAGTGCCGCACCAGCGACAAACTAAGCCGCCGCGCCTTCCCACGTGGATATACCGAGTCGCTAGAAGAACGAGTCAGGAGTTTAGAAACCGAAGTCAAAGATCTAAAGGACCTGTTAGACGAGAAGGATGAGAAGATCGATGTCTTGTCCCGGATACATTCGTTTTCGCCGCCGCAACGAGCCCCTTCCGCGCGGTCTCCCTCTGCTTCTGCGACAGTTAAATCGAGCGCTTCGGATTCATCGGAGGGCATGTTCCATGTAGAGAGATCGATGACCCGACCATCCCAAAAGTCGCTGAACCCTTTCATTGGATTTTCTAGCACCCAGGGCTTTGCTGGTATGTTATACGTTTCCCGTTTCCCTTCTGCGAATGAAAACAATCAGCTTACATGCGCAGATGTCTTTACCAACAAGCTTGTCAGTGAGGGTAAATCAGCAGCAAAGGTTCCCACAGGCGCGCTCACTGCCTTGTCTACCTCGGTAGTCCAGGGTACCCCTAACCAGGCTGTGAAAACGCCACCCCGCTTAGTGTCGGACCAGTTGATCAACATCTTCTTCCAAGAATGGGCACCACTGTACCCTGTGGTACATCGTCCGACCATTCTGAAAGCTTATGAGCAGTATCTCAACAATGCCGAAACTCTCCAGCGTAATCCGCATGTGATGGCGCAGTTGAACCTGATTTTTGGTATTGCTGCTCTTTCATCAATGTCACGAACCAACCAAGACCCGACTTTCTTCGAAGAGAACTGGTCGGCTACCCTTGATTCGTTCTCGAGTGAAACTTCAGTTTCCAGCCTGCAGTGCTTTGTTCTTGGTCAAATCTACTGCATGACCAAAGGCGACTACCGCACTTTGCTTCGCTACCGTGCCCTTGGTGTGGATATTTGCCATCAGCTAGGCATGCACGAAAACCAAGAAAGCTCAGGCAACCCGCTCGAGGACGAGACTCGTAAGAAGGTTTTCTGGTCGCAATATGTTCTTGACCGATTCTGCTCGGCGCTTACTGGACTGCCCGTTCTTTTGCGCGAAGAGGATATCGAGACTCAGTATCCGGTTGACGTGGACGATGAGAATGTCACAGAAACAGGGTTTTTGCCGACTCTTCCTGGCGAATCAACTCGTATTTCCAGTGCCCTCGCTCTCTTCGGAGCCGCAAGGATATTGAACAAGGCTTTGGACGATCTGTTCCCTTCAAAATCTGGTTACGATGTGTGTGTTTCGAAGATGCGCTCAGTGACAGGGAAATTGGAAGAGTGGCTTCATACACTACCGCCACATCTTCGTCTCGAGTTCAGTCAGGACAAGCCTAGCACGAACGTCACGAGTAGTCGGTCGCCGCTCCTGGTAAGTCCCAGAATAGATAGATTAATGTTTTACAACCAGATACTGACCATGTCATAGTCACTTGTGTACTATTTCATTCGATCTTTGATACATCGCCCGGCTGTCTGCTACGCTGACGAGAACCTTCGCTCTCCGTCTGTTCTGGCGCTGTCCGATTCAGCAAAGCATATCATTCAAATTCTTGAACTTCTCGATGAACGACGTTTGTGTCTGTCTGTCTGTATCAACAGGAAAGAACTCATATTCTTTTCCGGACTTGGACTCCTATGGCAAATGCTTGATGTCAAAAACGATAGCAAACTGGCCAAAGATAGCCAGAAGCTACTTGGAACCGCCATGCAATACCTCCAATCAGAGTCGAGCGCGGCGGCTGCTGAGTTCGGCATACTGTCCAACACTCTGGTTTCTCTGGGTAGCGGAAGACGCGCATCGACGGGCAAACAACAACCTCAGGAGATGGTGGCGCCAACACAAAAGCCGAGCAAATCTCCCAAGAAGCACCTGCAGGCTTTAAAGTCGCGCCTTATCGCCTGCTCCACCCGTGATAAGCAGCCTCCAACCCAGCCCTCTCCACAATCCTCTCGCCGAAACACCATCTCCGGAGCCACACCCCCACTTATTCCCCAGTCGCTACGCTCCCCTAGTTGGAGCAGCCTGCCCCTCGCTCAACATGACCAGCTCCCCGCCCCGCTCTACCTTAACGATAAAGGCCACTCTCCCTTAGACCTAGCCTCAGACCCCCGCTTAACCGCATCCTTGGGCTACGACCACCAACGCTCCATGTCCTGCTCTACACCCTCAGACCCCACAGCTGGCGCCATCACAATGGCCGATTGGGAATATGTGTTGAGCGACATGGACCGGGGGTACTCCAACATCTTCACAGGCATCTACGGCGGCAAAGAATGCGGCGAAGACCCGGGCCCGTTCGCCTCCATCGCAGCAGAATACAACCGCAAATCCAACGACTCCTCTCTAGCTCATCACCCACAGAGTGAGATGCATGGCCTCTCACCTGAAGCGTGGTCTGCTAGTAGTGGCGACTTCGTACATAAGCAAGAACATACCGCGCGGAGTGTTTTGAGCTACTCGAGCGAGAGTATGGGGAGTACCGAGGAGTCTCTAGCGCCCTATGCCGATGCTAAGGTCTTCCCTGAGGATATCAATACCATCGATCCCTTCCATACTTTTGCTATGCATGGTGAAGATGAGGTCGATGAGTTTTCTCTGGTCAATGGATGGGACCGACGCCTGGCCGTCTGATTGATTACGTAGCGCTGAGTGTCTTTTTCTGGGAAGAATTTGGGGTTTGGAATGGCTTTCAGCTTTTCTGTTCTTTTTTCATGATACCTATGGATGGGGGCGCTTATCTTATCTTTGACTTTTATCTGCTACTTCCTCTATCTGTTCTTTATCTTCTCTTATGCTTGGAAGCACATTTTTGTCTGCCGAGGCTGGTATGCCTGGTATATATCATAGGTTCTTAGGATAGGTCATACCTAGGATATCGCGTATATATGAATTTGATGATGATCACAACACTCTTAGTGTCCCAAATATACCACAGAATCTTTACTGCCGTATTACGCACGTTCATCATCGCTGTACCATAGAACATATATGCTATACGTAATCAGGGCTCGTTACCTAACTACCAAGGTTTCAAAATGAAACACACAGACGCCCTTCATGCGACCGTCAACGAGACGACCGAAAAGATCGAGGACTAGCATCACCGTTTCCAGCCTTTTCCACGCGTATAGTTTGAAACACCAAAAGCCAAAAAGACTGCAATTCTCCCCGATATATCAAGTGCGACAAATCGCAGTTAGATCCGAGCGCTGGAGACCTTACGCCGCTGAGTCAGCGGGGAATTGGTGGATCCCTACATAATTTGGTGTATCCACAGGGTACATTGCAGGTATACTTCGAATGGTGCAACCAGCTGGCGTGACCAAGCTTATATAAATATCCATGGATACACAGCCAGTAAGCAATACAGGGATCGGCTTCCGAGATTCCCTATAAATGTCACTCTTCAGGGGAACATTCGTCACTGTTTGTGTCTCTTCTCCTCGACCCTACGTCCACTAAATATGAGACGTGAATTAAACTCATATCCCAAAATGGGCGCATGGAAGGAGATCCGGCCTCGGTTTTTGCCAGCTGTGATCACCATGTTTCTCCTCCTTCAGGTTCTTTTCTTGGTCAATATGTGTTATCTTTATGCAACGCAATTCCGAAGTACCACCCGTTATCACAACTTCAATCTACTTTATGTAGACTATGATGGAAGTATCATCGGCAAGTCAGTGACAGATGCATACCAGCAATTGCGAGGACATGGGTTCCCAACCTTGCTGTCGGAATCTCCTAACGAATATGCCCAACCAAAGGATATTCAGGAAGCTGTATGCCGGGGTGAGTACTGGGGAGCTATCTACACCATCAAGGGTGGATCAGCTGATCTGGCATCGGCGCTGGAAAACGGGTCCAGCCCGCCCACTTCGCTTACTTACATCTGGAACGGGGTGAGATACCCGGTTTTCTCGCAGGCTGCGGTCTACTCCAACATCTTGAAACTGATTGAAACTACACGGTCAACATACTACACCAACAATGGATCATCAGTCGCCGCATCCACCAACTTCTCTAATGCAGCCACCCTCAAAGCGTTCCTCGACCCCATCCATGCCAAAGAAATCAATATCAAGGGCACGGAACAAGGCACAAGAGTCTTCTACAACACAGTATCCATGGTGATGCCAATCATTCAACAGTTCTTTTTCATGTTGGCGCTGAACGGGATATCAACCCATTTCGACTCATTCAGCAAATTGTCGTGGAAAGCAAACGGCCTGATTCGCGTGATAGCATCCATCCTCTACACCCTCACGGGATCCCTATTAATGACTGGGTATATCTGGGCCTTCAGAGAGTCCTGGGGACAACAAGGAAGCCAGTTCGTGTTGACATGGGTCGTTATGTGGCTTCTTATGCACATAAACTTCCTGTTTCTCGACATCACGACTGCCTTCATCCCGATTCAGTTCATGCCGTTTATTGTTCTGACTTGGGTCATTCTCAATGTCGCCAGCACCATTAGCCCATTTGAGCTGAATCCCGGATTCTTCCGCTGGGGCTATGCTCTTCCTTCCCATGAGGCATACCAGGTCCTGATCCAGATCTGGTCTGGTGGATGCAATAATCGGCTTTATCGTGCGCTTCCTATCATGTTCTCGTGGTGGATTGTTGGTGTTCCCATTGCAGTTTATGCGATGCAAGTTCGTTGCAAAGCGGCTGTGGCTGCTCAGGAAGCACTGGAGCGTGCAGGACTGGACAGTCAATCCGAAGCTAAACATACGGCAACAAACGAGACGGTGGCGCCAGTTAGTAGCTCACCTCGCGAATTTGGGCAAGATGGGGAGTCAGTTGAGGCTGTTCCTCTTCGTCATATTGCCTGAGCATGGAGCTACCGAAGTACAAGTGGCTGGTGATAGTGATCAGAAGCTGGAGGAAATTGGAATTTGACAGAAATGGGGACGAATTATGTTTTGCTTAGGAATGGGTTCACCACTTCTGGAGGGTACTCGACGCGCATGATCTGTAGATTTATTTTAATTAAGTACACGAATGGAGATATCTCCCATCTCAAATTGCACTTACGGTCGGTTTCCAAGGCATGGAAGTGTTGGAGGCCTCCATAGCCTATTCGTGGGGGCCTGTAAGGCCCCTATCATAGGCCATTAAGGGGGGGGGGGTCTCCTAGCGCCGATAAACCGCCGTCTTGTGATCGCTGTCTTCTAACCTTCTACTTATTTTATAGACATCAAAATGGCAGAATTTAGAATTATAGTAGCTATATAAGTATATATTTCAAGTTTGAATAAGATTCGACATGTAGAGATTGAGATATCGCAGAAAAGATGGATATATATTTGGGATTTATATAGGAGTGCAACTGCTTTTAAGTGGACCTCTGTACCTAGGTAACTTATAAATTATATAAAAACTGCTTTTTGTCGCGTTTTTGAACGTGAGATATAAATATAACCAACAAAAGTCCTCGAATCAATTGAAATTATAAGATATTACCTTGAGACTAGGGCTATAAAACGGGATCTAAATAAAGCGTAATTAAAAAAGTAACGTTTTTCATATAGTTTAGGGCCCTTACCCCGGGCACATTGGTGGGTTGGGGCGGGTTGGGCTTTGGGTTTTGTGGGCTTTGCGGAGAACTCAACAAGACTTCCAGTATTTAGAACTGCAATCCGATCAAGTTTATAATCATGTCACGCAGTTGATTAATTGGTTCCTTCCTAGGCCATAGAATGATATACAATTGCTAGAATAGTGTGGGGAAAGTGGTGTGAGTATACTTTATGGGCCACACTGAAAAAAGTGCAGTCACGAAAAACCTCTCCCTTAAATTTCTGTACTCGCGGATCTTTTTGGTTATCAAAACTACTTGTGGCATGAATCATGCGGCATGATTCAAACCGGCTGAAGTGCCATAAAAATGCGGCCGGTTGATGCCAAGCTTTGTGGCTGGCACCGATTGCATCACTACTTCTCCAGACCCCAGGTCTTCGCGTGGCTAATTGCCCCAGAATTATTATTCGTTCCCAGAAAAACTAGGATCACGAGGCCCAGAGGGCCGAGACTTCCGCGCCACTCAGAAGTCGTGAGTATGGAGTCTGAAGTAGATATATTGACCAACAGCAACGATGAACCACCCGGACACGCCGTAGCTGAACCGGCCAACCTGCCAAATTCATGTCAAATTCCCCGGATTATCTCTTTTCTGGCGGACACAAGCGCAACCCCGAAGGGTGCATGTTCGGACTCTTGGATCAACGTGTCATCGGTGTGATGCGTCCTGCCTTGATTGGCATGAGTTCCCTGAAACTGGGCTTTCGTCACTGCGGCATATTGCCTAGCCTTGGCTTTCTTGGTCAGGCACCGTATAAGAAGGGTTGATCCGGCACAGCAGGGATTCTGAAAAATTAGTTGCCAAGTAGCAAATATCACAGCCAGATAGTACTCGCTGGCGCTATGTTCGATAAGATTTTCAAAAAGCGTTCGCAGGACGTCTATGCAGACCCCCAGGCCCCTGGGGGGTCAGCGTCCACAAATGAACGCGAGAAAGGCCCCGGTAATCAAGTCGATACGCCTATTCCGCTCCTCACTTGGCGCTCATTCATTATGGGCATTCTCGTCTCCATGGGTGGTTTCCTTTTCGGCTACGACACTGGTCAGATCTCTGGCTTCCTAGAGATGGAAAACTTCCTTGAACGCTTTGGTGAACTTCAATCGGATGGGACTTATCATTTCACTAATGTTCGTTCGGGTCTCATTGTTGCCTTGGTAAGTTTGGTGTCCTCTTTGCCATTTCTTGGTCACATGCTAACACACCCACGAACAGCTGTCGATTGGTACTCTGATAGGGGCTTTAGTCGCAGCACCGATCGCCGACCGCTTCGGACGAAAGTGGTGCATTAGTTGGTGGTCTCTGATGGTTTGTATTGGAATCACAATTCAGATTTCCTCGCCTTTTGGCAAGTGGTACCAGGTCGCCATGGGTCGTTGGGTCGCCGGACTCGGAGTTGGTGCAGTCTCTCTCCTGGTACCCATGTATCAAGCCGAATCAGGACCAAGGCATATTCGAGGATCGCTGATTAGGTATGTTGAACAGCCGGCTCTAAGGTCATTCCAACATTGGAATTATCACCTACTAACCTTTCCTAGTACATACCAGCTATTTATCACACTTGGAATCTTCGTTGCCAACTGTATTAATTTTGGAACCGAAGCTCGCCCCGACACTGGTTCATGGCGTATCCCTATGGGTATTACGTATATTTGGGCAGCAATTCTTGGTGTTGGCATGATGTTCTTCCCTGAAAGTCCACGTTACGACTACCGCCACGGCAAAGTGGATAAAGCTATGAACACTCTGTCCAAAATATATGGTATCCCTCAGAACCACCGCGCTCTCCACATCGAGTTCGATGAAATCAAAGAGAAATATGACGAAGAGCAGCGCAACGGGAAGGTTACCTGGATACAGATGTTCCGTGCTCCGACGATGTCGTACCGGGTCGCTGTTGGCGTCGCCCTGCAGGCTCTTCAGCAGCTCACAGGTGCTAATTACTTCTTCTATTATGTGAGTTTTGAGATCTTGGTAACACAGAGAAAAGAAAACCAACTGACACATATCAGGGAACAACAATTTTCAAGGGCGCTGGAATCCATAATAGTTATGTCACGCAGATGATTTTAGGTGGCGTCAACTTTGGAACAACATTCCTTGGCCTCTATCTGATCGAGCACTGGGGCCGACGCCGTTCTCTCATAACCGGTGCACTATGGATGTTCGTCTGCTTCATGATATTTGCCTCAGTTGGCCATTTCTCTCTAGATCAAGAGTTCCCCGAGAGAACAAAAACTGCCGGTGTGGTTATGGTGGTCTTTGCCTGCCTTTTCATTCTCGGCTTTGCTAGTACCTGGGGTCCCATGGTGTGGACAATCATCGCCGAGTTGTATCCTTCACAGTATCGTGCGCAAGCCATGTCTCTGGCGACTGCATCAAACTGGCTCTGGAACTTCCTCCTTGCCTTCTTCACTCCTTTCATTACCGGCGCCATTGACTTCCGCTTTGGGTACGTCTTTGCTGGATGTCTTTTCCTTGCTGCGGGTCTTGTTTACTTCGCCGTCATGGAGGGACAGGGCCGTACTCTGGAGGAGATCGATACCATGTACCGGATGAAAGTGAAGCCATGGAATAGCTCGAAGTTCCAGTTTCCCGCAGATGCAAGCGTTATCCGGGGCTCTTTTGATAAGGATGCTCCTAGGTCGTCTCATGTTGCTGATCCTACTACTGAACTACACGAAGATGGGTCCTGGGCGGAGACATCCGCGCGAGCATGAACGTGGCTGTGGATTTGCGAAAGATATTACAGTTGTGCATGTACCAATAGTCTTGCTTGCTTTTTCTTCTTTTCTTTCTTTTTCTTTTTCAGAACACCCTTATGTATTCAAATAGTCAGTCACTTCGAAGCCTATAGCTTGTACCAATTTACATTTAAAATTTGTCCTTCAGTATTCCTATTGTCCTGTGTGATATTCTCTAGAGGACCGGGTCAATCTTGTCCGTCAGCAACTTGTTGACAAGAATTCCATCTAAGTACCGTGTCAATTCTTCCACATCTCCAAGTTCACCCACCCATCCAATATATTGATCCGGGCGAATGACCACTAGCGCCCCAAGAGCCCGGTCAACTCCCCATTTCTCATACGCTGTTCCATCACAATATCGATCAAACAGGCAGGCATCATCACACCAAATATTGTCATATGCCCATCCTTTGACCGAATCAAATGGACGCAGAATCTCTGGGAAATCAAAAAATTCTACTTCTTTCCACGACGAAGCATGAATTGTGAGTACATCAACAGGACTCTTGAATCGACCAGGAATCTCCATGTAGCGGCTCAGAGGTGAACTAATTGATCCAGACTGTCCAGTCAAAGCCTGACTCAAAACCTCAATGCGTTGCTTCTGCACTGGGTTCCCTATATCCCCTGCCAAAACTAGAATGCGAAAGCGCCCATCGCTTTCCAACACTCTTGTCGTCCATTGCGTACCACCATCAGCGTGATTGCGAAGCTTCACCGGCCGAACTCTCTCCCCGGGGATCAGGTGCCGCGCAAATGCAAATTCGGAATTCTCTTCGGCCTTCCGAACAAGACTGCTCGCGGGGTAAAAGACCTTCCACCCATCAGCGAAGTCTTCAAACTTCCCCGCGACAAGGGCCATATCCGAAGCTTTCGTATCCGCCACTCCAGGTTTCCGATCGGTAAACATAGGCGACCAATGACGATCAAAGTCGAGCAACATTTCCGCAAGTGGGTGTCTCTCCAAAGCATAAGTATCGAGAATCTCAGGCTTGAGAGTACCCGCCACGGCAAGAGCAATCTTCCATCCAACATTGAACCCATCCTGCATACTCATGTTCATTCCAAGTCCCATCTTAGGTGAATGCGTATGCACTGCATCACCAGCAAGGAAGATCCGATTGTCTTTCGTGGATTGCGTGGCGATCCGCTGCCCGACTTGATACACCGTCCACCAACTACATTCCTTGAAGTCGAAAGTGAAGGGGGCGAAGATGGCTTGCACACGCTCTCGGATTAGCTCCGGCGTGATTTTTGAGCGGTCGAATCGGTCCGTTGCGCCCGCTTCACAGGTTTGCACCGGGACGTAGAAGCGGACTAACCCGCGCTCGCGTGGGATCACGAGAATCGTGCCTGCAGCGTTGTTCACGACGCTTACGCGGCGGATGTCCGCTGGAAGTTGATTTAGTGGATGTTCGGGAGAGCAGCATACATAGTGGATGGTACTTACGGAAGTCGCTGAGGGGTATCACGTCTATCACGCCCCTGTATATGTAATTATATCAGCTATTGTAGCATAGTTGGATAACGAGTACCACTAACCAAATATGGTCCGTGTTGGACCCTTCCACGGGGATGTTTAGCTGTTTTCTCGTCCAGCTGTGGGCACCATCACACCCGATCAGATACTTGGCCTTGATTGTCTCGACCTGCGTCTTCTGTGGCCGTTTGCGCGGGGATAGATCGGCCCAGTCATCAGGAAACAAGTTATTGCGGTTCATCTCGTTTCCAGCAGCTTCAGACTCAGCATCCGTTTCTTGTCCGCATGGCAAATTCGAGGCATCTTCCCCAAGAACTCGGACCTTGACAGTGATAGGATATGCGTTAGGATCATTGCTTAATTCCTCGTCATATTCCAAAGAGTCGGCGATCACACTCCGTTCCACGTCAAGATCAGAGTGCTCCCGAATGCTATCGAGAATGAACCGCTCAATGCGTCCCTGATTCAAACGTGTGTTGTGGAAGGGTGACTCGTCAACCCTAAAGATATCAATGAGGGCCTGTCGAATAAGCTTTCCTTGCGGACCGGGGACCTATTTGTTTGGGGCGTCGTCAGGAAAGCCCTAATCTCGGCGGAAACCAAGGTGATACACACCCAAATATTCGCCTCGGTAGAGATGGATCCCTCCTGCATAACACGGTGTTGGAAACCCATGCTATCGAATAACTCAAGCGTACGTGCGCGAAGCCCATCTGCGTGGCCTAGGAAGACTTTCGTGTCGCGATTGTCGAGAATGCGTGCGTTGACTCCGCAGCGAGCCATCCAGTAGGCTGCCATCAGGCCGGATGGCCCAGCACCGATGATGAGGCTGTGAGAGGATATTAGACTATGTTGAGTACATATAGTGGTAACTTACACATCCGTTTGGGACTGAGTAGACTTGTCTTCTGCGTCCATGGCGTGCGACAGGATACCGCGATATATTTGAGCAGATGCTGAATAATGACCCGTGGATAGAAATATGGACTATGTTCCCCTCACTACAGGTACCCTTTATATGAAGACATTCGAGAATGCTGCGCTATGGGGTCATAAAATGAGGGGACCAGCCCTATGTAAGCTGACTCAAGTCATAGACAATCCGGGGGTGTAGGAACCCAAAATCGCTCCCAATTCAAGGTTCTTCCGTGTCAATTTGCACAATAATTTCCACCGTAAGCTCGACATACGATGATCTTTATCACGAGTCCACATACATATGCTCTGATATCCAGGTCGTATCAGTCAGATGCCCTGGTTTCCTTTATGTTGTGACATGGAGTTCTCCCAGCTGAGTTGACCAATTTTTAATGTATGCATGTAGCACAAGCTGACCTGAATACCATGTCGCTCAAGCTGGGCTTGAATGATTGGATTTGAGGCTGGGAATTTTGCCCGAAGTTTCCTTTCACGCAGTCGTCGGAGTTGAGGTTCCGGGCGTGGCGATTGCATCAGAAGACCATGAACTCTTTGAATACTTATCCATGATATGGAAGGGAGCAATATAAATGATTTGATGCACGTATTCCCTTCAGAATTTGATATTGGACTGGGGGTTTCTCATCTTTGTAATTTGGGTGACAATGACTTTCTGGGGAAGCACAACAAGGGTCTAGGTTATATATATATGTACTCGGATGGGAGATTTGACGAAGACAGACTAACAGTAGGCAATTGTAGCTTGACCATCCTATGTTATACAGCCATCTCATATTTTAACATAAACCACGATGCCTATAGATGTATCACATAGATGTATAGTTCAAATATACTTTGCACGTGACAATATAGTTTCGCCCGCGCTACTCTCCTTCCGGCACACCGGGATGTTGACGGTGAATTCCCCAACACGTTTCAGCGACAACAACACTTTCCCTGTGGGGTTTGTTTTAGAAATTCTTTGGAATTGCCATTCCACTTATATTCGCAGATTTACATTGTCATTGGTGTTTCAATCTTCCCTCGGATTGGCCCGATGATGGATTCCGATGCACGGCCACGTTTGCAAACGCTGAGTTGTCAAGGAGCTATCAAGGAGCCTTCAAGGCACTAGTTCTATTAAAGCTGTTTTTTTTTTTCTGCTGAACAGCTGATCATCGGCACGGTTATTGAGGAGCCATAAATGGGATTTCGGCTAATTTCCCTCCGTGGAAAGGCCGGTTACGATTCGGAGCAGGGTCCTCCGGGCGGCTCCCGGTGTATACTAAAAGAACGTGTGTGTGGATGTCAACCCGGAAGAGTGTCGGAAAATGCGGGCCATTGAGGTCACAACGGAAGAAACGGCTATTGATGTATCATGAGAAATACAGGTACAGAAGTGGTAGAGATAACAAGTATCATGTTGATTAGTATAGAACGTTGTGGCTTTCATATAGTTGTAGTTGTAGGTGGCCATGGAGGATTAGTTCGTGGATGACTCAGCCCATGATGCAATGTATGTAATTGATGTATAAGCAATTATACGGAGTAGAGAGAGCAATATTAGATTGATTTAGCCTACAACAAAGTACCTACGGAGTAGATACTCCCGGAAATAGACTTCTTCAATTAATTTCTCTGTTAAATGTGACCTGAACACTGTAAGCTAAGTCGTTGAGCTCCAAGCCACCAAGTCCGCCCCCCACCCGACATCATACCCCCACCAACAAATACGTTCCCCTCCCTCTTCTCTTCTTCTCTCATCCATCTCTCCCAAATCATTCCCTTCACTCAAAAATGTACGTACCTGACTGACTTCTTGTGGTATTCCTTTCTAACGGTATTAGAATCCGCCATCATGGGTTACACTGATCTGGACCAGTTGGCTATTAACACCATCCGTCTTCTCGCGGTATGTTGATCTCCGGGCAATTGCCCCTTCGTTTCATGCCTTCAATTGGAGCAATCTTGGGGTCTTCGGCCTCATGTGAAGCTTCAATTCATACAGTCTTGGAAATCTGACTGACATTGCGCTATCAGGTTGATGCCACCTCTAAGGCCAACTCCGGTCACCCCGGTGCCCCTATGGGCATGGCCCCCGTGGCCCACGTTCTGTGGAACTTGATGAACTTCAACCCCCAGAACCCTGAATGGGCTAACCGTGATCGTTTCGTTCTCTCGTAAGTGCTTTCCCCCGTCATATGAATCCATCCCACCTAGAAAATCAATGACCATGCTTTTGGAATACCGGCTAATCTCAAATTGGATAGGAACGGCCACGGCTGCATGCTGCAGTATGCTCTGCTCCACCTGTTCGGATACAAGCTCACCATTGATGACCTGAAGAACTTCCGTGTAAGTCTCTCCGAGCCAAATACAGCAGCCTTTTACTCATTTTAGTAGCAACTCGACAGCATCACCCCCGGTCACCCCGAGGCCCACGACACCCCCGGTATTGAGGTCACCACTGGTCCTCTTGGCCAGGGTTTCGCCAACGCTGTTGGTCTCGCCATGGCTCAGGCCCACTCCGGTGGTGTCTACAACAAGCCCGGCTTCGAGCTTTTCAACAACTACACTTACATGTTCTTCGGTGATGGTTGCGCTATGGAGGGTATTGCCAGCGAGGCTGCCTCCATGGCTGGTCACCTTAAGCTTGGCAACCTGATTGCCATCTACGATGACAACCACATCTCCATTGGTAAGATTGGCCCGAGTACCTCAGACTAGATGTGTAAGGCTGATAGCGTATCCCCATAGATGGTGACACCAAGTGTGCCTTCACTGAGGATGTTACTAAGCGTTTCGAGGCTTACGGCTGGCACACCGAGTGGGTCAAGGATGGTGACAACGACCTCGCGGGTATCGAGGCTGCCATCCGCAAGTGTCAGCAGGTTACTGACAAGCCCTCCATGATCAAGCTGACCACCACCATTGGCTTCGGCTCCAAGCTTGCCGGTACCGGTGGTGTCCACGGAAACCCCCTCAAGGCCGACGATGCCGCCAGTGTTAAGAAGCTTTTCGGCTTCAACCCCGAGGAGACCTTCGCTGTTCCCCAGCAGGTTTACGATAAGTACCACAAGCACGCCGCTCAGGGTGCTGCCAAGGAGCAGGAGTGGAACCAGCTCTTCGAGAAGTACCAGGCCGAGTACAAGACCGAGGGTGCTGACCTCGCCCGCCGTCTCTCCGGCAAGCTGCCCGAGGGCTGGGAGAAGAAGCTCCCCGTCTACAAGCCTACTGATGCTGCTGTCGCTTCCCGTAAGCTCTCTGAGGCCTGCCTCGAGGCTATCCACGACGTCCTTCCCGAGCTGGTCTCTGGTTCGGCTGATCTGACTGGCTCCAACAACACCCGCTGGAAGAACGCCGTTGACTTCCAGCCCCCTGATCTTGGCATCGGCGAGTGGGCCGGTCGCTACATTCGCTACGGTGTGCGTGAGCACGCCATGGCTGCCGTCATGAACGGTCTTGCTGCCTACGGCACCATCATCCCCGCCGGTGGTACTTTCCTGAACTTCGTCTCATACGCCGCCGGTGCCCTCCGCCTGTCGGCTCTGTCCCGCGTCCGTGTCATCCACGTCGCTACCCACGACTCCATCGGTCTGGGTGAGGACGGCCCCACTCACCAGCCTATTGAGACTCTGGCTCACTTCCGTGCCTTGCCCAACTGCATGGTCTGGCGTCCCGCTGACGGTAACGAGACCAGCGCTGCCTACTACTCCGCCATCACCTCCAAGCACACCCCTACCGTCATGGCTCTGACCCGCCAGAACCTGCCCCAGCTTGAGCTCTCCACCCTCGAGAACGCCATCAAGGGTGGTTACGTCGCTGTCGACACCCCCAACGCTGCCGTCACCATTATCTCCACTGGTTCCGAGGTTAGCATTGCCATCGAGGCTGCCACATACCTCCAGGAGAAGCACGGTGTTGCTGCCCGTGTTGTGTCCATTCCTTGCTTCGAGGTCTTCGATGCTCAGTCCAAGGAGTACCGTCTCCAGGTTCTTCCCGACGGTATCCCCATTCTGTCCGTCGAGGCCTGCTGCACCATGGGTTGGGAGCGCTACTCACACGAGCAGTTCGGTCTCAACCGCTTCGGTGCTTCCGGTCCCTACAAGGAGGTGTACGCTGTAAGTTATCTTTACTCATTATTCCATCACCATATACTAATTGTCTGCAGAAATTCGAGTTCACCCCCGAGGGCATCAGCAAGCGTGCTCTTGCCACCATCGACTTCTACAAGGGCGTCCCCGTGCGCTCCCCCATTAACCGTGCTTTTGAGCAGATCCTGTAAGGGACGGAACGAATATGACGTAACAAAATGTTTTAGTTTTTTAATAGGGGATCATGGCCCTCTAGATATACAAGAATGCGAATAGAGCACTGTATTGTTCACTTCTCCCAGTAACCCTATAGGAGCACTCTCAAGTTCATATCCGTAGATCACTCAACCTCAACCTAACATAATTGATTATAACTCCCCCCATTTCTTCTTTTGCATCTCTACAACATCTTTCAACATCTCTTCTTTCTTCTTCCTCGTCCCAGGAGTATAAGGCCCGTAAGCATCTTCAGTCTGCTTAACAACCAAATCCTTCCACGCCTGAGCACCCTCAATATCAATCTGCCCCAACTCCCCCCACACATCCTGAATCGTCGGCGCAAGCTTCTGCAAAAACGCCCCAATCCCACCCTCCCCACCACCAGCATGATAACTCTCAAACACACCACTACCAGCCCACCGCGGCCCCAGACTAGCCGTAACAAGAGAATCCAAATCCCTCGCTGAAACAACCCCCTCCCCAACAAGGTAACACGCCTCCCTCAGCAACGCGAAAGCAAGTCTATTCCCCACAAACCCAGGAATCTCCTTATGCAACGTGATAGGCCGGTAATGCTGTGAAGCCGACTGATCCCCACTCGAACCCGCGGGTCCAGGTATATCGCCAAAATACCTCTTCACAAAATCAATCTCCTCAGTTTTCGTCTCAGGCCCAGGAACAATCTCAACAAGCGGCATCAGATGCGGCGGGTTAAACGGGTGTGCGACGAGCAAGCGCTCCGCAACACGGTCTGCGGCCTCGCACGCGGATGCTTGCGCCGACGCGGGGATTCCAGATGAACTGCTCCATAGATGGGTATCAAGGCTGGCGAGACCGGCGACTTCCTTCCACAGGTCCTGTTTCGACGCTGTGATTTCCGGGCTTTGTTCTTGGACGATTGTTGCGTCTTGAATGGCTTCAGTGAGGGTGGTGGCTAGTTTTAGGCGGGATGTGCGGATTAGATCGTCGATTAAGGTTTTTGAGTCTGGGGAATCGAGGAGGGAGGGGAGCGTGCTTCGAATCTGGGATTCGTAGTCGGGCCGTGGGTCGTAGACTGTTATGCTAGTGTCGGGGCGCCGGAGGTGCATTGCTAGCATTGAGAGGCCGATTGTGCCGAGGCCTAGGAGGGCGATTCGGTGGGGGTATTCTGTTGCCATGGCTTCTGGCTCTTATGGGGATTGGGTTTGTAAAATGGTGTTAGGAAAAGAAGAGGTAGGAGAGAAAAGGGAGAGTTACGTAGGTATAGATGGCCTCGGAGATGTTTGCCGATTAGTGGGGAATGGAGGGGCCATGCGGGGACAGACCTCGGGGACATTGTATGAGGGTACACACATATACTTGCCCAGATAGGCAAAAGCGACGCAACGAGGCGTAAGAAATAGGTTACTTACAATAAAAGCTGATAATGATCTATTGAATAGTACCTATATTATGTTCGACATTTATCCGCTAATAAGACTTTAAAACTTTAAATAGTATAATGGAGATACTAAGCAGTATATAAAATCTTGAATTAAAGCCTTTCATGAATCAATTCAAACTATGAATAGTACGAGGAATAAATTTTAAATTGTCTAATCTCTTCGTACGTGGAATTGAGGTCATGGTTATGGACTTCTAATCAGAATATGAACGAATAATTTGCATGTGTTTCTCATCGCTGGGATTTGGTTTATTCTCGCGAGTGCCCACAAAGCCCATTTTTTGCTAAACAAGCCAAACATTTTATAGACTGCGACATCGCCCGTCTATGGGCTATTTGGATTTTCGAGTGCCCGTCCATAACGCCCACCGTTATACAAGGTTGTCTTAAATATTTTGAAATCTGTTAATAAAAATCATGTGTTAACCCTGGAAGCTAATTTTGCTTACTAAAAAGGCCTACGGGCGCCCACGACGTCCATGGGCCTGGGCCCTAAGTGTAGGGACGGGGTAGTTAGTGCCTAGGCCATCGGCCATAGACCGGAGATTGGACTACTATTCGAATATTTACCTCCTAGATATGATATGTGAATCAACAAATGCAAAAAAAGAGAAGGCCTACAAACCCGAACGTTAGGTTAATTAAGTTGTGCGGTTGTCTAATTTTTCTTTTTTCAAATTCCACGCTAAGCTTTAATGGCATTGCGTTAAAGATGAAACTCCCATCCTAGTCCCCTGACTTCAACACGTTTGAGATCCATATCCTGAGCTTGACTATCTTCCAGCCTAATTTAAACACACTCGATTGATATGCCTGGGCTTTTCTAGTCGCTCTCAAAGTTCCTCTAGACAGAGCTCTTCCCTCTGGTCTCGAGAGGCAACATCAAACTTGTCAACACCAGGATTGCATATAGACCGGCACAAACAAACAATGGAGTCGTCGTGTTCACATTGGCATAGCTTCCGATCAAAATCGCAATGATACCACCAATACGATTAGTGATCACGCAGAGCCCGTACCCCGTTGCACGATGGGCAGTGGGGAATACTTCCGGAGTGTATGCATAGAGTGTGCTGTAATAAATATTGCCACCCGCAGTGATTGCCGCGGAAATCGCTACATTTTGCAGCGAAGTTTTGATCTGGGTATAGCCGAATTGCAGCGCTGTGGTAATTGCGGCGCCAACAGCGAGGGTTCCTCGCGGCCGAGGTATTTTGTTTCAACCAGACCTCCAGCAATGATGGGTCCAATAAGACCACAGACCTGATTAATAGCGTAGTTTCGCCATGTAATATACGTTGAATCATCGGAGCCAGTGTCTGCCCCTCGAGAGGCGAGATAATAGGGCAAGTAGATGGTGTACAGTGGACTGACAATCCCGACTAGAAACCAATTGAGATTGATTACATATGTTGAATATGCGAGGCGGTGAGTCGCAAATAAACCTGAGAAGTGTTTTTGAAGGCGGACAGAGGACCAGACAGACTTTTCTGCATTCAAAACATGGCCTGGCTCTTCAAGCTGTTGCAAAGTCAATGAAAATGGTCGTTTGTAGGAGTCAACGATATTTTTCAGAATATCAAAGACCTCAGCGTCTCTATTCTGAGTGATTAGCCACTTCGGCGTTTGTGGCATCCGAATCATGAAGATTCGTAATATAGCCAAGACAGTTATCAACCCTCCACAGGTGAAATGAAGGTACCTCCATCCCATATTTTCTCTGTTTGTGCAGATTGTCGCATCAGAATGACAAGTGTAGTTTCCAAGAAATGCCCAGGCAAGTAAACCCGTGATGGTATAGCTGACTGCCCACCATAATGCCAAAAAGGTGGTCAGCCACAAGTGAGAGACGGGCAAGAATTCGATCAGATTGGTCGTATCAAGAATGTAGTTCCCGCCGTCAGCAGCAGAATAAATTGCAACCCTATGAGAATATGAGAAAGGACCTATCGCATAGAACAGGCTATCGGGATCACTGACATGGCGGCAAAGGAGACATAATTCGGCATTGCTCCGGCAATGAGAACAAAGACAGCGCAAATGAAAAAGCTGCTGTTGAATGCCAAACGGCGGCCGACTATGCCTGCTGATAGTCCCCAGACGGCTGCACCAACCAATAACCCCACTTGAGATGCCATAGAAATGCCGGTGATGTGCTTGCTTGGGTTGCCAAACTACTGTGTCACAGCAGACTGTGAGACAGATTGGCATAGGACAAGGAGCTAGGAAATATCAATAACCAGGAAAAGTGCGGCCAACAGACGGTTGCTCACCGTATCGGCTCCATATCCAAACCCATTGAGGAAGAATAACTTCCAATGGAATGGTGTCATCCCGACCTCGTTAATTGCCGCGTTGGCCAGGGCCATCTTTCTTGTAAGCGCAAGGTCAATCTCGCGGGTGTCAATCAACTCTTCATTTTGATCCACCGGAGTCGAAGTTATGCCCCCGCTTTCATATTGATTGGAGTCATCTGCAGAAGCAAGCTCGGTGTCTTCTTGCCTCTTTGGGTCGGTCATTTTGCCTTGGAAAAGGAAGGAAAGAAAATTAGGATCTGGTACAGCGCTTCTCTTAAATCTATTTGAGAAGCAGATCGATTTGTATAAATAGATTAGTCGAAAATCGCTGAGTTATCCGAGATGAGTATCGCGCGCACTAGATTCATTGGTTCCTAAAAGGAGCACGGCTACAGGAGGTTTTGCAACGACAGTCACAAGCTTCATCGCGGAATTTGAGATAAGAGTTGCGCAATTGAGAGTTGCGCAATTGAGCTGATGTTTTTGTATATCTCTGCTGGGACTGCGCAACTTGTCGGCGGAAAGAGAATTTATATATGGATTAACCACGGGTATATTCCCCGTTTTTGGCGTTCTACTGGTGGCTTTCGGATGGCGACCCAACGCAGGGGAGAAAGCTAATCTCGGCCCGGCAAGATTCTAGATTGCGCTTTCTTATGTTTGCGTTTCCACTAATATTGCGACATCATCAAGATCGAACCACGTCCATGGGATTATCGTGTAATTCCAGGATGCGATTTCGGGGACCTTTCGCAGTCTGACCGAGACATAACCCTCAAACGCGATTAGTTGCAATAGAGTCCATTTTCGTACCGTGTAGATTGTTCGATGGCATCATTTCCACTAGAAAGGTGAAATGTCCCATCATTATAGGCCCAGTTGGGACTCCTAAATATACCCCTACCTGGTCTTCCAGGTCTTATTGCTCGCCAGTCACCTTTTCCTTCTCACTACACTTTCAAACGTAATTGCGAAATCAGTCACCATGGAAGGCCTAAAAGAAGTAGAAGCCGGCATCAAGATCGCTATTATTGGCGGCGGACCTGCTGGGCTTTCGGCTGCCATCGAGCTTGCTAGACTACCGTTTGTGGAATGGACCCTGTACGAGCAGAAACCAAGCATCAGCGAGATCGGCACGGGGATTGCTCTACAACGCAACACATGGAGACTACTAGAAAAACTTGGAGTATCGCAGCATCTCAAGGCAGGGGACTTCTTCAGGCCGAAAGATGGGCACGACACTCAATATAGGTGAGCCGGTTTTGCTGATTCCACAGGCCTATGAGCGATGCACTAATATACGAACCGCCCCAGAGATGGGAGGACTGGGGCAGTTGTGAAACAGACATACCCATTGCCGAGTGTGGCTCCCCACCAAGCCCCATGCAGAATCCATCGGGGCAGACTGCAGAGAGCCTTGCTAAAAAATATTGACCAACGTCGCATTCGGCCGGGCAAAAAACTGGTGGAAGTGGAACGAGTGAACAGTGGGAGACTTCGTCTTGCTTTTAGCTGTGGCTTCGTTGACGAGGTAGATCTTATTATTGGGGCCGATGGTATCCGGTCTGTGAGTGGAAAATTAATCCACAAGGCGAGGTATTACCATAACGCTGACTCAAGGATACATCAGATCATTCGAACATTTGCATTCCCCGAATATAGTGTCAGCTACTCGGGAATGACAGCGTATCGAGCAGTAGTCAGAGAAGCAGACGTCCGACAAATCAATGGCCTCTCAAAGGCTATCATATTCTGGTACGGGACCAATGGCAAGTGGATTTATACAAGTCCACTTGAAAACGGCGATTGGGAGATTACTTGCAGGATTCGAGAGCCCGACGACAATGATCGGACGAGTTGGGGCAAAGAGGTTAATGTGGCAAAATTTGTTGAGAGCTTCCACGAGTACTGCGAGCCGATTCAACAGCTGTTATCATTAGTGACTCGGGTGAAGCGGTTCGACTACTTCGGCGGGCCGCGATTACAGACCGTGATCAATCAGAGTTCCGTGGCTCTAATTGGTGATGCGTCTCATCCACTCTCTGGGGCTTTTGGTGCCGGTGCTGCTTTCGCTATTGAGGATGCTCATGTGTTGGCAGGAGCCCTTCGTTGGGCAGCTTCTTCATCTCACTCTCTGACGGAAGCCTTGCAGCTCTTCGACAAGGTGCGGTCATTTCATTACGGGAAACTGTACGAAACGTTAGATGAGATTGCTTCAGCTCATCAGAAGACCTTTCGCCTCTCCGCGTCGACAGAAGAAGAGATTGCCGGCCAAATTGAAAACGTTTCATTGCCGAAACACGCCTGGATGTATTATCACGAGGTCAGTCAGGCTTCTGCTTCTGTTGTTCGAGTGGAAACTGACCAAGCGAATATAGGCTGATCAAGCCCTACAAGATGCCATTGCAGAATCTCGCATTATACCACCTCTACGACAGAAGTTGTAGTCCTCCATAGTGATGAGGGCAGTAGGCACATGAACATAGTCCACATGAATAGATTTTAAGTGTACTACTTGCAGGCGATATGTGTTCTGTAGGGGATTGGGCGCTAAAATCTATTTCAGTCATGAAACCAGTCTGCAGACCAAATAGATAGATGAAAGGATACTGAAAGCTTCCATGGTCCCCCCCCTTTTACAACAGTCTACCCTACTAAATACTAGCTTAGTATGTGTTGTATCTAGTGTGTGAGAAATGGAATGGAGAGCTAAGAGAAATGAAAGGTTGAGAACCCTGTATTTTGAAGAATAATATAGTATTAATGTGTAAAATACCATATTAAATACTATGCTAGTTTATACGCTAGTACTGGCACTGTGGATGTGGGTGAATTTCAATAGGGTAGACTGTTGTATATTGCTAGATTGAACAGAACTTTCTCTTCCAACTCCAGCCTGGGATGATCGCTTATGAGACATTTCAATGGACTTAAGGTAAATGGGCACTCAGTTAGCCTTTAGCGCCATTCCTTTCTGGTACAATTATTGATTTTTGCCTCGATTCATTCCGTAGAAAAGATGTTTACCCAGATGCGTGTACTCCGTAGGGTAGATCGGCTTTCAAAGTGTGTTTCGGGAATTATTTGTAATTGTGATTTAGAAAATCCGAATATCTCATTTGAAGTATGACCCGCTATTACTACGGGGCACATTCGGTAGTGCATCTCTTCGTGCATAACATCCTTTTTCCACACGTTCCTCGGCCGTTCAACAGGTCCCAGGGGAACACGAGGATAAGCCTGTGGCGTAGAAACGCTATGGTCAAAAAAGGTCCCGCATATATCTCCTATGTTGTATATGTGGTTCTGAGTGGACTAGTTATATTGCGACTTTAAATGGGGCCATTGTGCAATTCCAGGCTTGGCCGCCAACACCCCTTCACATATAAACTGCAAAGAACTGAGCGTCCGAAGATGCTGGTCTTGTACCTTTTTTTGCGGCCAAATATTTCATATTGGCACGTCACATTGCCAACGCATATACAAATAACTCCATGACGCTGCAATCCTTCAAGGTCATTATCATAGGTGGGGGGCCGGTTGGGATCACAGCTGCCCATGCCCTTCATCACGCTGGTATTGACTTCATCGTACTCGAGCAACGCGATGATGTATTTGAGGATGTAGGTGCTAGTCTAGTCGTCAGTCCACACAATTTACGCGTGTTCCACCAATTCGGCTTATTGGAGAAACTCTCCGATATTGGCTATCCGTTCCTTCATCATAACGAGGGTTTCAACACAAAGAAACCAAAGTTCAAACGCTCGTACGCTCTGAGCCTTTTGCAGAAAAAGTAGGTGTCAAATTGAGAATAATTCCGTCCGCCCCCTATTTACAGCCGGTTGAACCTATTGAAAACGTCTATCCCGAATGGCTGATTTCACATGCATTTCACACGTCTGCTTCTATTTGTTATATCTCCAAATCATTTTATCCATTGATCCAGTAATACATTGCTAACATTGACATAGCCACGGCAGTGCTCTACTGACCTTTCACCGAGCCCAACTCATCCGAACGCTTTATGATGGCTTGCCTGAAGTTGCAAAAGCTCGCTACCGTACGGGCAAGAAGCTCTCTGACATTGTCGTTAGCAATAATGGCGTGAGGGTCATTTGTGCCGATGGCACATCATTTTCAGGCTCTGTCGTCATTGGTGCAGACGGTGCTCACTCCAAAACCCGTCTGGTTATGCGTCGTCATGCGCTAGAAGCAGATCCATCCTTGACTCCCATTTGGGATGTTGAATCACCATATACATCAACCTATAGATGTCTTTGGGCATCTATACCTCGACTTTCCGATCCTGGAGACAGCTACGAGATGCAAGGTCAGGACCGCTCAGTAGTATACCTTACGGGCCGCGAGAACTCGTGGATATTCCTTTACGAGAAGCTTTCCCAAGCGTCGAACAAGAGAGTTTTCTATGACGACAATGATCGCCAACTCTACGGGGCCACTTTTTCCCAATGGCCACTTACTGAGACTTTTACTGTCTCAGATGTACTTCACGACCCCTCTTGCATTTCTGGCATGGCAAATCTGGAAGAAGGAATTGTTAAAAACATCAGTTGGAGTGGAAGAATCGTACTCGTCGGAGATGCGTGTCACAAATTCACTCCAAATTCTGGACTAGGTTTCAACAACGGAATTCAGGATGTGGTTTCACTATGCAACCAACTGCACACGCAAATATCCTCCTATATCGCCAGCCCTGCAGGAGGAGAGGCTTTGGATCAAATCGTTCTTCAAGCTGCATTTGACAAATACCAGCACGAGAGGAAACCATTTTTGGAGGCAGATTACACGCGTTCTGCTCGATCCACACGCCGTTCAGCATGGGCTACCAGTACAGATTACCTCTCCGGGAGATATATCCTGTCATTGCGGCTTGTGCAAAAGTTTCTCATCACTCATTCTATTTGTCCCGGTATAAAACGGGGGCTTGTGTTGAGCTATATTCCATCCTCGGAGCCGCTTGTGGGCAAAATGTTATGGAAGCATTTGATGGGGAAGTCTAAATAAAATTCATATGGTGTGAACCTCTGGATTGGTGTTGGAGGATATTATCCATGCTGCTGACTGCTTCCCCGAAGACCAATTTTCCGCGTCGAACCCATACGAACCAAGAGGAACATCTTTGACCGACTCCTTGGTTATGCAACAATTCTCGATTGACCAATTCCGCGATTATAGACGAACTTTGATCCGATTGTACTTGGGGCACTGGATAGGGGGGTTCCCGCTAGGGTCCATTAAAAGAGATTTTGAACTGATTGGGTTGAGCCGGGATGCTATCCTTATGATCTTTGAAGCATTTCTCAAAGCTGGTCTTGCTTTGTTGAGCATATTCTCTGCTGGAAGTAGCACGATAGAAGTGGTCAATCTTGCTGGTCTACTTTCTGCAATGCCAAGCTTGGCAGGGTTGAACATTTAAGGCATCATGTGGGGACAGATCCTGTTCACCCACGTAGTTAGTAGTAGCGAGCTAACTAGCTATCTCTCTCTCTTTCTCCTCTCCGTCCATCCCACACTAATAGGAATTGACTGCACTATTTCTCATCCGATCTATATTATTAGACTTCGGCAGAACCCATCTTGGGTCGGAGGCTCTGACCCAAACCCCAATAACCCAATAATAACCCATTTGAACCCATTTTTGCATAAGAATTCATAAAATATAAGTCTTAGCATTTTTAAAGATACTTTTCTACTTATATTCGTTTTAACTTTTTAATTAAATTGCTATGCTCTTTATATACATATTTAAATTTTAGAATTTTAAGCGTATAAAAATTTAGATTGTTTAGTTTGCATTATATTGGGGCCCCAATGGGTTACCCATCGTTGAGTCGAAGCAATGGACCCAAAGCCCATTTTGGGCAGAAATATGGTGGTGCAAGAGCATCGGCTCCATGGCTCCATGCTTCCGATGATGGTGGAATAGCAAGAGCCGAATCGCGGGGAAAGTTCGATCACCGATTGCAACCAGAAAGTGACAAAAGAACATTTACAATTGCGACTTTCCCTTGTTTCGGTACTGCTTAGCCCAAATACCTTGTTTTCCGGGGCTCAGAATGCCATTAGGATCAAGCGTATCCTTGATTCGCTCATTCAATCGCATCAAAGCACCGCGGCCAAATTCATATTGCTTGGCAACCAGATCCATATGTTCAATGTGTGCACGGTACTCGCCATACCCGGCTTCCCGTGCAGAACGGACTAGATCGACGAACAAGGCGTTGGCGGTGTCTTTGTCCTTTTGCGAATTACGGTCGAAGTGAATTATGTTAATGTGTGTCATGTGCCGCAGGTGCATGTGCAAACCGCAAAGCTTCTGTGCCGTGTAGTAGAATTCAAGAGCTGCCTTCCCGTCAGAAGGTAGGACGGGGGAGAAGGAAATGTGTCCGCTATGAGTTGTATTGTTAGATTCATTGGTCTTGGTTGCATTGGAGTCAATGCTGGGGGTCATTCTTACCCGTCAAGTCCGCGGTACTCAATTGACTTGATCGCGCACAGGCCAGGATTTCTAGTTTGCAGATCGTAGGGAATATCGATGGCATTGACATCTTTCTGACCAGGCTTAGGATAGTGAGCAGTTGCTGTCAATTCATGGCCCTTGATTGGCTTGAATGCTTCTCGGATCTGCTTGAGATTATACTCCATCATCTCCTTAGGCCCATATAGAGCAAATGTGGCATCCCAGAATCCCAACCGAGGTCCTTTTGAATCTCCTTAATCCGATAGTATGGAATCGAAGTATCCTCATTCCAGAAATCCTTGCGGAGACCGCGTTTATTGATTTCGCGTATCACGTTACCGATAACAGGGTGATCTTGAATCTTTTCCCGGAGGAGCATTTCACGTAAGATGTCCACCATGGGTGCCAGATCACGCTCCTCGGGGACTGAAAGGTGGACTCGCATGAACCCCTCGGGGGCAAGGCATGCCCAGATTGACATTTTGGTGACAATGCCGAACTTGGACTGACTGAACATGGAGTCCTAGGTTGGACCAAAGCCACCACGGAGCAGTGGTCCGCAGGCAGAGTTATCCAGTGCCCTCATGCCCGTTCGGACCAGAGTCCCGTCGGGTAGAACTACCTCAATTCCACAAGTTTGGTTGGAGTGATCGCCTTGGGCAGTGTATCCCCAACCCTGTCCAATGTCAGCTACAAAGATTGTCTTTTTACTCAAATACGGCAGGAACTGGTCGCCTTTGTGTTGACTAGCTACGTTTTCGGGGGTGGTTGGTGGAAGCAAGCCGGTTTTCAATGGGACAATGACGCGTGGATATGAATGCATGGAATTCTCACTGACCTTGCGTGCAGTATGATACCATCGAATTGCGGAATTGGCACCGACATATCCTGCAATTCAATATGTATCTGATTCCCCCTTAGATAACAAATCAAGAGTGGACTTACGGTATTTACCCAATGAATCCAACATCATACACCCTAGTTCTTCTTGGAAGAGTGAATCATCGTTGGGCATAGTCAGTTTTTGGGGGTCGTGCTGTTGGAGGTCGTGCTCTGGCAGATCGACACGAGAGTTCGGAACTAACACAGCGTCGCTGGGGTCTGCATCTCTGTTCCTACCATTTGGCAAGACGTGCGAAGCAGGGTCATTATTCTTCTGCTCTAGGGAACACCTTATGCTTTCGACTGTGAGCTCGGGAAGCTCCTCTTCAGGAATGAATCGTCGCAAAAGCTTGACCAAAGAATCATAGGCTTCCTCGGATACCATATAGAACGGTCGTTTTCGATTTTTGAGGTCAAATTTGCATGGTAAATTGAGTGACTGGCAATAATCGCAGTCGCCATTCTCGACACTAACACACTAGATGGTTAGCTTTTCTTTCACTCGCGTTATTGGTGGTTGCTTACCTTTGTTTTGCGGGCCTTGCAGGCCTCACAGATTTGACGCGCTCGCTTTCGTGGCAATGTGTCCTCCTTCTCCCATCGTCGTTTCTGTGTTTTACTCACCTCTTTCATGGCTGTTGTGGTGTGAAACATGGGAGATGTTTTACCTCGCTATGGGAGATATATGCCGGCATTTGTGGAGATGCGGGGAGCCGATCGTGTGGGGCTAAATGAGACGATTTCGGAGGATGGAATTTTGTAGTATTAAGTTATTAACCCCTAATTGGTCATCATGTCCATTTATATCAAAACCTCCCAATAACTGATGTTTCTCTCGCAGATGGTATTGATAGAACATTGAAGGGTTCCTTCGTAGTCAGCCTCGCCATACTCAGCCTCACCAGCCACATAACGTGGATATCTGATTGGTGCCACGACACAGCGCTTGCTATGCACTGCCTGGCCCCCCTTGAAAAGCAACAACGTTCAAGATCTCACTCTCACCACTTTCCCATTTCCACTTTGTCGAGCCATGTCCGATCCTCTCTCTATAGCTGGTACCGCGGTGGGGATTATATCACTCGGTCTGCAGGTCTGCGGCGAGATTGTCTCGTTTTGCCAGGCATGGCGGGGTTTCAACGAAGATATCCAAAATATCAGTGAAAAGGCTGACGCGGCTCGTATGCCACTGAGAACCTTGAGGGAGCTGATCGAAGACTTCCATACCACCGACCCCGCGATCGCGAGGGACCTTGAAAATAAGGCAAGGAGTATTGAGCAAGTGATAAAACGGCTCAAGACAGCGACAGATCGATATGCAACTGGCACATCCAATACAGAATCCTTCCGGCTCCAGCTCAAAAAGGCTGCATATCCCTTTAAGAAGGAAGCGTTGCGCGAAATCGCAAGTGATCTGGAAAGCGTCCAGGCGATGCTCCAAACGGCGTTACAGATGTAAGTGTGCTGCTTTTTGGCTGCATAAGCTTGAAAAACTCGGATTACCTAGAAGAATTATACCGGTGCTAACAAAATATTAGCTATTCGGCGCAAAGCAATCGAGCTTTACTGAGAGGAATAGATCGAAAACTTCAGGAGATGGTATTCCCTCCTATACCCATATTCTATCTAGGCCATACTGATTGAGCCCAGAATTCGAAACTGTCAGATCCAACAAAGTTACCGCCAAGTTTACTGCAGTCATGGTGTACTCAACAAGAACAACTGCCTACATCGAGATTGCCTTTGCAAATCGCAGCGCAAGGTGACCGTATGATAAGCAACGCCTCCATCGAAACCAATTGTAATGAAACTTGCTCAAGTTCATGCATGACAAAAGCAACTCATGAAACATCGATTCCTTCCCAAAACCGCAATCCAGCAAGCAGTGCATGGACAGCTTGTGCACGCCGACCCCACAAAGAAGTAGAAGTCATCAGCATATCTTACTACTATCGTAGTCGCATGTTAGGCTTTGCTATCCGAGCCTCATTCCTGCTTACCAAAGGAGCTGGGGGTCATTCAATCGCTCCGTTGCTACATCTGCAACCTTTAGTGGAAATCACAGATAGTCTAGCATTGAAGATTTTCTCTAATTTTTTTATTTGTGCAACGTCAGGGGATCTTAGGCCACTCGTGGATCATACATTACAACAGTTGCAGCAATCATTTGATCTACAAGAGGCAACGCCATTTGATTTGATTTGGGTATGGGACAGGGAGATGTCACTTTTTGATGTAGGTGTAACCCCATTCTGATATCACTGATTTCTCTCACACGAATAGCTTGCTTGGCTATATTCTCCTGGTTTATTGTTTGGCTCTGGTCAGTTCGACCACCTTTCCAGATTTCTCAGTTTCTTATTGAATTGTGGTTCCAAACCAAAAATGAAGTATTACCACGGAAGGAGCATATTGGATTCTTTGAATGGATTCGCCCTTTTTGGAAATGAATGCTCTTTAGGCTTGCGTCTACTTGACCTTGGGTATTCTTTTACTGCCCACGCCCCTTTTTCTCTAGCCGACAGGCAGAGTATTCTGTATCTGCTTTCCCGAACCGACGAGTGTATGTGAACATTCCCTATATCCTATTCAACAAAACTAATTTCAAGCAAGCGATCCAAATCCCGGATATCGTAAGAATCATCTTCCGAGGGTCTGAGCATCAATTGAGAGATGCCCTCAAATCGGGAAAAGCTTCCCCGAGCGACATAATAAACGGTGATTCTTTGATTGAGTATGCATTTGGATGGCCAAAGGGGATTCAGATCTTACTGGAGGCAGGTGCAGCGCGGAGTCCAACGTGCAGTGATGTGAGCTGTATCCGTTATGTTGAAGAAAACGACGAGGAGGATACTTATCATTCAGTTAAGCTTCTCATTGAGGCTGGATGCTTATTCGACTGGTATGATATTTCTAGATGCGAGCAGAACGGGAGAAGCAGCAAAATAAAATTGCTGCTCATTAATGAATTGGCTGCGCGACGCAAAAGACTCTGGCATTTGGCCCAGTCTTGCTTACCCGCTGGTCAACTTCCGAAATTGATTTCCGACGACGAGAACACGGGCACGACTACGATATTTGATATACACACCGCAGAAATACACGATCGATTAGTAAAACAAGGAGTATCCATCGATCCATCCCTACGACTTAATTTCTCCGAGATATGGTACAAATCTGTTTATCATTTCCCAGAATTCACGGCCCAGACGCTAGAGGAACTATACCAAATTGGCTTCAGGGGCATTACACAGGTAACCCCCGAAGGCTTCATGCCTCTCGTCATCCCACGGCCAAGATATTATTCTACCGGGTCGGAACATAACGAGAAGTGGAAAGGGATGGAGCGAATAGCCTGGCTGGTTTCAAAAGGTGCCGATCCATACCAAGAACTACCCGGAACCAGTGCAACTGTAACGCATCATCTCGGGTTGACGATCGTCGACTATTGTTTGGACGCGCTTCCCGGTCGCAGAGAGGTCAAATTAGAGAACCAGAAGCATTACCGAGCTTGGAAACGGATGGTTTCGGAGTTTGGAAAGGAATTCTTTCTCCTTCCTTTGGTTCGAGATAGATGTGTCTGCGCGTGCTCCCCCGATGGGTGTACTACAATGTCGGTAACGCTACGACATATTATCGATTACATTCCGGCCTATAGGATTCACGAACCAGAATTCTGGTACCGAGAGTTGATACAATTCTTACTTTGTTGGACTAGAGGGGATACAGGAATTGGCTGGAAGGTTATCAGATTCCTGACCTTTGATGCATTGGGTCTGAAACATTCATGCTGCATTAACACCCCCACGTACCCTTTCGATTTCAGTTTCAGACTGAAAAGCAGAGAAGAGGAAGAGGTTGAAGAGATACTCGACGAACAGAAATTGGGATTAATTGAACTCGAAAAAATTCTCGATGAACTCAAAATCAAGTTTGACGAGCTTGGTCAACCCGTGATAGAATTTTTGGAAGGATACTGGCACACTCGCATGATTGAATTTCTCTCCCAACGCGATCCCTACGACGAGGACCATGTCATTGAATCAAGACGAATGGGTGTTGCTCTAGAACCGGATGAGTGTGTTGTTCCTGATAGGGTATCTCTGCTTATTGGCTCAAAGATCATGTATGAAATCAGTACATAGAGTCAGATATCACGCGCATCTATCTCATGCATTTCTACCTATCCTATAAACATTCCCTACGGTCATTCAACCTGCATTTTGATTAATTGAGAAAACTTGGTCCCCGGATCATGTCCTTAATCCTTTCTGCAAGGAAAACAGGAAAATATCCTTCAGAAGCTCGCTCCGTTTTAGAGAAGATCTCACACTTGATTTCCGGAAGTCTCTTGTTGTTCAGACCTTCATAGCTATCTAGGGATATTTGTTTGTCTCCGTTTCTGCTGGTCTTACATATCGCCATTTTCCAAGTCCGCAAATGCAAGCCCCGTGACTTGATCAAGCTCCATAAGCTCATCCGCGACAGGTAAGGATTGCCCAAAGACATTGTCCCATTCACCCCAATCGAAATTGAGACTCAGGTCGGTCATGAATGGGACAGAAGGCTCAGAAGCGGTCATTATGTTCTGACCGGCGGTATCTAGGAATTTCACTGTAGAAGAGTCAACGAGGGATTGTTGAGTTGGGATAGTAGCGGCGGATGAATGAGCAAAAGCCAAGTCAGGGGCAAATGCTCTGTCGCGTGAGAGGGCGGTAGTTGCAGCTGCACGAGTAGTAGGGGCGGCCACAGTGGCGAATGACATGGATTTGAAGTAAGGCGCATTCGCAAACTCGGACTCGGTTGGCCAATCTTGTGCCATCCAGGGCAATTGGGGGTTCAGCCCGGCTTTCTGCCAGGCCTTTTGGCGCAGACGACGGATCATACCCCAGGCCTCGCGGCCTCCGTTCCTCAATGGACGTCGGGTGAAGATGTCATCTCCCCCACTTACGACGCCCCCGTCTGGACCAGAAAGGGACAGGATTTGATCAACAAATCCGCGTGACATGGAGGCTTCGGGGCTATAGGGTCGTTCATACAAGTCGATGAGAATAATCCTAGATCTAGTTAGCTTTGCTACAAACTCGAGCTTTCTACATACATCATTGCATGCATAGGTTGATGATTCCTTGACGACTATTAGTAAAGATCCGTATTTGAAAGATCGAACTGCTCACCCAGGCCAGCCCCATTGGAACGGCTGAAAGTCAGGATCCGTCGCCAATCGAATAAACTTTTCCATGAATGCATAGCAGTGTCGTAGGGCACTATATGAATTAGATCCAGAAGCTCATTTGAGTCGCGACGCTTACCTTTGGCGTGCTACGGGCCAGATTCGGCTTCGGGGATTTCTGAGGAATGGTTGATACGCAACACAAAATGCCTACATCTATGTTAGTGCGGAACGGCATTTTTCCATAAAAACGTTGACCTTATCAATGAATAAAGACAAAATAATCCTAGCCCATTTATGAAATGCGATGAGGACTACTGAGTGATATTGCTCCTGGCAACAAGATGAACCTTCAATAGGAAGTTCTGCCGCGGACGAGTGAGGAGCTCGTTTTGACGACGCTGTTAGTTTTTCAGTTGTCGTTGCCTCTGGAATTCGGCTTATGATGAAGTTGAGTTTGACTTGAAGATCGTGAAGCACAGAGCGAAGCTCCACCATATCCCCTCTTGTTAGAGGTTTCGTGCCCAGCTGAATTTTAAGTATTTTACGAACAGACTCTGCGGAAAGGTCAGCCCACGCGCCTAAAATCTAAGCCCAAGATCACTCACGGGCCATTATACACTTGGCCTTTGCGTTCAAATAATACACGTTGACCATCGATGGCCCACCACAAAGTGTTGGATTGTCTGGATTATCAGCTGTTCGCTGGCCGTGGGCAACCAATTGTTCATAATGTTTGGCTTCAGCAGTACCCAACAAGGTGTCCTTGACCTCGCTTGTCTCATGAACATCCCAATACGTTGTATCGGTAAGCAATGGCGGAAGCCCACTCGACATCGCGATAACGGCATCCATATGCATGATATGCCACCACAATCGGCGTCGGAACTCTGCCTCCCATGGGTCGATATTAAAATGGGAGGGATCCCGATGTAACCCTAAGGTCTGCGCCACTCTCACTGCTAAACTAACAAACAAACTACTTGCCAGGGGTTCTTCCTCTCTTGACAAGATTGTCTGGGTAATAAGATAGGCCGCCAGGCCGTGAAGGGTGACGCTGTGGGGAAACGAGATCTTTGCCAACCACGAAGTGACCTCCTCGCTATACTTTGTCGAGAGCATGGCTCGTGACGAAGTATTGAACTCCGTCTCCATTGTTCTCATAGAAATTGAAACTGACCCTCCAAACCATATCGCGTATAAGAGTGGAATGAAAGAAGAACTAGGACATGGCTCCCCTGTATGGCTTTTGCAGTCGTACCAGTCCCAAAAGGCATTGTAAAGATTTAATATCATCGGCGGGTGAATAATCGGACTCAGTGAGTGGACACCAGACATGAATGCCTTGTAGAGAATGTCACTCTGCCATTTTGTCGGAACATGCTCAAGCATATATGGCTCGACCGCTTTATCATTTGGTGATAAATAAGCCGATGGGATGCAAACAGCTTTTTGGATGGGCCCCGAGAAGCCAAGTGGGAAGGGAGAGCGCGTGGTTTGGCTGGTGGTTTGGCTGCTTATCGATCCTTTGCGCTGTCTTCGCTTGCTAGAAATTGAATCGGTTGGGGTATCACTACCTGCTGCTAAATTATGCGACTGATTCTGGTTTCCGAGCAATTGGTTGAGCTCCTCCATCTCATGGGAAATGTAAGCCCAATACGTCGTTCCAACGTATCTAAATCAAAGATTAGACATCTGAAGACACTTTAGCCTAGTGTATCGAAACTGACCTCGACCTCCCGCCATCCCCCAAAGACATGTGGCCCAAATTTGAAGTTTCCAGTGGATCCACCAGATCCGTAGTCTGACCGTTTGGGATGGGAAAGTCATCGCTGCTACAATCAGCGCTGAACGGACTGTCCGGTTGTGCAGCGATCGATTTTCTCGGAAGGTTGCCGTCATCCATCGGCGCTGTCTCCACGCTAGGGCGTAATGAAGCCGTTGACATCTCTGTTGACCCATGAGCCTGGTTATCCTTCCGTAGCCGTTCAACGAGCGATACAAGTTGAGCCAGGTGGGCTTCAACTGCGCTTAGATCTGTTTTCTGGCCATGTGATGATGATGCCTGCCTCGAAGGAGCATAGGTCGGCAGTCGTTCATCTGCATTTTCCTCCGAGTGTCGAGTGTCTCTCCGCCGTTTGGTTCTATTCGTCCGTTTACGGTTGGTCTGCGTGGTATCTTGCTGTAGTTCCGCGTCGTAGGCGCACTCGGTACTATTTTTCGCGCAGTTTCCGCATACTGGAAGTGTCTAGGAAGAAATGTTCAGTTCAAGCAACTTGCTCTTGGGCTCAGGGGGATTACCTTGTCGCATTTGACTTTGCGCCGACGACATGTTTGACAGCTATATATCACACGTTTCCGAGTAATCTGTGGATTGCCTGGTGCCGAGGGCGACCTTCGCGCTTGGGAGGTGCTAGACGGTTTGGAGGGCCCCGCCACAGGCTGCATGTTCGGCTTGTTTGGTTTGACAATTTATGCGTGTCTTTCCATCCATTCAATCTGATGACCAAGGAGAAGTAACATGCGCAAACAATCAAATAGTTATGGCGTGTGGAACAATCTAACCTGCAGATGTCCGGCCGGCAATTGCGAGGTACAGGTACTCCGCAGAGTTCAAAGTGTTCCGCGGGAACAATCTTGGCACTCTGACGTCGGGCGGGCGGACGATGGATTACTCAGCACCGCTAACTTGGAACCTCACCTCGCCATGGACATCGGGAACACAACCACCCAACACGCACCTATTACTCACCTATGCAATATGCGACCAATTCACTCTGAAAGCCCAAGAAACCATACCCCCAAGAGTGTAGATTCTTGATAGCCATTGAAACCCTCCAGAAGCACGAAATTCGCTTAATTCGTTAAACAGCAAACTGGTTCAATATACCATACACTACGCTTGCCAATTTACTTCATGGCCCCACCAATTGATTTGATGTCCCAATTGTCATAAATAAGCAGCTTCTTCAAAATGGCTTCTGAACCCGATTTTACTCATGGACCGGTATGGAGTAGCACCTAGGCCAGTAGCGATGCGAGGAATAGCGAATCTTCTACTCTCAAAGCATGCATGGGTCAATCGGCAGGGCAGAATCCAATGGCTTTTCTATGAATTTCAAGATTTGAGAATTAGAATTAAATAACCGCGAAGGCACAGCGACACATTCATAAACGCGGCACTTGTGATCTCCCCAGTTCCCCCAGAGCCCCAAACATACCTACAACCGTTAGCGAAGAGGTATTGTTTGACCGACTTCTCCCCTTCCAGAGGAACAAGTCCAATGAGTGGCATTTTGTAATTTTGTACTCCCGTCCCGCTAATGCTCTCAGTTGAAGTGCATAGTGGGCTGGTTAAGAAATAGAAAATCCGTTACCACAGTTCCTATGAGAGTTTGGCCCACTGTGACAATGGCCGTGCGTTAGCAACCTTGGAAGGAATAATGATGCAAGTCCGAGGTCTATGCTAACGTGTTCTCGGCCGAGTGGATTGTTGTTTTTGCATGGTATGCAGTCATAGTTTCTGTCCGCTTTATAGCCTAAGAACTTTTACATGGTATGTACTATAATGTAGTCTGTGAATGGTCGGCGCCGCCAACCCCTGTCGGAGCCAGGTCAAATCTGTTCTAAATTCATCGCAGATCTCTTACAGCGATCCAATCAGAGCCAATTTCATAGATGGGTTTTGGGCATATCCTTTCAGCTGCGAGATTACCCTAGAGCTAACAACGGGTCCACGGGTGGCTCCACTCTTGGCAATTACCTAAGCAGATTATGGAAGGTTAAATCAGCCTCCGAAGCTTATCTGTGGTCAACAATATCAACCATGGTCTGAGCCGCTGCGTGTCCTTATTGTAGTTCTTTTCCAGTCTCCTTTGCCAGACCGTGGCAGAAAAATATTGTGACTCTCAACCACACTCAGTTTCGAGGTTATACCCACACTCATATGCCACATCCACTTTTCCGATGAGCTAGAGCGCGGTTCTCGGCCGTATGTTTATTAAAATTGTGTCGTTCTCGGCCGAGACTAGGGGCAATCAGAAAGGTAGAGAGCAGCTTTCTCAGCCACACACCACAGAATAGCATAATTAATTAGGTCCCCGCATTTTACGAAACCCCGGTGCGTACCCCACAATCGTCTATACCGAAAGAGATTTACTGCGCACCGAAGTGTCCCTATTTTGCACTGTTCACCTGGGGCAATGGCCCACCCCACATTGACACTTAGATCGTTTCCCCGGGGGTACTATAAAGTCCAATCCCGTTGGCACTATCTATAATGTGATATTCACTCGCATAAATTGTTGAGTTGGTTTCTTGTTATCCAAGATCCTGGACACCCTTTGCACCGTGAATCACACAGTTTATACGATCATTTACATTGACGCGTTTTTGGAGGAAAAGATCAGCTCAATCAAATTTTTGCAAGAAGCAGCAATAATGACTGTTCTTTCGAATTCCAACAACCACGACGAGGGAAAAGGCACCACCAATATCGAACCAGACTACCTTCACCCGACCCACCTCGAGCACTATGGCCCACTAGCACATGTGAATACCGTGGAGTCTCGATTGCCTGCCTTTGCAGGGGAATTGCAACCGGGTCTATATCGGACGCCCAGGCTTCGAAAGTTTGCGAATCCTGCACCTCTAGGTCTCTCGGGGTTCGCCTTGACCACGTTTGTACTGGGGTGTATCAACATGGGCACACGGGACATCACAGAGCCTAATATGGTTGTTGGTGTTTCTTACGCGTATGGTGGGCTGGTTCAGCTTCTTGCCGGCATGTGGTAAGTATTTTCGTATTAGATAGGCGCTGTGAGGTCATCTAGATCTAACTGATCTGTCTGTCTAATAGGGAAATGGCCGCTGGAAATACATTTGGTGCTACCGCACTGTCTTCATATGGTGGTTTTTGGATCGCTCTAGGCATCACCTTTACTCCTGGATTCCAAATCATGTCAGAGCTTCAGAAAGCTGACAACGGCTCAACCGACATTTTCTACGACTCGTATGGGTTGTTTCTTATGGTAAGCCAGATTTCCAATGTAAATCAACCTCCATCATTATGCCTAACAACTCCTAGGGCTGGTTCACCTTCACGTTTCTTCTCCTCACGTGCACTGTCAAATCGACTGCGGTGTTTTTCTCCCTTTTTCTATTTGTAGATGTGGCATTCTTATTGCTTGGAATTGGACACCTCCATCGCGACTCCCAGGGAAAGCCTAATCAGTCAGTCCTCACTGCTGGCGGTTTATTTGCTCTCATTGCTGCCTTTTTGGCGTGGTATTCTGCTCTGGCAGGTATCGCAGATGACAGCAACAGCTTCTTTATCATTCCTGTCTTTCACTTCCCGTGGTCTGAGAAAGGTAGGGCTTCCAGACGGGAGGTTTCTCCTGTTGTTTAGTTGTTATCGCTATGGTAGGATTTGATGGGGGTTTTGGGCATAATCAATGATATTTTGTCACCCTGGAGACTTGAGTTATTATTATGATGAAATTTACCAAGCGCAAATTGAAAAGTTTATTATCATTCAACTTACGAGTACATGTGGGTAGGGTTAGCATGGGGCATTCCAAAGTTTTGTTCAGGTGCGCTGGCCTATCCGCTCACCGTGATGCCCACCGAGTGCTCAGTGTATAAATCTGTCTGTTCTATAATTCATGAGGGCATCGCATGTATTCTTCCAATAGCTAGGTTCTTTTTGGCCACGAAGGCAAGGTTTTGGGACGCCGCCTAGTTATCTAGAACGTGCTGTGGACCCACACGTCATCCTGCATAGTATGATAAACTGGTAATATATGGATGAAAAGATCTGTGGCTAACGAACTCACTGTAGTCATCAGCGATAATAATAAATAAGTCGGAGTATCTTTGTTGCTCCCCGGATCATGGCGGACCAAAACCTGTTAACAAAAAGGCGATTCAATGACATGACGTCGTGATGAATCTCGGCCGAACATGCATGGCATCAAGCACCGAACTTGCTATGAACCCACCAATTATAATCAATTTCAAGGAGCCCCATTTTATCAAGCATTACAGCATTATAAGGACAAAACCACTCTCTTTTTCCTGATTTCTATCATATTCATTTACCAACTGTTTGTGCTAATTCTCTCCAATTCACTTCAATTTCTATTATTTACTTCATCAATCATGTCATCTCAAGACAGCAAATTGGATAGTGACTCAATTGCCCACCCTCTGGCCCCATTTACATACGAAAATGAGGTATATCAAGCTGGTCTCAAAGGCCAAAAGCCATCGATAACTTTCAACTGCCTCGAATGGGAAACCCTAGCCAAAGACCAACTCTCGGCAGATTCATACGGATATGTTTGGGGATCCGCCGGAACTCGCGAAACAGACGACAACAACAAGAAAGCCTTCAAAAAATGGGGAATCGTGCCATCGCGCCTGGTCAAGAGCGACTTCCCAAACCTGAAAACGACGCTTTTCGGAGAGACATTCGAGTATCCGATCGCAATGGCACCAGTGGGCGTGCAGCGGATTTTCCATCCGGATGGGGAGAAGGCGGCAGCGAAAGCTGCTGAAAAGGAACATGTCACCTACATCCTCAGCACCGCATCTGCGACGAGCATTGAGGATGTCGCCGAGGCCAATGGAAATGGGTCTCGTTGGTATCAGCTCTACTGGCCTCTAAATGAGAACAATGACATCACTGTGAGCCTGTTGTCGAGGGCGAAGGCAGCGGGTTACAAGGTTTTGGTGGTTACCTTGGATACGTACATTCTTGGATGGCGTCCCAGCGATCTCAACAATGCATACAATCCTTTCATCCGTGCAGATGATATCGGTGTAGCATTGGGATTTTCTGATCCTGTGTACCGTCGCAAGTTCCAAGAAAAGCATGGGAAACCCATTGAGGAGGATGTCCAAACTGCGGCTACAGAGTGGGCGCATACCGTGTTCCCCGGTGTCAGTCACGGCTGGGAAGATCTCAAGTTTCTCAAGGAACATTGGGACGGACCAATTGTTTTGAAAGGAATCCAGACTGTTGCAGATGCGAAGAGAGCTGTGGAATATGGCGTCCAGGGAATTGTGGTCTCCAACCATGGCGGACGACAGCAGGATGGGGGTATTGCATCTTTGGATGTTTTGCCGGAGATTGTGGATGCCGTGGGAGCTAATCTGGAGATTATCTTTGACTCGGGTGTTCGCTGTGGTGCTGATATCGTCAAGGCATTAGCTCTTGGTGCAAAAATGGTCCTGATTGGCCGTCCGTACATCTATGGGTTGGCCCTTCAAGGTGAGCACGGAGTGAGCCATGTGCTGAGGAGTCTCTTGGGAGATTTTAATCTGAATCTTCACCTGTCGGGAATCAGCTCAGTGTCTCCTAAGCATCTTAACCGATCGGTGTTGCGTCGGACAGATAACTGAAAGACCCTTGTATTCAGTTTGAATATACTAAATCCCCTCTTCAAATACGATAAAGTCGCATTTCGTATATTATTTATCTGAGTACTATAGATGTATTTGAAGGGCCTGAAGACAGCTAATCTATTCAAATCCAAGGGCATCGTACACATTGTTTCTCTTATCAAGTTACCAAAAGGGTGGAGATCGCGCATGTAGTCACTCAATTCTATACAGCAGTCTAACGAGGGGAAAACTTCACTGCTCGGCTACTGCTAGAATAAGGGGTCAACATAACGATGAAAGGGTTTTGGAGGGTTTCCAATTAAATTGGGCTATGCGCCATGGGCACATAGAGATTTTATCTCTACTTTTAGAGAAAAGGGTCGATGTCGATTCAAAGGCGCTGGTCAGTGCCTGTGGGTACGCTGGTGTCCTGGGAGGGACATAGCTCGGAATCGAATTCGCCACTGCTTGTGCTTGTATTATCATATGGACCAAGGTGTTGGCAATTTCTTGCCAGCCTAAGATGGCTTAAGATAGCGTTCGTGAGGACCAACTTCCAAGTCGAGGAAATAAAACCGAAACTCCCAGACGTTACTGAGACAGGCCTTTCGATTCTCTTGTACCATGGTTATATATGCGAGGCAATCACTATCACTCCACTCAAATTTTCCCGACATAACTGTTGTGATAGATGGATAAATCCGGAGGAGAATCTGTTATCACGAGCAACAACAATATGTTCGCATCACTATTCAAACATTAGAAAACATATCATTGAATGATGAAGTGTACTTACTTGAGAATCATCATTGATCTTCCCAATACCGAAGTACTTCCCCATGGCTGCAACGCCATAGAGAGCTGAAACTGTCTTCTCAAGATCTTTCCGTCTGTGATGAACGCATCCTTTGACCAAGTTAGACTATATATTCTAAACTTTAGGGCAGGGATAGTAGAATCCACTTACTTATATACTCAAGTACCTGAGATACTTCAGTCCTTGCAATTGCTCCTGGCTTGGCTTTGATAATCACAACACTGATGGGAATATGTCCCTCCTTTCCATACCAGAGGGTGTATTCCGGTCGCCGGATGAATTCGTACTTTTCTCTCTTGCATGATACCGGGCCATAATGCCATAAGCCTTCGGCATTAGGGTGCAGGTTCCTCTTCACCACGAAGAGAGAATTTGCGACACCACGTATTATCCATTTTTGAAGCCAAAAGGTACTGAATATCTGGGGCTTGTTGCGATTTATCCCGAATTTCAACAATGTTGGCCAATATTTTCTTCCTGCGGAGTGTGGTGCTCAGCTATTTCGGGAATATGTATGGCCAACTCGTTGTTGCACTCGTTCACGGGAATTTGGAGGTTGGTATCGTGGAGTGGAAGTTGTAGAAATCGGCTTGTCGCCTTCCATCCAATCGGAGAATATTGTGCTTTCCCATTCCTCCAGTGCTTTATCGCACCTTCCTGTCCTGGTATGGTTCCTTGGGCTGCACTTGCTATCAAGAGGATAGTTAGTTGTCCAGGTGACCATGTTGTGTGCTTGGAAGGTTCCTTCCAACTTTAGCCAAATCAGGCATTTGGCATCAGAGGCCTGATGAATAAGGCCGCACATCGATTATGACGTTGGTGAGGTGAGCTTACGATGTTTGTCTGTTTTTCTGTGCCCTGAAACTCTGTTGATATTCCCAATCCAGATTTACTCCTTTGAAGTATAGTATCTATAGAAATGTAGATCCATTTATCAATCGTACTCCTCCAAATTTTGCAAATTGATACCAAAACTCGATGATTGTATGCTTCGACCATATGCCCTCAGCCTTCAGTTTCAATCAGTGCAGAACAGATTCTCAGCAGCCCTATGACCCGTAGTAATACAAGCCCAAGCGTAACCATTACTATCAACAATAACCCCAGCGCCGACATCATATTGGGCACACGTCGTCGTGCCGGCATACTGCGTCAGCCAATTAACAATATCGCGGCCTATGTTGATGTCTTCACCCCTGTTATGCGACGCCCGACAAGACATTGCAGCACTCGGCTTAGGAAGAGCGGACAGATCAACCGACGATGTTGTGTTGAAACTGTCCCGATGCAGCTTATCAAGAATACCACGCACAGTACTTCCAGGGTTATTACAGACATGGATATGAATCTGCTCCTCGGAGCGGGTGGAGACACTGTTTATCGCAAGTGTTCCTGTATCCCTAATACCTCTGTTGTTGAGTGTATCCTGGCCAAGCCGGAATCCCCCGTCCACGTCGGCAGCGGAATTCAATTGCAAAATTCCCGGTATCAAGTCTGTCGTAGTAATCAAGTCTCCACCACCGAGGACTACCCACGAAGGGGACTGGTTGGGCTGGGGTGGGCCAGCGCCAATTGAAGGGCTCGCGATGCAAGTTGTCGGGGTTCCGGCTTGGAAGGCGCGAATGCACCGACATAGACTGGAGAACCAGATGTAGCAGCCGTTACATTCGGAATTGGCATCGACACAGCCCGAGTAACATTGAGAGAGCTCTGATCGAGGTATCACGGGTGATGGCGGGGGCGGGGGGTTGCAGGTGATAGGACATTGTCCCGACGGTGTAACGCAGACCAGGTCTGTCGGTGATGATGGGAAAGTCGAAGGGCATGTACAGCCGCTCACGTCCATTTTGGTGATGTCAGCTGATGTACACAGGTTTGGTCCACCCTGTGCGATGCTGACGAGGTTGTCACCCGTGACATTTGTGGCATTGAGAGTTTCCTGTCCGAAGATCGGGGTCACCAGGAAGAGAGGGACGATGAATGGGACACAATCCTCGGAGAACTTCATTCTGATGGATTGGAGGTCAATTGGGAGTAAGAGGAAAGCACAGAAATCTATTTTGCCCGTACGGTGGGGACTATTGCTGTATATTTGTAGGGAAAATAAACAGAAACTATGATGTAAATTTGCCGTATAGATGGGCGTCAGCCCTATCAACCTCACCGTTAATGCAACCGGCTCTCGTTTCCGCAGAGGTTCCAAGGGTATCGATCTCGACGTCCAATGACGATGTATCTCGCAAGAGGTACATTAGATCATCACCGCATATCATTATCGTTGTACTGTTAAGATCCGGGGGAAGCCGAAGATTGAAGACTTGGATCCACTAACCGCTGTCTTGTACCTTGATGCAAGAAGAAACAGAGAAAGAAACATCGTGAGAGATCTGTTAAACAAGTTATTCGTTAGCATGAGAGGCCTTATGAATGAGACCACGATTGCCAAATTTCGGGCTCCTTAGAACCAGTTATCACCTCCACAATGACATCTATAAGTAAACACCTAGGCAGCATAAAGCACCCCTACACAAGAGACACAAGAGAGAAAGGGAACCAATCTACAGGATAAGATATACGAAAATCCATGATTTCATTTCAATATCGTCATGAGGATATAAAGACCATAAAAGCTTTTTCAAAATATCACGACATTTAGTTGCCGAGCTTCTGGCGAGCGAAGTTGGGCAGAACAAAGCTGGCGCGGTGGATGTCCTGGTTGTAGTAGCGGCAGAGCTTAAGCTCCTCCTCGGGGGTCCAGGTGCGGAGGGGCTCACGGACGTTGGCGTTGGCGTCCTTGGAGCAGACCATGAAGCCAATCTGGCCGGAGGGGTAGGTGGGGATGGTGGTGTAGGCGTACTCGGCGACGGGGAAGACCTCCTTGCAAGACTTCTTGAGTTCGGAGATCATGTCAAGGTGGAGCCATTGGTTCTCGGCTGTTATACATAAAGCACAGCACCGCAAAACCTAGCCCGTAAAGCGGGTTGGTTGCGGGAGTAGTGCGAAAGAGATTAGCGTATGATCAATTTTTTTTGGAGTGAGAATAAAATGACGAGGGATGGGCAATCAGGACTGATTGTTCTATGACGGGGATTGGGCAAGAAATAATAAGAAAGTGACGAACAACCTTGGGTAGTGATGACACCTCCCTCGCGAAGGGCAGACTTCAGCAGCTCGAAGTAAGGCTTCTGGAAGAGGCTCTCAGCGGGACCCTCGGGGTCGGAGCTGTCAGTGATGATAACATCGAACTCGTTCTGGCGGTTCTTGAGGAACTCGAAGCCATCACCAACGTGGGTGTGGGCGTTAGGGTGCTGGAAGCCAATGGCCATGCCGGGCAGGTACTTCTTGGAGACACGGATGACAGCCTCGTCGATGTCGCACAGAGTAGCCTCCTTGACAGAGGCGTGCTTGACGACCTCACGGAGGACACCGCCGTCACCGCCACCAATGACGAGGACCTTCTCGGGGTTGGGGTGGGAGTTCATGGCGAGGTGGGTGATCATCTCCTGGTAAGAGAACTCATCGCGCTCGGTGCACTGGATAACGTTGTCCAGGACGAGAACGGTACCGTAGTCGCTGCTCTCGAAGACGAGGACATCCTGGTACTTGGACTTCTCGTGGTGGATGATCTGGTTAACCTTGAGGCTCATGGCCTGACCGGGCCACATGCCGGACTTCTCATGGAACCAGCCATCTGTAGATTGGCATCAGCATGTTACTGTAACAAATTGGCTAGAAGGCGGGGTAATGGAGGGGTGGGTTGTTGTAGACATACCCTGGATGGTGGGGTGGGTAAGCTCGCTCATTTTGATGGGAAAAGAAGAGAAACGACGGGGGAAAATAGATGTTGAGTAGAAAGCAGAAGAGAGTCTGGAGAGACGAAGCATTCGAAGAAAAAGGGTACGGCGGAAGTTTGGCTGTTTTGGGCGAATTTTTTGTTTCTTCTCGGCTCAAGTGGGGAACCGCTGTGCTGCCACCAACACCCCCCCCAAACATCCTCAGAAACAGGACTAGACCAATTCCATGCATAATAGGTATTGGATACATCTCATGGCTCTTGATTGATTGCAATTCCACCCGGTAGACCTGCCCCACGTCCACAATTGGGCATGGACACCTCAGGGACCAATAGAGAGCCCTAGAAAGACGCTTACTTACGCTTGACTTTGAATGTAAGAAAATAACGACCTCTCAAGCGCAAAAAGATGGCAGATAAAAGGAAAATCAAATGGTCGATTGCTTTCTAGTTACTGTACAAGCATACAGCTCCCCCAAACTGCAGAGTCTTGGGTGTATCATGCTCTGTTATACCAATCCAACCTCACTCCAACAAACAAATTGAAATAATTTACTCTTCGTTACCACCCTCAAGAAGACGGCCGGGCTTGGAGTTCAGGAACTCGTTGCTAAAGTATCATATTAGCGCACCGATCAAAGCGACTCCTACGGTCTTTCTTACCGCTCAATGGCCCAGTTCATGGCAGCGTATGCGGCAACGAAGGGGGGAACAACGTAGAGAACCTGGTGACGGAAACGACGGAAGACGTTGAAGATAGCAGCGTGGCCAGCACCGGCCATAGGACGCTGACGGTTAGGGGACAGCGAGTAGGTGGCGATGCGCTGGGGGGTCGGGCAACCTGCAAGGTGGATATTAGCGATCCGTTCGGTTTGCTTTCTCCTGCTTTGTTCCTCTGAATGTTTCTCCGGATCTTATGCGATCTTTAATATCGCGTAAGGGGTCGGTCTTTTGCGCATGCATCGGGTCCGTGTGAAAGGTTCAAGGGTTATTGTCAAACGTACCGAACTCGCCCCAGTTGCCGATGTAGCTATAGAAAGTGAAAATCGTTAGTGAACTGAATAAAAGATGCAGAAGCCATTGAGTCTATCAAAGCCGACTCAATTGGCATCTTTTGGGAATTGCATTGTGTAGCCGGGCGGGTAACGCATCCGGGAGGCCGGTACTCAACCCACGAGACCAGGAGCAAACGCGAAACGACTTACTGTCCGTTCTTGGGGTCCACAGAGCCACCCATTGTGAATGATTTCGGGTAAAAAGAGAGGAGTGGGGTGGAAAAGGTATGGAGGTAGCGAAATGAGTGAGGAAAAGACGAAGGTCGGGCGAAGTTGGAGGTTTGGAAAGATGGGCACTAAACCCGATTGGGAACACTCAGAGTGAGCAACGGGAAAAGCAGACATCATCTCCATCATCCGTTCTCATCACCTCGCCCTCCACCTCCAACCATGGCTCAAGTCCTCCAAAATGTTTATCGGCTGGCCTTCCCCTTGGCTATTGGGGGTATGCTAGTTCAAAATTCCCTTTACGATGTCAAGGGCGGCACACGAGCTGTCATCTTCGATCGAGTGTCTGGTGTCCAAGAGAAGGTTGTCAACGAAGGCACACATTTCCTGATCCCCTGGTTGCAGCGCGCTATTGTCTACGATGTCCGCACAAAGCCTCGTAACATTTCTACCACGACAGGAAGTAAGGATTTGCAGATGGTTAGCTTGACGCTGCGTGTATTGCACCGCCCGGAGGTGCCGAAGCTGCCGCAGATCTACCAGGTATGTATCTCATATAATCCCTAAGCATCTACCAAGAAAAAGACTAATCCGGAGTTATCTAGTCATACGGTACCGATTACGATGAGCGTGTCCTCCCATCCATCGGAAACGAAGTTCTCAAGGCCATCGTGGCCCAGTTCGACGCCGCCGAGCTGATCACACAACGTGAAGCTGTCTCCAACCGTATCCGCACTGACCTGATGAAGCGTGCCGGACAATTCAACATCGCTCTCGAGGATGTCTCCATTACACACATGACCTTCGGAAAGGAGTTCACACGGGCCGTCGAGCAGAAGCAGATCGCCCAACAGGATGCCGAGCGGGCCCGATTCATTGTCGAGCGCGCCGAGCAGGAGCGCCAGGCCAACGTTATTCGCGCCGAGGGTGAAGCCGAGAGTGCCGAAATTATCAGCAAGGCCGTCGCCAAGGCTGGCAGCGGGCTGATTGAGATCCGTCGTATCGAGGCCAGCAAGGAGATCGCCGCGACTCTGTCCGCGAACCCCAACGTCACTTACCTGCCTGGTGGTGAGGGAAAGGATGGAAGCAAGAGCACTAGCCTTTTGCTGGGTCTGCGGAGTTAGGGGGTGTTATAAGGCTGTCTCGGGGAATTATGGGCCCCGTTTTCACAACTCATTGAATGTACCAATTAATCGCAATTTTTGCCGCGACTTGGGGCGAGTCTGGCCTCGTGGCGTGAATTTGGAGTGGTCTGAATTAAACCACCTTCTATCTGTAGCAATACCATACCTCACTCCACACCACCTTTTTTTTTGAAAGATTCAATCGTATTGCTCATTAAATGGTTTTTATATATCGTGAGATAGAACACTTCAGATCTACAAACGCCGATACACATGCATCTGGAAGCGCATATCTTCCAAGCCTGCTCCTTCGCCAACTTCATACCGCAGACGGACTGCGTCCCGTCTCCACCACCTCGAGTCTTGGGTGTATACGCACTCCCACTTGCCCTTCGCCACAGACAGCAGCGTGTGGTCAAGCAAGAACTTCATCGGATAGTTCCTCTCTTGTGGTTCACCGTCCGGTCCTTTTCCTAACTTCAAAGTCGAGTAGCTGCCAGGACTATCAACAACCAGAAGGACCGCACCGGGAGGAAGGATTTCGGTCATTTTGAGCATGAAACCGGTGGTCTTTGGCATGGAAGTAGAGAAGAGCTCATTCAAAGTGAACATGATAGGAACGAGGATGGAAGTGAAAGGAGAGGACGCGGAAGGGCCGAGGAGAATTTCTTTCAGACCCTCCTCGGGAAGAGTCAGGACATCTGCGCGGCGGAAAGCCACCGAGAATGTTTCAGTAGCCACTTTCTCCGACAGCAACGGGGGACGGTATTTGGTTGTCTGCGAAAATGGCACATCGGCTGATGTGATGGTTCGTGAAAGTCTTTCAACAACATCCGACCAGTTTCCAATATCGACAGCCATGACAGAGAGACTGGGTGCGCTGACACCTTGATCTTCAACTTCAGTCTTCTTGTCTTTTTGAGATTCTGCGTCTTCAAGAGAGACGTTGGCAACACGTTCCTCCAGTGACTGGGCTTGGGAGCCCATGTCTCTCCACGCAGCTGCAAGAGCAGCGATCTCTGCACCGGCTCCGCCACCAATTGACACAACACGAGTGCAGGGGTTCTTGCTTCTAGCACGGCCTCGCGTATTTTCCTCTTCCTCTTTCATCCAGCTCAAAACTCCCTTCAACAGGCCCGCATATCCCAATGACCGGGACGCACTCCAGCGCAAGGCATAGGCGCGCAGCAGATCCTCGCCTGCCTCGGTGAAGGCAGAGTCAAAATCGCGCTGGTAAAGAAGCCCCTTGATCGTTTGAATGAGAGATTTAATGTCCAATGGTTCATCTTTATTTTCGTCTGATTGTGGTTCAGCGGGGTTGGTCTCCTGGCTCGCAGAGTCCGATTCTGCAACTGGGTTGCCGAGAAGAGCTGTTTTAAATACGTCCAAAAGTAGTTGCTGGAGGGTGAGAGGAATTGTGCTGACAAGCTTAAGTCCAGAAGACTCTTCTTCCTCGAGCTGTTCGGCTTCAGCTTTGGCTTTTTCGACTTCGGCTTTGCGATTGGCGTGCTGTTTGTTTGCTGGTGGCGCTTGCTTCGGCTTTTGCGCTTTCGCTCTAGGACCTGGGGACCTTCTGCGGTTTCCCTGACGGGGGGCGTGAGGCATTATATATATATCCGAGAATAAACTCGTTTCGTCTAGTCTTTTGTAAGAATGTGACCGTCTTTAATTGAACGTGGGGTGAATTTTTGAACTTTTTCCTTATCGTTATCGACGGCTCCACTATCAAGGTCTATAAACCCTCCCGAGGTCAGTACAAAGTTAAAGTTGGCTTGATTATAGAACTTCTGGGAAATTTTTATTCATAAATTTAGAGAAATTTGATATCGTAAAGTCTATCCAGCTTTGTGGCATCACAGGAGCTTATATCTATCAAGGTATGTTGAGTGAGGTCTATAGTGATCACTATGGAGATCCTTCTAGTCCGAGCAACAAGCGTGTAGAAGTCCGAAATACAATCACGCACACAATACGTTGATGATAAAGTTCAATATGCTGACTGTGTTATTTTCATTCAATCTGCTACTGGGATTATATAGCACCTCTATCATACACGACGTCGGCCCTATATCCGCGCCCGGCGCCTTTAGGGTTGATCAAGACGCAGCATTTTCTCCAGAAAAAGACCACACTCTGGCAGTATATAGAACTATAAGCACACTTAATGCCTAAAGCTTGTAATTATTTGTTTTATAGAAGTGTTGGCAGAAACAATTAGGGCCTTGCCAACATCCTGGCTTGGTCTGACTCGGAGCAGTAGGGCAATACGAAATATACTGAACTGAAACACCAAACATGACGAACAAGTGGTTTAGAATATCTCCTTCTCTTGACTCTCGGCTAGCCTTACACATCTAGGATGTTATCATGACCGTATTAACTGTCATTCCTCGATAGGAGTATATGACACTTGGCTGCCAGCACGAAAGAAACACTCATTCCTTCCAAGCTTGCATGCGATATACATACGTGCGAGTGGATTCAGTTCTTAATACAGAGTCATATGTTACTGTAACGAAATATATCAAAACGTGCTGGGTTTACAATCAGGGACGTCAATACGCAGGAAGTAAAAAGCTAAGTACATGCATCTCGATCAAGATACATGCAATAGACTATTTTTGCAGGCTTGATTGCCAATCGATCTCGATTTAGTCTGAAGAGCTAATACAGTAGGCAACAAACTAAAGAGACACATACAGAGATACATGGCGTACTATGATATACGTTCTGTCGTTCTTGTTACCAACGCACTAACCCAAACAGCCACACTTCCGCCTAGAGCGCTGCCTACACCACACACCCATAAGATTCTGGACTCTCAAAGCCACATGAAGATCTGTGTAAAGAATGCCTGGACCAACACGAAAACAATGAACCCAGGCCATCTTGTGATATCGCGTTGACCCAAGCGCCGAATTCACGATCCGTGTAATAATGAGTCACAGCCTAGCGGTGTCAGCCAAGGAGTCATATCCGTCGCCCGAGCGTACTATGACTGATTTGGACGCCTCATAGGCGGCCGTGGCGAGCAGCGGGCTCCCAACGGAGCCCGTTAACGGCGGTCTTGTCTCCTAACTCCGACCTTCTAGATATGGACACCGCCAGCGGGGTCAAATGGTTTCCTGACGGCCGTGCTCACGAAGGCCTCGCCAGAGCCTCGCGGGAACCTATGAAGCGATGGGACCTAGGTTGAAAGTGATGTGGCTGAAATGTCTGCCTGAGAACTATCGCTATCGCGTGGAAGCCTGGGTGCCTCAGGAATAAATACTTTGTCTACGTCCACGAATATCATTGGCTGCTCTATACTTCGACTATCAACGTGCATGTCAAATTCTATGCCACGAGGAACCATCGTATTTGGGTGTTACTAGGTGGGTGCTAGAGGCTGTTGTGGATTACAGAGTAAGGCTAGGATTATTTTGTCAAGCTGATATTATTCGTACAATCTGCTAGTAACCAGGAACAAATCGAACTAAAGTAGAGTTGAGTGGTAGAAGCGAGTAACACAAAGGATACATCGAACCAAACACCCGGGTATATGAGGCGAGACAACGTGTAAACCGTCTCTGGAGACAAACACCGCCTGGCCCATATGAAATCATCAAGCTAAAACGCCGTAAAGACTGGGAAGGTCAATCCTTGAATTCTTGCAAAACGCAAAGAAAGCAACTTCTGCTGAGAGAAGAGCCATGGAGACCGAGCCCAAATGCTACACAAAACAAGAGAGAAAGCAAAGTCGCAGAAAATCACAAACAAGAGAGTGAACAAAATCGCATAATTTTGAAGCGCATTGGCTGCTTCGACAAACGCCCAAAAGATGCATAGGTCAAATCCGTAGACGTTTAAATCTGAAAGGAGCAACCCTTAAACGGGAGGAGCCGCAGCAGGCTGGGGAGCGGGCTGGGAAAGATCCTGGAGTTCGGGTACGGCAGGAGACTGCTGAGGGATAGCCTGCTGAATATTGGAGACGATTCGCTCCAGCTCTTCGAGGCGGCGATCCTTCTCTTGGACTTCGCGGCGGAGTCTCTTAACTTCGTTGTGTAAATCGATTCCATGCTCATCGGTCTCAGGCAGGTCTCGGAGATCTCCGACGGGAGGAGAGTCGTGGCGGCGCTTCATTCCAGTGATAGGGAGAGAGGGAGCACGGACGCCCTCTACACCATCGAGTTCGGTGGCGCGGTCCCAAGACATATCAACCATAGCTGGAGCTTCGTCATTGTGCATGTGGCGGCGGCGAAGATGTTCGCGCAGATTTTCTTGGCGCGTAAATCCGTTTCCCGTGCTGCGGTTGCAATCAGTGTATGGGCACATCAAGGCCTTCTTTGTGTCGGTGTTTTTCTTGTGAACTTCGCGCTGATGACGCAAGAGACCACCAGAGTAGGTGAAACCTTGGATTTTGTCACAGTTTGGTTCATAACACTTGTAGGGACGATCATGTTTATCCATGTGTTTGCTAGAGTCATGTTAGTACTGGGCGCGTTAAATAATACTACAATAGGGCATTGTACTTACTTCCATTCGCATGGACGGCGGAAAGTAGGAGGCGCAGATTGGCACTCAGGATGATCGCAAAAGATTTGACCTTCAGAGTTCTTAGGAGGATCGCGGGCACGTCGAACAGAAAGGCGCGGGCGCGCCCCATCAAGGTTGTAGCTCATGGGCTGCTGAGGGTCGTTCATTCTGGCAATTGGGGCTGTGGATTCAGATGCAGAGGCAAGTATGGACGCAGCGAGAGCGCCGTTAGGACCTTCACTTCGTGGGCTAGGATAGTCAGACCCGTCACCCATATCGCGAAGTTGATACCCCACACTACTGAGGGGATCGTGATAGAATGTAGTAGATACCGGAAAGACGCGTCGTCAATTCACAACAAGGGTAAATTCAGAAGCACTGAGTAGTGGAGTAAGAAGGAAACAACAAGAATAGAGTTGTTTATGAGAAAATTCAAATAAATTGGCGGTGAAAGCCTAGTAGATGTCGATGGGTATGGATTCGGGAGAGGATGAAGAGGTGCCAAAATTTTCAGGTAGCAAGGCATCCGCGACCTATTTATACCGCTTGCGTCGGTGCAGATGCGCCACTCATGTGGCGCAGTACCCTTATTCGTCTTTTTTTCAGTGTCCCTGCAGAATCTTGCTTCTTTCGTTTTCTAGTGGAGTTTCCGAACAGTTGGATTCTCATATGAATTCATAACTGGCTAGAGCTTATATACATGCGGGTTTAAATGTGGACAGTACTGGGTATTAATGCCTGGTCCGGGAGATCGAGATGAGGGGCCAAAAAAACACAGTGACTCATACACTAGAGAGACACCGTGGGTATGACATATGTACTAATATGGTACTTCGTACCAATCCTTTTCTCCAATATATCGGATCCAGCTTAGGTATCAAAGCAATATGCCTGTCAGGCAGCCGTCCACTCCCGAAATATTTGGGGTCGCCACAGATCTGACAAACCCAGTGGCGGTGAAGTCCACTGGTGCACGTGATATTATCAGCCTGGTCTCCAAACCACGTGCATGAAGATGCTTATTTAAGCATTCGATCGGGCACCTGGGCAGTGCCTTTCTGCAATGTACAATATGTACGTTCGCCATGCCCGATGTTAGGCTGCAACAAAATCTTTATGGACAAGCTCTGGAAATAAATGATCTTCATGTCCACGCAATCAATTGCTTCTATTAAAAGGAATACTGTAAGGATCCGTCTAGTAGAATGTTCTTCCAACCTCAGCCAGGCTATGCAAGCTTGCTTAGAATCAGGATACCGAGCATTCTATGAGATTCTGAAGGAAGTAGCAGGGAAGCAACATTTGAATGTGGCTTGCATATATATATGCATGAATATCAATCTATTGAGAATCTCAAAGCCTGTGAATACCCTAAGAATATCTGAATTTTTGCCACGGTGAATATAGCCTTTTATTCGATCTTTACAGGGAAATCGATATTACAATATTTCAATGAGGTTATGCTATGGAACAGTATTGGAGTTATCAAACAGTATATCATTTATGTTCCTTGTAAACAAGGAGAACTCTGAAGGAGATTAATTATACAGCCTAATTAACACTGCCTCTATCATAATAGAACAACCTTTGATACTGGCCAAGCCTCATTGCGCGTTTATCTATTTTCAGTAATTTGCTGTCCGGTTTGAATTTATGTTGTTCAGCTCAGCAATAGAATGAATATACATACTCCGTACTGGGGCCAGATCTATACACCCGAAAGTGACGATGCCCAAATCGGCAAAGCAAAGCCACCATTCAACGTGGACCAACAAGCACGGATGTAATTGATCGCATGATACCCATATCCATGTCAAATGTTGGTAATAAGTTCATGGTGTTGTCAATGTGAGATGTTCCTAGTGCTCCTATGGCCCCACTGGGCAGTCCAAAGATATATCCGAAGATGCTCAGCACTAGACACTTCGAACATTTCCCCCATATATTGTTCTTCTCGCTTCGCTAGTTATTTCTTCTTGTGTCTTGATACACTATCAAATTATCAAGCAATATTATTAATTGGCAATTCTTTAATATGTGTTTTGGCTCGTAAATTGTATATCTGGCACTATTTCATTGCGGCATTTGTGCTACAGGCCCGGGAAACTTGCTCCACCATCCCTACCGACCTGGCAACCTAGCACCCCTTGACCTTGTCTCTTTGAACTTTTATATTCAACATTGCAAATATCACCATCCATGAGAATTATCATAAGATTCCAACAAGCGGGGGTATGAATCAAATGCGCCACTCAGTTTTACTTCAATGGAGCCGAGGCATTTGCTGGGTTCCAAGACGCGCCTTTAGTGGCACCACTCGCGTACAAGCCTGCCATACAGAGAAAAAACAGTGCCCAAAGAGCATTGAGCGCAAAAACCAATCATCTGAACTCCCAAGTTGTGCCCAAAAGCCGCCACCCCAACCCCTTTCGACGCTTAGTCTGCCATTCTGGACCTGCAGATCCACCTGGAGACGAGCAGGAGTCAACACTCTCCGCTGTTTGGTGGGATGTACAGCCGGTGATTTCTCAGCATTATGGATCCTGCAGACTTACTACGCTGAGATGGGTATGAGTAGCATAATGGCCTTGTCAAGTGGGTTGCCTCCTTGAACGAATCAAATCATATCGGGCCTCGTGTACTAAGAATAATCATCTAGTGGTATCTGGTATCACGACTTCGGTCATTCTCGAGACAATACTTCTCCGCCGGGGGGCTGACCAGCTCTCTTGGCCGATGGCTGCTCGTACCGCGATGGGTATGAGTATGGTTTCGATGTTGGCTATGGAACTAGCTGAGAATGCAGTCGACTATCATCTGACCGGTGGGATAGTTGCTTTTGGAGATCCAAAGTTCTGGCTGGCGGCAGTTGTATCAATCGGTGCTGGGTATTTGGCACCCTTGCCGTATAACTATCTGCGTCTTCGAAAATATGGGAAATCGTGTCATTGATTTCTAATGTACCTAGTATGCTCACCTTTGTGGAACACAGACCTCCTTCTAATCTATTGGTCGATTCCACTATACAACATAGACTGTTTGTCACAAAAAAATAAGCGATGAGGCGTAGAAACAATAAATTCTACGCATATTAGACGTACAATAATTGGGGTTAAGTGCCTGGGGTTACTTCCAGGGCCAGGATGGATCTCTATCTGTACGCAAGTGGGGACTGTAGGCCAACAAAAAGGAGGGAACATCACCCCCCTAGGATTATTACCATGATTAGTTCTTTTAATTCTGTCCACTACCCTGGATGATTGAGATAATTTAGCCGAGTTAGTACAACAGTAAGGCTGATAGGGGGAAGCGGCTTATAAGTATAAGCTGAAGTAGAGGAACGGCTTTAGCCCTAACACATAAGCTGGCGAAGATTCCAACCTTGGAAGGTCGGCTTATTTTTTGATTTCTTGTCTTACGGATATCGAAAGAGGCGTGAGATCATAAATTGCCATTGTTTTTCTAAGCTAATACCTGACTACCTAAGAGATAAAGATAGCAAGTATGACACATGGCCAAGGGGTAGGGGTAAATTCACAGAGTTGCCCAGTACTTGCTACCGGGGCTATCTGAACTGGGCATCGGCAATCGACGGGTGAGATTTCAGTAATTCCTTCAACCCGAAGATACTGGAGGATCATTGTCTGTCGCCTCATCCTCGAGAGTCACGCCTTGCAAAAATGTCACGGTGACAATGGTGAGGGATCAGACCCAGGGAACAATCCTTCGACAGACAGAACGGTGCTTTGGTAGTAGGTCAAAATGACCCGGGGGTAAGCATCCGAAAAGTCTTTGGTTTGCCGATCCAAAGTCCTGGTCGGCATAAAAGAAACGGGCGGGCAGACTCTGTTGGAAAGAACCCTGATAGTATGCACGGACATTACTTCGCCGAGTGGTAAGACGGGCGAACCTGTTGGAGGTTGCCCTGGGAAATGTTGGACACAAAAGTCACTCAGTCATAGTTGCCACCGACTTGGCTAGCGAAAGCAGTAGAGACACTACGGGCATCATCATCGTCGTGAGGGTTCTGGCCCGGCGCGCCGCGAGTAACGCGAATGCTAGCGGAGCTGCCTCCGAAGATGCTGCCATTATCCGGAACTCCGGCCCTGTAAGGCTCGCGTCCGCCAGACTCGACGTAACGCTTTAATCGGTCAGATTGGCTGAGACTGGGCTGCTTGCTCATATCATTGATGCTCAGACCAGTGAGACTGACACCGCCCTGATCAACGCTGCGTCCGTCAGTGACGCTGCAGGTGACATCAGACTCAGTAGCAGCGACTGACTCGCCAGCCACACTGGGTGCTCCCTTGGGTCGGCCACCATTTGCTCGACGACCACCAGAGATCGCAGGCCAGGACTCGCCGAAATTTTGGAACATAGGTGGATAGCCAGATGGGAGACCAACACCACCAAGTGCCGAGCCGTGGACAGAAGACACATCGTCAGGGATATAGCCCACCACAGACCCAGAGTCATGATACTCGTTACGATGACCACCGTTGCGACCGTTCACTGCATTGTTGGGAGCATTGTTTGTCTGACTGAAAGACATCTGGAAGCGCTGCGGGCCTCTGTACGCTTGCTTAGGGCGACTGAATTGAATCAAGGACTCCTGAAGGTTGGATAGGGGGCCCTCAACGAGACAATGGCGTTCCTTGAAGTGCTGCAGAAGGCAGTTCCACAATGGGTGCTTAGACAAAACCTTGGGATTTCCGAGTATGACCAGACCAAATCGAGCACGAGTAAGGGCCACGTTGAGACGACGAGGATCGCTCAGGAAACCAATACCTTGGTGATCATTGGAACGAACACAAGAGAGGATAATGTAATCCTTCTCTCTGCCTTGGAATGCATCGACTGACGCAACCTCAATCTCCTTGTAATGTTCCTTCTTGAAGGTGCCGGTGGCCTGCATGGAGCTGACGATGTAGCTTCGCTGTCCCTCGTATGGAGTGATGATACCGATATCCCTGGGCTGGACACCTGCCTTGAAGAAGCGAGTAACAATCTTCTCGACGTTGGTCGCTTCAGTACGGTTAAGGTACGAGGTGCCGGACGCGGAGATTTCTTCATTACCCAGGTTTGACCAAAACATCATGGGATCATCAATGATAGGCCAAGGGAAGTCAACGTCGCGACGGACACGATCAGCAATTGTAATACCGTTCTGTAGCGAGCCTTCATAGAACATATTGGACGGGAACTCCGAAAGGCACGGGTGCATACGATACTGGACATTCAAGCGAATGGGAGAGCAGCCCAAAATGACGAGACGCTCGAACAGAGACTGGTTCAAACCAGCCTTGGCGGCCTTCTTGTTCATAATCACGGGGCCAAGTTGCTGGTGATCACCAACCAGCACAACTTGCTTGCAGCCCAGAACCAGGGGGATCATACACTCGGGCTCAGCAGATTGGGTCGATTCGTCAATCAGGACAGTGCGGAACTTGCCCTTTGAAAGACGAGGGTCACCTGCACCAACACAAGTACAGCAGATAACATCTGCGTTAGTCAAAATTTCACGCTCAGCAGAGCGAGTAAGTTGCTTTAGGCGCTTTTCATCTTGGCTGGACAATTCCCCAAGTTCGGCCTTGAGCTGGTTGAGTTTCACCAACTCAATGTTGCTATCGTTCATACGAACCTGCTCGTGCAGCGAAAGGAAGCCAACAGCAGATTCCACATCCTCGCGGGATTTAGCAGTAACTCGCACGGTCTTGAGGCCAGTGCGATGGATACGTTCGCAGAGCTGGTCAACGGCAACGTTGGACGGAGCGCAGACAAGAACCTGACCTCCATTGATCTTGGCAAGATGATAGATGATGGTGGCCGAGGTAACGGTCTTACCAGTTCCGGGAGGACCTTGGATCAAACTGAGAGGTCGCTGGAGGACACTTTTAACCGCGTTGATTTGACTGCCATTCAGATCTGGCAGACCTGGGACACTAAATTTCTTCGGAATCTGGGTCTTCATAGGAGCTGCAGCAACCTCATGACCAAGGAGGCGATGGAAGATGTAGCCTGAGACACTTTGCTCGTCAACTGCAAATGTCTTCATAGCACATTGCATGCGGTCAAAGGAAGTCGATTTCCAAACATAATCGGCCATGAAATTGTGTGTGCATTCGGTGGGAACTGACTTGTGGTCGCCCTTGGCGCGTAGTTCGATAGTGACCTCATCAGATTGATTGTTCGGGATCTTGATGACATAGCCCACACCCTCCCACTTGGGACGTAATTCACCATTGTACTTGATGCGCATCTCATCACCTACAGCCAATTTGACATCTCCTAGCTCAAGCTTGGGTAGCACAAAGCTTGCGAGATGCTTGTTGTTGAGGCCAAGATCCCAGCGCACGATGAGTCCATCTTGGGATTGAGATTCCTTCAACTTGCGGTCGTAATCAGCCTCGATCTTTACAAGTGGCCCAAAAATATTCTGGTATTGGAAAGCATCGTCGTAGCGAAGTAGAACCGGCGCAGGCTCATCATCCACTGCGGTGGCCTTCTCTAGGTCTTCCAAGGTTGCCTGAGAGTTGTCTTTCCACATTTCCTCCAATTTCGCAATCAATTGAGGACTGAGGTGACGGGCTCGGAGCTGTTCTTGATCAGTGGGTGCTCCCACGAGCCAGGGGAGGAAAGAGCGATCCTCAATGAGAGGCTGCCAGCGCGAAGTGTCCCAATTCATGTCCTTGGAGGAAGGCATAGAGGCACATGGCTGCCGACACAGCAAAACAACGACAGTATCGGACTTTGCGGGGATGAAGCCAAGCAAAAAGACATTTTTGGTGCCGCAGTTGTAGCATTCTAGAATGGTATCACCCAACGAAGAGCCCGGGTGGAGTTGAACTTCCTTATGGCGAGCTCGGACAAGGTGATTAACGATATGGGAAGAAGAGGTGTTGCCACGTGCACTGCAAAACCACTTATTGCACGAAAGACATTTGACGACGCTGCTCGGGTTATGGATGCCGCAGTACCTACAACATAATCAGTAAATGACCATCCAAAAAGAAGGTATAAAAACTGACGCGCATGCATGAGCAGGGAGCTCTATCTCCTCCTCCCCATTTCCTTGGGACTTCTGATGCCCATTTGTGGGTGCACCAACTATGCTTTCCATGTCGTCATCTTCAAAGGTATCAGAGCCCTCATCTTCATCATCATGCCGGCGTGGACGCGCGCGGCCGAGTGCAATCTCATTTATTTCAGCTCCCGCTGAGGGGTCTTCCGGTTGGTAGCTCATTATGGGTACCGATTTGGAGCGCTGATAGGGATGACTGGAGCGGATGAAGATTTAAAGCAAAGAGCAAAAGCAAAAAGGAGTTGAAATCAGAAATGAACTTCAGGGTCGTAAACGATTTAAAGAGCGTAGAGGACAATCCGGTCGTCCTATGGGGGTATTGAATGTTTGAAATCTCCATGGTGTGCCTGAGGGGCAAACGAACGGAGATCTATATCAAGATGTGGGATTAGCGGTACGTTCTTGATAAGGACAAATTATCACATACAACCAGTCCAGCTCTCTGTGTCAGAGGACTGACAAAAGAGAGTCGATGAGTTTGTCTCGAAGGATGAGCAAAAAGCGTTCTCCGCAACTGCCCAGATTCTTTATCGGTGCGATCCCACTACGGCTACGCAAACGAACCATAAACGCAGCCCCGGAGTTAAGAGAAAAAAAAAAGTTGCCCGCTCATTCTTTGCTTAAGCCACTTTTACTTCAATCTTCAAAATGCTGGTAAGTGAAGAATAAATTTGGCATATTTGATGTTTTACTTACAATCAGTAGCGCCGCCAAACTCGCGAGCGTCGCGATTATCTCTATCGGAGAGCTTTGCTACTCCGTGATGCCTCCATTGCCGAAAAAAGATCGCAACTCAAGGCTTCATTGGCTTCTGGAAAGCCTCTAGATCCTACAATTGCAAACGATAAAAAGCTTCGGGAAGACTTCAAATATGACGAATCAAAGGACAAGGAAGATGCTGAGATGGACATCGATGATGAATACGTTTTAACCTCCGGCATTATCGACCCTCGTCCTCTGGTTACTACCTCTCGCTCACCCTCCGCTCGTCTCGGCGCATTTGCGAAAGAAATCCGGCTTCTCCTTCCTACCTCCATTCGCCTCAACCGTGGAACTCTCGTTCTTGGAGATCTCGTCTCTAGCGCAACCTCCGCGGCTCTGACCGACATGATCCTCCTCCACGAGCACCGTGGTACCCCGACCGCACTCACCATTTCACACCTTCCCCATGGCCCGACTGCCAGCTTCTCTCTTCACAATGTTGTCCTTCGTCAGGATATTCCGAATGCCGCTCGCGGTACCGTGTCGGAAAGCTACCCGCACTTGGTTTTTGAGGGATTCAAGACGAAGCTGGGTGCCCGCGTTGTTCAAATTCTGAAGCATCTTTTCCCTCCGCGTGAGACCGGAAAGGTCGGCAACCGTGTTGTGAGCTTTGTTAACAAAGACGATAACATCGAAGTGCGGCACCATGTTTTCGTCAAGACTGGGTACCGGGATGTGGAGCTGGCTGAAGTTGGCCCTCGCATGACCATGCGACTGTTCGAGATCCGCGGAGGTACATTGGAGAAGGGCTCGAGCGGCGACATCGAATGGGCTCTCACCCAATACACGAGAACCAGCAAAAAGAAGGAATACCTGTGATTCTTTACGAACTCGCATCACTACATTGGCTGTGGCGTGGATGGTTAAGGCAAAACCTCATCTCATCTCATCACATCGGTCGACTGGCGTATCTGGCGTTAGAGGGCAATTAGAATGGGTTCTTTTGTCATGTTCAAGTTTATGATTTAAATGGCAGTGGAGAATGTCTAATCAAAATATTAAAGACATTGGGACCATTATGACCCAATATTCTGGCAGTGAATAGGTTGCCACTCTATACTTATCATGTTATAGTATATAAAAACACACAATCCGACATTTAAAATCTTCCAATGTTCTCAGCAGCTTCCCGTTGTTCCCCATGTCCTTTCCATCTTCTATCCGGAAGGACATAGCAGATATCAAGCAATATGTTTCTTAAGCTTTGGGACGCTCTGGGATATAATTTTCCTTATTAGCTCCAGGGAAGCGGGAAGCTCTATCCTTGCTTGCCCTTGTTCTCCTTCTGTTCAATTGGAGGTGGATAAAGTTGGGGGAGCCAACTAGGTGATTGTTAGTAGGTTTCCGAGAGCAAGTAAAAAATATCAATGTATAACATCATTTTGTTGGATGTCAGTGTAGATGAGAGCCTCCTGCTTGCCAGCGAGGGCGGCTGCGGGGAATAAGCCAAATTCCACCATAGCAATAAGCCATTATTCTCGACTCGAGGGACCGCTTCCGATTTATGGGTCTTTTTGGAGACTGCCTCAGGTCGAGGAGATCAATATCGCACACCCCGAGACTATAGTTTTCAACTACTTATTAGTCGATCGATATAGCTTCGATTAGTCTATAAAAAATAACAGAACACTTAGAGTTATATACTCTTTCTTGTGGTACAATTTTAAATTTTTATCAATTAAACAGTGGTTTATTAATACCGCTATCTATTATAGTACTTGTGTGAATAACTTCATTATATTGAGGAGTGCTTCTAAAAGCATCAGCATAAAGCGGAGACATATCCATTGTATGTGCTATCTTAAAACCTTTGAATTTGCATTCGGCATAAAATCTGCATTGGATGTGGCCTATCCACGTCCACCTGGGAATCCGCTCATGCCTGCAGGTATTAACCACCTGGAAGGGTTCCCGTCATCTTCAGGTATCCATCTACTCATCCACCTTGTCGTTGTCATCGTCATCGTCAGCTTCATCGGCTTCAGATCCGTCTACGCCCTCGTCTTCGCCCTCATCTTCGTCCTTTCCTTCGCCTTCAACATCGCCTTCCCTCTCATCTTCATCCCCGTCTTCGACCTGATGATTTGCCATCTTTTCCTCAATATCGTTCTCCTTGATACCATCATATGCGATGTGGCCAGTCGATTCCTCACAGCCTGTACTCTGGGGTTCCCTGAGGAATGCACCAAGGATAGTCGTCTTTTCCTCAAGATAGAACCACCCCTCGTGAACAGGCAAGCTGTTTCCGTCCGGGTCTTTCTTTGGGGGTGGCATCTTTCCGTTTGCCCTATCGTCCCATTCCTTGGCAGTCTGATCCTTGAAGAACTGCTTGAATTTCTCCACGGCAAGCTCCAGCTTGCACCTTGGGCCTGCCAAAAGCTCGACATTAGATGTGCCAACGCGGCTGAATTTGGCGTAGGTCGAGTAGGTGTGTGGTTCGGTGATGGATTCGAAAAGCTGGACAGTATCAATATTTCTTTCTGAAGAAAACATCCACAGAGTAGCTCCATATCACTTACAGTCAATTGATATTTTTCTCTGCTGGTGGCTGGTGGCTTCGATGGGCGGAACAAGGTGGTGCTGTAAATCACATTTGTCTTGCGGTCCTGGTACACCCGACGTACGGCTGTGATGGGTAAGTGTTAGATTTGGATATGCTATCTGTAGGATCATGCTTACGCTTTTTTTTGCCCTTTGAGCCCAGGAAAGGATCAGCTGTAGAGGACATGTCAGTATCTTCTGCATTATAGCAATAAAATAGAGCTCCGGAAAACCGATACCTATCCGACGTTTTGGAGTCTCCTTAACCACCTTTGTGGACTTAGGTGTGACCTTCTTCTCGGGCTTCATCAAATTCTTCAGAAGATATGGCCCCTCAGGCTTTGGCCGGCGGGTATTTGACAGCAGCGAGTCTTCAAGCCAATCGTATGCGACGATCTTGACTGTGCCGAGCTTCTTGGCCGTTTCCACTGTATGTTATTGATTAGTTTCAAGGTCTTTGGAAGATTCAAGGGTAACATACCTGGAGCTGCATGGCTTTTGAACGCCTCCTTTGTGGCAATGAGGTGGGTAACTCGCGCGTTCACATCTCTCGAGAACTGCCCTCCATTCGCCCGAATCCATTGTGGGATCTTTTCGCCGACGCCGTGTTCGAACTTGCCTACTATGGAGGCATGGACTTTTTGGAACGGCTTCCCCATTTTGGATTCACGATGCTGTTTGAGAGTTGGTTGGATGAGTTTGGTGTTTCGTTTCGTTCCCACTGGCAGCGGAAATGACCCCAAGAATGGCTTCAGAGATAGAATGTGTTATGTTGCTAGGAGAGAAGACTGAAATACTGCGAGGATATTTTTGTGGCCAGAAGTTTGGATTGGTATTTGCTGGCTGCAGCAATAGTTCAGAAATGAAATGTGTATATTGCTGGAAGGCAAGTCTTTGAGATAATGAATGAGATGACTGGTTCGATGACCCCGAGGCTCGTTTGACCTCTGTCGTCGACTGAGATTCCTTTAAGAAAGCGACAGAAGAACGTCGGAAATGAGATATGTCTATTGCCAGGGGACAACACTCCGAGGAAATACTGTGATTATACTGCTTAGAGCTGTGAACTTGATCTGCTTTTTTCACATTGGTATGAAATGCACCGAGAATGATGATTTCAGGAGGATGATGATTCCAAGAAGGTGAAAGTGATGATAAAGATGGGATCTCGAAGGTAATTTAAACTGAGATCTACTTCAAGAAAGGATCAAAACCAGTCCTGCTAGTATATCAAGTATAGTCTTGATCAAACAAATGAAAGTAAGGTGATGTAGAAAGAACCCTCGAAATGATTTTAATTGCTTTGATGATGATTATCGAATATGGAAGCCCGAAATAGAATGAGAAAAGAAGTCATCCTAAGTAATGTAAATTCACGTTCCTAGCATGGTCATTGCCGAATGCTTTTGGCAGACTTGACAAAGGCTCGGATTTTCTCCAAATCTTGAGCGCCGTTTGTCTCTACGCCTGAGCTGACATCCAATCCGACCACTTTCTGGCCCGATTGGCCCAGCTTTTTCACCGTGTCGACCACGTTGTCTGGGTTTAATCCTCCAGCCAGGATGACCCTCAATCCCTCGTCACTATCGAGTACCTTCTTGACACCGCTCTCCTCCAGAAGCTCGCCAGAGCCTCCGGCACCAGAGTCCAGCAATGGAAGAGTGTGGTATGCTCTGCGAGAGATGCCAATGTCACCAGGGGCGAATTTGCGAATGACAGGAACTGGAATCAAACTAGACCACTCCAATGGCTCAGATCCATGCAGTTGCACAACATCGAGACCCAGCTTTTGTTGTTGAGAAATGACATATGACAGTGGCTGGTTCATGAACACACCCACGAGTAAAGCACGAGAAGGGTGACGCAAGATATTAGTAGAGTGATCGAACCATTCCAATGATGTAGCGTTTGTCGACTGTTGCAATGTCCCGGCCGGACGAGGGGTAGACTTGACCACCCGGGAAATGCCGAGGGCCACATCATCTAGGACAAGTCGTGAGCGGCCCTGAACCATGATGATGCCAATCAAATCTGCGCCAGCTTGAATAGCAGCCAGAGCTCCTTCTTCGGTCCGAGTTCCACAAATCTTCACCAATGGAGAACTTGGTGATGCACCAGCAGAGTTGTGATTGGAACCGCCGAGGAGCTGTGCCACAAAGGCAGAGGTATCAGGTGCCCTCATAAGAGCCTCTCCAACAAGAATGGCCTTGACACCTTCTTTCTTATAAGCTTCCACATCCTGAGGTCCCAAAATTCCACTAAGGGCGCACACAATTGTGCTTTCAGGTACTTGATCCATTAGGCGACTAGTGGTTCCGAGATCAACCTCGAAGCTCGTCAGGTCTCGGTTGTTGACACCGATGACTTCAGAACCCAAGTCAACTGCGATCTTCATCTCTTCGGGGGTATTGACTTCGACCAGAGGCTCCATGCCGAGACTACGCGAGTAATGGTAAAGTCTAGTCAACAGCTCAATATCCAGCATCTTCACAATCAGTAGAACTGTATCAGCTCCAGCCAAACGTGCCTCCAAAATCTGATACTCGTCAAAGACAAACTCCTTTCGGAGAACAGCTGGTCGGTTGGTGAGTCCCTCCAGGCTCTGGCGAACAGCCCGCAGGTCATCTATCGTGCCCTTGAACCACTCCGGCTCTGTGAGGACAGAAATGACGCTAGCGCCAGCTTTGGCGTACTCCCGTGCTTGGGCAGGGGCACACACGTCGGCTGAGATTATGCCCTTCGAGGGCGATGCACGCTTGATCTCCGCCATGAGTGAGAGAGGATAGTCGGACTGTCTCAGGCGCTCAGGGAATGACAGCTGAGGAGGCGCAATATTCAGATCATATGCGGCTTGAAGAGCCTCTGGCCGCAGAGCCGGAATTTTCTTCTGCTCTTCAACAGCATTTTTGCGGTGGGCGTAGATCTTGTCCAAAATGGATAGCTTCTTGTCTACCGGTGCGGGGGCTGCTGCTCCCTGCTTGTTATCCCAGGTCCCAGTGGTGAGCTCCAAGAAGTTTCTGAACATCTTGCGCCCGTATTGCGTCAAGATACTCTCAGGGTGGAACTGAACACCCTCCACTGCGAACTCCTTGTGTCTAACACCCATAATGATGTTCTTCCCACTACCGTCCCCCAGGTCGACCCGCGAAGTCACCTCCAAGCAATCTGGAATAGTCGAATGTGTTCCGGCGAGCGAATGGTACCGAGTGACCTCGAGCGAGGCTGGCAATCCCTGGTAAACACCCTTGGAGTCATGCTTCAACTCCGATGTCTTTCCGTGCAGAATTTCGCCGGTCACATCCACCTTACCACCAAATGAGGTGATCATACATTGCTGGCCCATGCACACACCAAAGATCGGAATTTTTCCGCTGAAATATTGGATTGCGGCGTTACTGATTCCTGCATCGGTTTCGGGGTGGCCCGGGCCAGGACTGATAACCAGCTGAGTAGGCTTCTTTGCAACCAAGTCCTCAACAGTGACTTCGTCATTGCGGTAAACTGTGACAGTAGCACCTTCAAGGACGAGGTACTGGTAGACATTCCAGGTAAATGAGTCGTAGTTGTCAATCAAAATCACGTTGGATGCGCTGGCCAGTTTGGCCGCCTTCGTGGCATGGTGGGGGGAGTGGTCGACGAGGTCGGCCATGACCACGGATTGTGGTAGGAGATCGGGTGGATTGAGAGAGTAGGATAATCTTTATGCTGCAAGCTTTGGAATCTCACAAACCTTGAACCGAATTAGATGTTTGCGAATCACCTAAGTCGGATGGAGGTGAGTCAAAAGAATGTCGAGTTTACAAGTCGGCACTCACCGCCCGGCAATAAGATCAGATAGGGCACCTGATTGTTGACCCAGTCGCGGTGAATAATATTCTTTTGAAGCTCCCTCTCAATTCAAGAGCTCCCCACGCTCGCCGTCCACTTTTTTCTTTGCTCTCCCGTCACCTCCTCTGGTGTCGCCTCGTTCCGCTCTTCCTTTCTATCCTATGATGATCTAATTGCCCAACATGGCTCCCGTCCCGGAGGCCTATTTTCCGTCCCTGGACAAGTGCTTCTCCGGGGACGTTCAACTCTTGTATGTCCACTATAATTACCTGTCGTCATGGGGGCTGATATGCTGATAAACTGCAGGTCCTGGAGAAGAGCCTTTCTCTACACCATTGATCCCGAAAGCTATGCTGACGATGGAGGCAATATTGATGTCTTCTTTTCGCACTCCGAATCCATTCGCCTACTCTCTGACGGCCTAAAACCATTCCCCTCCCCTTCCGCAAAATCCAAATCCGAATTCGAATCCAAGACCGCCGCAATCCATGTCGAGACCAACGGCCAAAGCTCTTTTGACCTGAAGGAGATCAAGGCCGACGCGCTATGGTTAAGCAAGCAAGCCGGAATCGACGAGATCACTGCTCTTCGCATCGCTGTATTGGAATGGCAGAACCGTCCAGCAACGCGCCTCACACTCGGCTTTTCCAGCGAGGAAGCGACCAGTCTACAGAGCGCGGCCGGGACCGAGAATCTTCGAGGCTCTCTAGCCGGTCCCAACTTCGCCAGCCTATTGAACCAAACAGCTCGGAGTGACGGTATTCAGTCATTCGAAAAAGAGGATAAGAGGCGCCTACGACTCCGCGAGGTGTATCTCTCTGAGGCAAGTCATGTAGTAAAGACGCTCCGCAAGCTGCTTGCTCTGTCCCTACACGATGGTATCTCAGCCGACTCGACCGCCCCCGCCAGTCATGATCACAAACTTGCTTTGCGAAAAATAGGGACCACAATTTTCCAAGACAAGTCGGCCGGTGATGGATTGGACCGATTCCTTCAAGAATGTATTAGCTCGATACGCAGTCGGTTAACGAGTCTGGAAGGAGACGGTGGCTGGCTCAGTGCCACAGAAAGCAGCGAGGAAGTTGAAAACATCTGGAGAACAAGTCTCGTGGAGGAGATTGTTCATATCGTGCAACTCATGTTCCACCAGCTTCAAGCCTCAGTGGAATTCCCAACCGGAGACCTCCTACTGTCCTGGCTCCAACTCATGGCCGATTATAGCTTCTTGGAGACAATACAGGTGGTAAGTGGCAAGTCGCCTATTTTGAGCTATCGGGATGCTAACGTTTTCTTATAGCCCTGCCAACAACCCGTGGAAGTGTTGTTGCCCCTTCAAGCTTTCGTGTCACTTACCACATTGGCATTTTTAAAACCCTCCCTCGCCATCTCTTCCATTCAGAATGAGACACACATGCGATCTTCGCCCCAGCCTTACTTCTGGTGCAAGGAGAAAATCTCTCAAATCAATGAGATATTTCTTACTGCATGCGGCGATTTGAACACTGCGAATCCCGCAGCCTTTTCATGGGGTCTGATCTTGTATACCATCCAAGAGATAGCAGAAGACAAGAGAAACAACAGAGAGCGTGATCTGAGCCGTGATTCGGCTGTCTCGTACAACGAGCAGACACATAATGCAGGGTTATCTCGAGCATCCGAACAGTCAGACTATGAAGAATTGCTTGACTGCGCCAGAACCCCGCAAAGCACGGCCGAAGATGCTATTCCTATTCTTACATCCGATGCTCTCAAAGAATCGGCGTTTAACACCGTTATCGCACTGGCCAGTAAGACCGGGTCAATGTCAGCGGTCGATGATGGGCTGACAACCCGATGGGCTCGGCTTTCCCTTCTCGACCTTATCCGAGTTGCTATTATGTTCTTGGATTACTCCCCGGAAATCGTGGGGTCAGTCCTGGCTATCCTAGGTGATGATGACAATGAGCTGTCAAGAGACTCGGATTCTCTAGGGCCTGCTAGCGATCCTAAGTCTCTATTCGCCAAGGATCAGAATTTTATGGACGGCATCTTTCGCGTTGCACGGTCCCGTTTCCCTTATGAAACGGCACCATTCCTGCAGCTCTGTCGTGCTCTTGTCAGTGGGCATTCTTTGAATGAAGAAGGCTTGCCGGCTATTCTTGAGGAGGTGGAGAACATGGAATCCTTTACCCAGATTGTCTCGCCCACTTTCCAGGGCTATGCCACCATTCGAGAGGACGAGAACGCCGATTTTGTGTCCCTGCTCCAACCACTCCCAATGTTTGAAACATTATCTCAGAACCGTCTCTTTGAGAGTGAACCAAGCAACGCTGTAATTGTCAGCAGTTCTTCCGAAATTCCACGCTTGACCGTTGGTCAAGTCATTTCCGATTCAAAACCCGCGGTCATTATGTGGGAGCATCGATATTCTTGCTTAAGCTTTCTAGGAAGCTGGCTTGAAGAATGGAGCGAGACCGGCGGACACTCGCCTGGGTGGACTGACGACACCGCCACCGAAATCATTGCTCTTTTGACAGACTTGATAGAAAACTCTGAGACACAACGCTCTGGCGATGCAAGCGGCAAGAGAATCCTCGAGATGGCTAGTGATGGGTTGTCTAAACAGGGTGATATCATTTCTGTGATCTTCGATATCTTTGAACGCAATCTGCAGACTATCGGCACTCGAGGAGATTTGGGCAAGTCTTTGGACACAACCATGGCATGCCTGCGCTTTATCAAGGCACTTCTAAAGATCCTACCAAATCGAGTATGGCCTTTCCTTGGCCGCAGCAGTCTCATTGGGTCCGACGGCAAGGGTGGCATCATGACAGCGATCGTTTCAGCAATGGAAATTCCTTCCGGCGAGTATCCGTTCCTTCTGAGCTGTGTCGACCTCGTGGACGCTGTCATCGATGATGCGGCATCTCGAGCAGTATTGCGAAAGAGCCCGGGCAGCGTGTCAAGCAAATCATCCATTGCGTCTGATTGGAGTGCCGGTATTCCATCTCACGTCATGAGGACTATCATGTTGAACTTCACACGCACAATGGTGGAGATTTTCAACAGCAGTGGAAATTGGAGGTTCAATCTACCAGAACAGCGGTTCAAGATCAACTCGATGCTTGCGACTTCGTTCGAACGTGTTCTGTACTATGCCTTCGGAATCAATGACAGCCCGAAACTCGAATCTAAAGTTACCGGCGTCTTCTCTACATCCGCAGCGTACATTCTGGACATGTTGCGCCCTCGCTCGACCGCTGACCTGCCCTTCAATCCAATTCTTCGGCTAATCGCCGAGGGTCTCCAGACTCCCCCAACACTCCACCTCAGATATCTCACCCTTTTCGAGAACCAGGTAAAATCTACGCTGCGCCTCTGTATCAAACTTGTACAGGCAGCTCAACTGGCAGAACAACCCGGCTCACTTCTGGAGGAACAATTGTTCAAGGCCAGCCCAGTTCTAGTCAAACTCTACGCACTGCATGATGCATACAGGCTGCCGGTTGTGTCCCTCTTGGAGATTCTAATCTCCAGCGCTGCTTCAAATCCGGATAATGAGCCCCCTTCCCTTGTTGGCCACCTTGGGGCAGAGTCGTCCTGTCTGTTCCTTGATGTACTGTCACAACTCGATAAGCCGATGTGTGATAGGCCTCTACTTCTTGCAGTATGGCAGCTGCTATCCACATTTGTTAGCAAGCGCCAGCAGTGGCTTGCTGTTTTCATTCTTACAGGATCATCCCCTCGCCAGACTATGAAGAAGGAACCCATTTCGGGAGGTCTGAGCATGAGAAGCGTGCCTTTCCTAAAAATGGCACTTGAGAAATTGTCCCACATTGATCAGCAAGAGCCGCAAGTGGCCCTGGCATTGCTCGAGTTTGTCTCTCGTGCGCAAGAAAATTGGCCCTGGGCCACTTCCCATCTGAGCAAGCATCCTCAGTTCTTCAACAGCATAATTAACCACGTCTCAAAGTTAAAGATTTCTTCTCTTCCGGTGATGGACCAAATCCATGCCACGCGGATTGCAGCCGTTGTCGCGGACCTGTGCGCGGTCTACCTGCACTCCGCAAAGGAGGTGGGTGACCGAAGCTTTATAAAGACCTTGATTCCATTGGTTTCATGGTATGCCAAGGATGCAGTTGAGGTTTCGGCTTACAATTCCTCATTGCATGCCAACTTGAAGAAGAACTTTGAGATGCGGTACTCGGGCTGCAAGATCGTTGACTTCAAAAGGACACCGCTCGAGGTTCGTAATCTAGGACGAGATTACTACTACGACTTGAGTATGGGAGACAAGCTGCTGTCCTACGACTTTGCCTGGGCTGGCACCAAGAACCGTGGCTTTGCCGAGGAGTTTGAGCGCGCCAACATCAATTTGTCTCTTGTTGAGGCGCAAGTGGTACGTTTTCTTCCATTCATCGCAAATGCGTTTCTTTTCTAACCTAAAATAGAGCCTTCTCCATAGCTGGAAGTTCTTCGCTATCGAACACTGTGCCGATTTCATGCCGGATACCGAAGTCCGGAAGTCGATGGCACTGGTCGCTCAAAGTTGTTTGAATGCCAATATTAGCAGTGGACCTCCTGAAGCCATCTTCGAGCGAATCCAACAAGCGCGCGTTGATTTCGCCCAGGCACTTCTCCAGCGGCTTGTCGAGGTACAAGCTAGAGGCGCCGAAGTCTTCCAGCTACTTGAGATCACCTGGAAGGCACTGCGATCCCGACACCTGACATATGAAGACGCTTTGATCAATGACGATACCGAGTACTTCCGGTCTCTCCTGAACGTACTGTTCCTTTCCCTTCAGTTCCACCTGGATAGCCCCTCTCGGAGTGCCCCCGAAGCAATCAACAAGAGGGCTGAGGTTTCTTCGGATCTGACTGTCATCGTGGAAGTCGTGAAAACAATAGTGGCCCAAGGCTTCAAATCCCTTACTACCTACCTCCATGAGACGCCAGAGAAATGCGCACCGAAAGATTTCGCCATTATCATTGCTATTCTGCAGACATGCTTGCAAGTGAAGAACGCCGATCGCCTCTATGAGCACATCGTGTACCACATTGAGGAACACGACACCGCTCGTCATGCGACGACGCTCTTCTCCTGGGCCGATCAATTAGCCGTGGCAGGCGACCCTGTGTACGCAGAGCTCAGCGTCTCGATCCTAGTCAAGATGTCAACCCTGCCCATGCTCGCAGAGCACCTTGCTGTTGAGGCTGTCTTGATGAAACTATCCACCTGCCGTCTTACAAGCATTCTTTGCCAAAAGAAATCATTCGGACCCTTTGATCCTGTTTCCCGGCTGTACACCATCTGGACTGGAGGATTCCTTCCTCTGTGTCTGAACATGCTCTACAGTGTTATGCGGACCGCGCCCGAAGTCGCAGCGTTCCTCAACCAATTCGAATCGCGTCTGACCCGCGCGACAGAAGCATTCTCCAGCCATACAGCTGTTTCGTCTGTTCCGACATCCAAGTGGATCAGCCTCAGCATGGTCTCGGAGGCCTACTCGCTCGCACTGATCTCGTTCATCCTGGACCGGTTCCGCGAGGCGGGTGCCAGTGCTGGTGTTGACGCACAGGCCATCCAAGATCTCAAATGGGATAGGGTACAGGTCAAGGAAGATATTGAGGAGCTGCTCGCTCGCCGGGCTGCTCTGCGCCCACGCATTGTGGCGACCAATGAGAAGGAGTTGGAATGGTCCCGACAAAAGCCTGTTGATCCAACTTCCGGGGCGGAGAACCGACTGGAGGAGAAGCTTGTTAGTGAGATGAAGGCAGCAGTTACCTGTTTGGGTGGGGAGGATTCATGAATCTCTTTATAGCCTTTTTGCTATTTGTCTTTTCATTTTTGTTCATGTATTCTGGGTTGGCTGGGGTGTAGTAGATGGATTATTTCATGCATGGAGCTCAATTTTCAAAATAATTGCATTCTTTCCATTCTTCCATACTTTTGGGTGCTTATTCTTTTGGGTATAACCTCGTCTAGCACACCCAATATCTCATACAGCAGCCATAATTCAAGACATTAAGCATTCGTTCATAGTCTTTAGGTATTACCCTCAGCACACTAGTTCCACTCAGTTACCCCGTACAGAGTGTTAACCTTGGAAGACCGAGGCTCGGGCTAATCTGGTTCCCCGCAAAACCTAGATATGCATATAACCGATGCGGGGAGATGCACTGCGAACTATGCAGCAATAACGGAAATTGTGAAGAATTGGACCATCTATAGATATTACTTACTTATATGATGCCTTCGCCATCATGTCCCATCAAGCCGTTTTCCCTTCCCCCTACATCGATACTACTGAAGCATCATCTGTTATTACCCCAACATGCCGTATAAATCCCGCTGGACAATCGACATCCCTGACACCCATTTAGCCTCTTTGCTCCTCAAATCCCCCACAGCACCTCTCTCCAAAACCCACAAGTCCTACCTCGAAGCAGCCCGCCCCGAAACCCACTACCTCACCACCCATGATCTCCGCCTCTGGAGCCAGCGACTCGCCGCCGGCCTACGCAAATCCGGACTGCAACCAGGCGACCGCATCCTCCTCTTCTCAGGCAACGACCTCTTCTTCCCAGTCGTCTTCCTAGGCGTGATAATGGCCGGCGGGATCTTCACCGGCGCAAATCCAACCTTCGTAGCCCGGGAACTAGCCTACCAACTCCAAGACAGCGGCGCCACATACCTCCTCTGCGCAAGCAGCAGTCTAGAAACAGGTCTAGAAGCCATCAAACAAGCGAACCTCCCCCCGAACTGCATCTTCGCCTACGACAACTCCATCTACGACGGCGTCGCAACCCCACAAAAGGGCTGCGCGCACTGGAGCGACCTCCTCGCCTCAGAAAAAGAAGGCAGCGCCTTCATCTGGGACGAGCTAGATACACCAGCCCTCTCGTCCCGCACACTAGCACTCAATTACTCCAGCGGCACAACGGGCCGTCCCAAGGGCGTCGAGATCTCGCACAAGAACTACGTCGCGAATATGCTCCAGTACTGTCACACGGCAAGTCTGCATCCAGACAACGAGGCTCGTGTTGCGCGCTCCCGCTGGCTGTGCTTCTTGCCTATGTATCATGCGATGGCGCAGAATATCTTCATTGCCGCGGCGCTGTACCGTGCCACGCCGGTGTATATCATGCCCAAGTTTGACTTTGTCAAGATGTTGGAGTATACGCAGGAATACCGGATTACGGATTTTATTCTCGTGCCGCCGGTTGTTGTTGCGTTGGCGAAACATCCTGCTGTTGGACAGTATGATTTGAGTAGTGTGGAGTCGGTTGGGAGTGGTGCTGCGCCGTTGGGCAGGGAGGTTTGTGAGGAGGTTGAGAAGTTGTGGCCTCCCGGGAAGATTAATATTAAACAGGGATGGGGGATGACTGAGTGGGTTTTCTTTTTTTTTATGTTAAGGAACTAAACTCATCTGCTTTCTATAGGGCGACTTGCTCGGTCACCGGATGGGTTCCTACTGAAATTAGTACTTCTGCATCTGTCGGTGAGCTCAATGCCAATTGTGAGGCGAAGATTATGTTTGATGGATCAGAGGTGAAAGAGCGGAATTCTCGTGGCGAGTTGTGGGTTCGGGCTCCCAATGTGATGAAAGGCTACTGGCGCAATGAGAAGGCCACTAAAGAGACTAAGACTGCGGATGGCTGGCTCCTGACGGGAGACATTGCGTTTGTGGATGACAAGGGCAAATTCCATGTTGTGGATCGAATGAAGGTATCTGATTTTGATTTTGATTTTGATTAAAAAGAAGAAAGATACTAATTCAATCAGGAATTAATTAAAGTCAAAGGCAACCAGGTGGCGCCCGCGGAGTTGGAGGCTCTTCTCCTTGAACACCCGGCGATATCTGATGTCGCAGTGATCGGAGTTGTCAAGTAAGTTTGATTTTTTCTATTTTTTTTCTTTCTTTTTCTTGTACAGATCATTCTATTCTATTTTCGTCTTTCTAAAGCAGATTAGCAACAACGATGAGCGTCCTCGCGCATACGTGGTGCTTAGATCGGGCCAATCCGCCACCGCCAACGAGATCGCGCATTTCTTGGACAACAAGGTCTCCGCGTTCAAGCGGATTACCGGCGGAGTTGTATTCCTCGATGCGATCCCTAAGAATCCTTCGGGCAAGATCCTTCGCATGAAATTGCGAGAGCAGGCCAAGGAGGAGCTGAAGAGTGTCACCGCTAAACTCTAGACTTTAGTTTTATATTACATTTCTTTTTTTTCTTCTTTTTTTTCCCCTTTTTAGAGGGCATAAATCAAGTAAATAGGTACAATATATACTATATATATACCATATCGCATCTTATTTGGTGTGTTGTTTCTTTGATTTGCAGGCCCAAGAAACCGGGCCAGTTAGGGAGATCATTTGATCCACTAAGATTGATCTGGACGTTGTATACTGGGGCATAATGTGAAACCAAAAGGGGGGGGGAAAGTAGATAATTAACTATTCGCATGGGTTAGTGTAGCCCACTATGATAGCCGAGTCAGACATGCTGCATTGTGATTCGATGTATGAAATGGCTTAGCGCGGGGGACCCATGCAGGCGCCAGCTGAAAGCCAAAGGCGATCGATCTCGAGAGACGTATGTACGGAGAACGGAGTACATTTGTGATCGACAGCACATGGGTTTTCTCCGCATGGCGTTAATGGGTCACATACTCTGTCCACCGTATGAGACTCGGGATTTGGAGTTAATATTCCAAGAACTACTCCGTAAAAGTAAATAAGTAAACAAAGAACTCTTAAACGGTGGCGTGTAGAAGGTAAGCTGAGTGGAGACAGGGCTGGCTGGCCTTATTTATCCACATCTTTTTTTTTTTCAATATACTTGTCGAGATGAGGCAAAGATCTCTTTTTTTTTCTATTCTGTGTCTTGTATTTTCTATTTTGGCTTTTCGATCTATCAAAAGTCATTCTGATTTGCCACTTAAGACTTCCCGGTTGTCGGGCTCGATGTTTTTGTTTTTCTTTCCTTTTTTTTTTTTTCAGAGATGTACGGCAGAAGCCCTATCTTGCAGATATATCCCGGTCATGTTCCAGCGTTGATCACCTTCGATCATCCCCCCCCCCCCCCCCCNCCCCCCCACTCGTAGCCTATTTTGGATATACTACTCTGTAATATTCGACCTCTAGATCTTATATATGAACTAAAATGTTCCCCCCCCCTGCACACCGTCCCACTAGTTCCTTCTACTCGCCTCCCTTGTCTCCTCCCCGCCAAGTCCGCTTATAGTCTCGATTCAATACTCGTATCTTTGACGCGCTAAAATCCTAAAGACCTGGCCACCTAGATTAACTTCCCCACACGCGCAGTCTTAAGTTGAGCTGGTCCCCCCATTCCACAGGGGAGACAGTCTCAACTTATCTTTCGCGAGTGGTGGGCGCTATCCAACCACCCAAAGCCCCGTCATGAACACTGTGGAACAAGGATCCAACTATCTGTCTCGTGAGCCCCTGCACTCTGCTGCAGGGTTCTTTTTGCCGGTGACTAGCTTGGTCAGCTTTTCTCTTCTTGGCCTCATCTGCATTCACCGATATATCAAAAATCGTCATCTGAGACAAACACACATCATCCCTACATCTGAATTCTATCAAGAACAAGAAGAGCAAGACTTTTATCTCCAGTCTATCATGGAAAAAGGAACCATCACCTCCTCGGCCTCGCACTTTCCATCTGCATGCGATATTCTTCAACCTTTGTCGCTTACATGTCTCCTCCCAAGCAGTGGAGCTCTCGCTGCACAAGCTAGAGAGCAGCAAAGTGAGAGATCGGCATTGACAGCGAGTAGTCCTGCATCTTCACAGGCTTCTTCACCTGATGCGAGCGAGGATGTGCAAAAACGCAATGAAACAACCCAGCAAATGTCTAACGAGGATTCCGAGGGAGTACGGACTTGGAAGCGTGTTGTTGTTGAGTACCGATAGTTGGCCGCCTGTTTTACAGGTGTATTTATTCCTATTGATCGGCATTGGGGTCTGCTTTTTTATGAAGTCTCGGTCTGGGGTTCCGTGATACTGGTTTTTGTTTCTCTTTCTTTTTTATTGCCTGTTGGATGCCTTTTGTTATGCCTTTCTTTCTTATTCCCTATCCCCATGTGTGGTCTTCACTTTTTCACGAATAATGTCTTTCCTTAGAAAAGCGTGGGCTTGGATTGTCTGTTTGTCGCTTTGAATGGCGGGTATGGTTGTTTTGCTAAGCACATGTTCAGCAATATATACATGATTATGACCAGTATTGTGTTTGCGAGATATATTAGAAGAAAGTCGAAAACCGCTGATTATCTGCCTTTGTAGTCTGAGGAATATCTTCAAAATGATTAGTTTGGTTATAATTAAACAGGGATTATACATGATTAAGTGTTTATAAATCACAAATGAACGCCATGACTCCATCGCAAATGAGACCGTTTTGTCGAGACGAGTTATCCTGCAAGCTCGACATTTCTGCAAATTACCCCATGTAGTAAAGTCCGATGATTAAGCTCTTATCCTGTTGGAGAGACTTGCATGCCCCTGCTGACTTCCCATTAAATATACACCCCCGGTAGAATTTAGACCCAGCCTGGGTCTTGGCCTTGCTGGAACAGACTCAAATGTCGACGACATGCTCGACTAAGAACCGCGAGAAAGCTCAAATGAACTATTTCAGGCAGTACGACTTGGTCTTAGTATCAGATGAAACAGCGCGTTGTTGAAATATGATGTTCGGCGAAGTAGTTCGTCGATTCTTCTTCCTTGGCGTATGCCATCTTGTTCAATGCGATCAGTGGCAGACCTATACTATATTAGCGACAGGAGGTCCAGATATGGTTCACAGTGTAAGATGTACCATATGAGGGTATTCAAGAAAAGATTGATCGCATCAAGATGCGACTTGAGCTTCCGTCGGTATTGGCTCAAGGACTCGCCTCGGAGATCCCACATGATCTGCCGCCATTGTGTTTTGACTTGAGTAGACACTTGCTGCAAGTGCAAGAAACCGACGACTGTGTGTTTATTGTGCAATACCACTGGAGGAATAGTCACTATTGCTCGGTACTTTTCTGTGGCGCGTTCGAGATGTCCTAGGGTTTGAAGGCACGAGCGGACCATAAACCCTAATTGTTGAGAAACATCGATCTGGTCATCGTCCAGAGTTCTGGAGGTTCTGGACAATATAACCATAGAAGCCTTTTGCAGTCGATCTAGAGCGCAATGCAAGCTGAACAAAACACTTTCGAGTTCTCGTAGATCGCGCGGCGCATTCTTTCGGCCTGATGTTGCGGCAGTAAATAGTCGATAGGTAATTTGACTGCAGAGCACAATGTCTCCAATGGAGAGACCGAACGACATTATAGCCTTGAGATGATGTGAAAAAAGAAGCAGGAAAAGAAATAAAATAATTGAAGAAGCAAATGAATGGCGAATGAGTTGAATTGGAAATAGTAGAATGAATCTTGAAGGGAGGTTATGTAGTAGAGATAATTTAAATATCAATCCGGGTCCTCTGGGCTTCGTAAATAAGTAGTTCTATATCGCAGATTGAAGCGCATTCATTGGCGGATGGTAAACCTCTGGGGGTGCGGAGGATATAGCGGCCAGGAGTTAAATATCATATATTTCAGGGTTAGTGCCAGAATAATACCTGAATCTGGACCTTGGCCATAGTAATTCAGGCATATTCAGACATACTCAGGTAGCAACGTGAAATAAATTATGTTTGACCTTGGCCGCTATACACTCCCGGCCTCGAAAACTATGTTGTAGAAAAAAGAAGTGGCAAAAAAGTCTTGGCAAATTGAGGCAGTGCACTGTGGAGTCGAGGGTAGCGTCTTTCCTGCGACTAGCTCCCCTAATACCACGAGACGATGACAGGGGGCTTTGCTATCCTACAGCTGCACCTGCTCAGCGATAATAATGAGCCTGGTCACTTATAGGGTCAACATCTGTTGATGAGGTCCATTGTTCATCTTGATTGCTACTGGAGGTCATATAATTTCGAAACAGATCCTGTGCCAGTACTTTGTAGACTACCGGTCTTGTATCTAAAGTTGTATAAAAAATATAAACAAAGTCGTTAAAGCCAAGCCGATCCACTTTTCCAGGACCCAGATAATGCCAAGTCATCTTGACAGCGTCTGGGTCTCCCGAACTATGCCCTACGTCATTTGCTTGCAAGCTCCGTTTGTTTAGGAACTCATCCACCCACACATATATCACTCATTCTATGAATCTTCCACAATATGCCTCATCCGTCTGACTTCCTTTGCTGCAAAAAATCCCTTTATTCGAACCATGTCGTCACTTGCGCCGAGGAATATTCTCCAGGGCGCCCATTGGAACTATCGCATTCTCGATCGCGTCAAGGGAGATAACACGCACATCTCTAATGTATTCAAAGCCGAGGTTATTCCACGAGAGAACCCGCATAATGCCTCTAAGCCCCCAAGATGGTTAGTTACATCATCTAAATAATATCTAGACTATAAGGCTAACTCTGTCGCATAGGGCTTTTATGAAAGGAGTCTTACCCGAAGATCCAACTGCTATGTTGAATCTAGAACGTGAACTTCATGCTTATCGTCTTCCTGGTGTCGCTTCCACTCAGTGCTTCCGGAAGATGTACGACGTGATTGACAATAACACTATCGCCTTAGAATGGCTGGACACCACTCTTGCAGAGTTAAAATACCACCCTAATGATATAGGCACCCGTCCACTTATTGTTTCTGTTCTAAGAGCAGCGCTAAGTAGTTGTGCCGTTCTGGAGGACTCTAAATATGTGAATACAGGTAAAGCACTTGTTCTTAGCCTTGGAACCTGGAAATTTCTGACATTTACCAACTACCCTAGACTATAAACCTGCTAACATTCTACTTTCTGGCATCGGGTCTGACTGCATTACCGCTAAAGTAGGAGACCTAGGACTGGGTAAGTACATATTTAATAAAGGAGATATACTTCTGCTAACAAAACACGCTTATAGTGGTTCCGGTTGACCACCTGTATAACGCCCAGCCATATGCCATGCGAGCCCCTGAAGTCTTCCTTGGCCAAGCATGCACAGAGCCATCGCAGGTCTGGGCAGTTGCCGCGATGTTACTTTGCTGGATCAAACCTGGTGTATTAGGCATGTGGGGCAGCTATCATCCTTTGATTAACGTGCCTTGGTCTATGGCAAAGGTTAAGCGGCTCTTCCCCGACTGGAACATTCCGACTCCTGATGAGGTCGATGGCGATTGCCTTAAAGCTGCCGTAAAATCCGCCAAAACCCTCGGTGAAAGTACGCCAGAACTACAAGCAATTTTACCTTTTGACGAGGAGACAAAAACGATGGAGATACCGGATCAGTTGAGGGATCTTCTTCGTTCCATGTTGATACCCGATCCGGTTGAGAGGCCCTCCGCTTTATCTGTGCTGGCATCAAGGGAGCTACAAGCCTTTGAGAATATTATGGGCGCATCATTCAATGTTTGAGACTGGCTTGTTTGAATAGAGTAGGGAGTATATATTTGAATGTATGTATGTAGTTAAATTCCACTCGATCCACTTCCAAGATTGTTCCCCACCTGCCCGCGGTCCTCCAGCCCTGGAGGGCTGCCCCAATGCTGAGTCATCTCGAAAGCGCCCGGGCTTTACATCGATGCCACATCTTCAACCTACAAACAGCTGACTTTTCCCATTCCAAGTCACAGCCATGGCCGTAACTGCATTCCCCTCTGAGGGCTCTCCAGATCTCGCTCTTCTCAATGTCGCCCGTCTGTTCACCAGACTCGAGCACAATCTCCTCTCTCCGGGGACAGACCGGCGCTCATTCCAACAATCAGAATACCAGCGTATGCGCGTGAACAAGGTAAGCATATTCCATTTACTCCACTTTTCCAAAGCTGTACTTCCAAAGAAGATACTTTCAGCGAACAGATATATCAGAACCTCATATCTAACCAATGCCACAGAACGTTGAATACGCCCGCTCACTCCTGACCCAACTCGAGCGCTCCCTCCCACAAATAAAACCCCTCGACCGCAAACACGAAGCACAAGCCGAGATCGTGCGCGACAGACAACTCCTAAAGCGCATACAGACCATCCTCGAAGAAGAAGACGCCAAAGCCGAAGCGAAGGAAGATGAAGACGACGAGACTGAGGACATTGATGACGAATGGAAGGAACTATTCTCAAAGCCCGTCGCCGAGAAGGCTATCTCGCCAGCATCCCGACCCAAACAGCAGCGGAAATCGACACAGCCATCTGAATCACAACGTGAAGTCAAGGGAAAGAGCGAAACCACGGCCATACCTTCCGCAACAACCCCATCACCAACCCCCTCCTCAACAAGCCCACCAGCACCCCCAACCATCCGAAACCGCCACACAACCCACCCCGCACCACCATCATCGACCGAAACAGCAGCTGCGACGGGAAGCAATACAAATAAGCTCTCCGAAACAGAAAACCAACTGAGCACCCACAGAATGGAACAGGAAGATCTTACCAGCTCGCTTCTAACGCTCGCTTCGCAATTGAAATCCTCATCGCAGAGCTTCCAGGCGACGCTGGAGGGCGAGAAGTCTGCTTTAGACCGCGCGGTATCGGGCATCGACCGTACGAGCACCACGATGGAGGCGGCGGGTAAGAGGATGGGGATGTTGCGCAAGATGACGGAGGGGAAGGGACTGTGGGGCCGGATGATGCTGTATGCGTGGATTTTCGGGCTATGGGTTGTTGCTATACTGATTGTTTATGTTGGGCCGAAGTTGAGGTTTTGAGGGAGGTTGGCGTAGTTTGCCGCTGTCTCATACTTTTCTGTCTATGATAGTTTGATTCTATCTGTATGCGACGATACCCTGATTTCGCTCTGCATAGATTAGCTGTCTATACCTCTACAAAATCACATCGTTATTGTCAATATCTACAACTTACGAGTATACAGATATAATGCACATCAAGGGTATACAAACAGTATGGAATTAAGAGTCAGAACCTTAAGAGTTAATCCTTGAACTCTGAAATAACCCAACGACCGACCTGGCATGACACATGAGAAGGAAACATTCAAATCCGCGGATCCTGCCATTTCCCCGTGCCCGATGCCCAGATGGACGCTCTTGGCTTCCAACGGACGCAAGACCAAGGAAAATGATTGGGGGGAGACGATATGGTTACATACATAAACAAGAAATGGGGGAGAGAGATGATAGGATATCCAGCATTCAAATCAGGAGGGTTCAAAAAAAGTGTGAATGGAAATAGGAAAGAGAAAAAAAGAAGGGAGGGAAACACTCCTTGTTTTCTGTGGTGGATATCAGGAGTGACAAGAGAAATCACAAAAACCGGCTAGAGATCGTGTCAATGGCGGGGGGAAATTAGAACATGAGCAAATGGAGAATAGAAAAAGCAAACGCAAAAGAAAATCAACGCCGGGATCTTGAAACGAGGCTTTTTGACCGGATCCGATCAGCCCCGGTTAATAAAAACATGCGATCTAGCTTCGACACACTTCATCACCAAACGATAGGTTCATTAGATCAAACCGCAGAGACGGAGGTTCTCTTGGATGATGATATCTGTGAAACGTTAGACAAGGGTTGTACATTAAAGGTGGGATGGCTGAGCTTACCGTTCACTGCTGCCATGACGAATCGGATCTGGGTGGTATCGGTAGCGCAGGTGAAGTGCGTGTAGATCTGCTTTTGTTCGGCCTGGTTCAGGGAAACGAAACGGTTGAGGATGTAGTCGCAGGCTGCGGCGTAGTCGGCACCGCCCTCGTAATCGGGGAAGTAGTTCTTCATCGGGCTAACGGGGAGCTTCTCCTTGAAACGATCGATCTTGTTGAGGAAAAGAATGATCGAGGTCTTGACGAACCACCGGGAGTTGCAGATCGAGTCGAACAAGGTCAGGGCTTCTTGCATACGGTTGACGGTCTCGTCTTCGAAGAGCAGCTGGTCGTACTCGGAGATGGCAACGAGGAACAGAATGGTGGTGACGTTCTCGAAGCAGTGAATCCACTTCTTACGCTCGGATCGTTGACCACCAACGTCGAACATGCGGTATGTGAGGTCACCAATAATGAATGTGGTCTCGGTGATACCGGTGGTCTTGACACGGGAACGGAGGACATCCTGGTCGGTGGGGAGGTAGTCGGGCTGGGCAATGCGCTCAATGGAATCGAAGTAACTGAGGGGAAATGAGTTAGTCATGTCGCAATGCGACAGGCGAGCGGTCACTACTCACTATTTGGCAGAGTCGTTCAGCTGGTATTCGCGCGAGCGCTTGAAGCACTCCTGAACACCAGTATCGCGCCAAAGCTGACCAATGGCGTTTCCAACCTCGGGGGGAATGCTATCACCCTCGATCTGGGCGGGCTGCATGAAGATGGTCTGCACGTGGTACTCGTGGCGCGCATCCTCCAGTGGGAGCTCGAGCGACTCCATGGCCTCAAGAATGACCCGCATCGACTGGACGGTGTTGCTGTAGATAATTTCCTTGAAGGATTCACGCTCGTCACGGGAGTATCCACCCTCGTGGATAAGCTTCATCTGCTTCAGAATGGTGGACTTGCCCGACTCTCCGGCTCCTGTATCTCGAGTCAGCCATCTGCCCGTATTTCCATCAGGAATCAATAAACCATACCGAGAAGCAGCATCTTGATCTCGTTTCTTTGCATCATCTTGTCGCGCTTGAGCTGGTTCTCAATCTCCTCGTTCCGCGCCTTCCCCTCCTTATCCTCGGTGCTCATTCCGCAACCCATTTTGACGGTATTAAGTCGCAATCAACGGTGTGAAAGGGGATGAGAGAAAAATTTCTTCGTGGGGAATATTCGCAAGTCTGTTACAGGGGCTGTCCAAGTCGAATCAACAGTCAGCAAGCTGGAATAATTTCATCCAAGGTAATATCGCATTGATGGGCTCGAGGGGGGCGTTGCATATGTGGTACAAGCACCGCTGAGCAAAGGCAGACGGCGTTTCAGAATTGGTGTAAGCATCCCGACGCAAGGAGTCGGCACCAAGTTTAGAGCAAATAGCCAATTGACAAATATCGAAGGGGAAAAAAAAGGGTACCCACCTGAACGTGCTTTTGCTAGGTGCAAAAACGAAGGACAAACCGGCAAAAGGGTATAAATGAAAGAAACAAAAGGAAAGGAAGAATCAGAAGAATTCCAATAGAATCCAATCTGGGCAAAGAAGAAGAGAGAGAGAAGGAAGATACAACAAGTCCAAAGGTAAGGGGCAAGACTGAGGGGGAAATTGGGAAAGTTTCAGCAGAGAAAGGGGATACACCGATAATACCACGGCGATTCAGCAGACAATGCCCGGCGATTAGGGGAACTGCCTGCTTACTGGATACTGTGGATTGATTACTCAAAAATACCCAATACAGAACAATACAGAACAACACCCACCCGGCAGTTGGAGTTAGCTGATTGGGCGGTGTGGGGACTTGATCAGGGGCCCATTCAGCCCCTTTTGCTTTTGCCATTGTATTGGCCGGGTTTTGGTATTCTATTAGCATTGCATCGGTACGGAGTACAGATTCTATTCACAGAGAATGTCTATATCCAAATGCATATATGAAACATTCTGTTTCAGACAGCCCTTCATAGCATACTGTAGAATCCATTAATCATGCATACTACTTTGCATGTATAAAAATGCCGGTGGACTCCTGGAGGCGTGCAGATCTTGTGGAGAGCAAGACTAGCAGATCACACTGCAAAGCGAATCACATTTGAAGATACAATGTTGGAAACAACAGCAACTTGAGAGGTGATTCTGGTTCTTCAAGGAATCTGAGGAGGGAACCCCTGACAAGAGCAACTGATGTACAACAGTATATTGTACAGGTTGACTCCCCACATCACATGGACATTCTATCAAGTCTGACGTCTGACCTGACCTCAGCAGTACATCGTCTCAGATGTTTTCAGTCTGAGGGAAACAAAGAAAATAAAGCAAAAGGCCAGTGCTCCTGCCCAATCAGACTAGTCTACGCCTCATCTCATGCATCCATGTCCGGTTCTTTGAGACTTCCTTGAAACTTCTGTGGTACAATAGTACGGACAACCCGACAGGTCTCTGACGCAGATTGCACATCCGTGGATCCTCTGTTTTATCTCAAGTGGGGCCCATAGTCCACACATGTTTGTTGTAGGGCACTATGCGAGAATATTAAATGGAGAGACACTGACTGTCACACCTTTGACGTTAGTACTCAGTCCCTCTACTAGTGGTTCGACGAGACTACGTCAGGATAATGGAAAAGGAGGTTGGTCAGCACAGGGCAATGTCGACATCGGCAAAAAAAAAAACAGTGAAAGTTAGGGCATTTCCTCTTGCCAATCGCGTCCCAAGGTTGTCTCCTGAAGTTCTGCACTAATGACCCACTAGCTAGTGCTTCTAGCCGTTTTCTACTGCCAATTTGTGTGAGATGATACTGGACTCCACTTATCGCCTCGTGGCAATGGAGACTATTGAAGTCTGCGGCTCTAGCTTGGCGTCTAAACGCGAGCCCTGAACTCTGAATTTGGTAGTCGAGAAGTTTCCTTGGGTTATGCTTACTAACAATACACTATATCCATGAAGATTACAATCTCGTACGAAGCATTCCCGTGCTCCGTACTCCGTGCAATAATAATAAATACCTGCTGCTCTCCGGGGCTGCCGTCCCCACTATGCATGTAAATCATTCCTAGTTGTATGTTGTAGGGGCCTTTTCCCTGCTTGCCGCTATTGTACACCGTATACCGTACAGCAGTTGAATGAAACCACAACCCGCGCCACAGGGACAACACCCACCTTGACTACGCCACTCAGAACCCCAATTACTTCAAACCTCTCTAAATCCTTCGAAGACTTCTAACCAAGATACATAAGAGTGAACATTAAACCATCATTCTGCACACACTCCTAATGTTTGACTATTCACAGTCCCCAAACGCTCACGCAGCATCCAACTTGCTAGTGTGCGACGATGGGCGATGCCCTGCGACCAAGCGATGATGAATTCAGCGATGTCCTCCTACAGAGTCTCAAGGTATGGACATCCTATTTGGGTGTTGGGGACAAAAAATGCCTAATCCCCCGACAAGCCATAAATATGAGACCTCTCGTCAGTCAGACTCCACCTTTCCTCGGTGATGTCCTTGCTTCCTTTGATGTGACAACCTCATTCGCTTGCGAGGAAAAAGAATCCCAAGGCAGTCTGCTCGTCAATGGGAGATCAATGTGGAGGACTTCTAAAGGGATCAGTGACCTACCGCCAAAAGTTTTGCCAAAGCAACTTCTATTAGCAGTTAGCAGTCGATTAAGTGTGGAATTGTCAGAAGATTCTCCTCTCTCAGACTGGCCGAGAGTTCAGGGGCTCTCAGGTTGTGATGATGGAAACTACCTGTCCGTTCTTTACTTTGCATGGACCTATATCCTATCCACTCGATGGGTTGAGTTGCTTAATCGCTCTGCTGACCATGAATGTCATATGGGCTACACTACGGATCGGGTAGAGGGTCGATCGCCACCTTCGAACAATCGCCCTCTCGTTCAAATTGACATTGGCGACGATACTTGCCGGGAAGAAGTCCTCTGGTGGCAGGCCATTCTGTGTTCTGACGATGGCTGGGATGCGACCGTGGAGTATAATGGCCACGTATATTTGCCGCCATGGTCGATCTCGGCAAAGAAGGCAGGAATTACTTTGGCCACTCTCGGAAGGAGCAACTCGTGGGATATTTGAGTGGTTTAGATCAACGGGTTATCCTCTCAGCGAACAACCC